GTCTCAATATATATATATATATATATATATATATATATATATATATATATATATATATAAATAATGTTTTTTCTTTTTTTAAATCATCAGATTTTAAAAAAATTAATTGTTAGAAATTTTAATATTTTTTTAAAATAATAGACTTTATGTTTAAGCTATATACTATAAATTTCAGTAATAAAATTATTTTAAATTAATAATAACAATTTTTTAATGGTTGTTTATCTCATTCTAAAATTTTTCGATTTTTTAATCTATATGATAGAAAACATCTTTAAAAAATGTGAAAATAAATTTTATAAGTTAACATAAAAATTAGAAAATATTTATTATTATTATTATTATTTTATAGGTGTAAATCGTGTTGGGTTTGAAAATACAAAATATTTATAATTTATTCATACTTAATAAAAAAATTGGTTAATTTAGCTAATAATGTTAAGTTTATACGATGATATTTTTCAAACTAACCTTAATAATTAATAACGAAGAGGGAATGATAATAGAATGGAATTTGAAAATTTTAAAATTATTTTTGTCAATATTTGGAACTTTTATATGAAAATGATAATTCATATTGATTATCTAAGAATACAAATAACTGATTATATTTGAACAAAAATAATAATATTAAAAATTATATATATTTCGGTAACACATACATATAGTTTTTAAAAATAAAACAGTCCCCTATTAAAATTTTATATTATCTTATCAAATTATATATATATATATATATATATATATATATATATATATATAATTTTTTTAAGGACTTAAGTTAAAAAGGTTTGATTTTTCAATTGGACAGACCCCAGCTATTTTGGTCGGCACGCTGAGAATGATGGGTGATGAACGTGGGGAAGACGCGGCAACAACCGTTTGAAGTGCTTTTTGTTGGGTTCCATTTTTTTTTTCCGGATAGACCACAAAGCACCCAACGTTTTTCATGTGACCAATTATATATAATAAAGTACTCTACATCTTTCTATCTGTATTATTTTGTAAAAATTAATTTTTTATTTAAATATCGTTTTTGTTTTAATTATCTCTCTTCATCTAAAACAATATATAAGTAAATTATTTTAAAATATATAATATAATTAATATAAACAATTAATATGATTCATCTTAATAAATAAAAATAAACCAAGACTTAAAAATGAACCAAGAGTACCTTTTTGTGTGTTTCATCCCTTTCCAATTATTAGCTTAAGAAAAAAAAAAAACTAAAAGGTGAAACCATTAATCCATGCGACACATTAAGAAGAAGAAAAAGAAACATGGAGGAAAGAGACAGCGTGCAGATCTTAATATTGGAGTTAGATATAACACGTAAGAATTGCTTCCAGACCCAACCACTTTACGGCTTCATGGATTGGTTTTCTTTGCCCAAAATTATATTAAGATGTTAAATTGTGGTTATTAAAAAGAAAAGAAAAATCTAAACATATTAAGATTCAAACTTTAAAGTAACGTTTTATTTATTGTTTTAAATTGAAATTAAAACTTAAAACAAATTTCAATATTGCAATATGTTTATCTTGTATAACTATCAAATACAATCAATGTATACAAATCTTAATTTAATTTGCTTAACTTTTGTAATACTAAAAGTTTAAATTGAATGCACACATCAATTCAAAAATTACCATTTTGAATTGTATCCCGCTTTAGATTTTGATAGGTGAACACAATTAAACTAGTATTTTGATACAAAAATATTAAAAAATTCATAAAGAAGTTCAATTACTTTGCAATATTTGAAAAAAGAAAATTGTAAAGGAATCCCAACAAATTATAAAGATTTTAAATATATATATATATATATATATATATATATATATATACTTAATTAATTATTTTATAAATATAAATATTTTTTCAATTTTTATAATTTTTATTTATAATAAATATTTATATATTTTTTCCTTTTATTTTTTATTTTTTTATCTTTTTTCTTTCATTTTTTTCATTTTTTTCCATTACAACTTTTTCGTACCAAACATTTATTTTATCTTTTCACGATATAACTTTTTTTATCACTCACTAAAATTTTTTTAGTTTTTATTTTTTTATAACTTAATCTTTATAACATAAAAATTACATTTTTTTATTTTTTAATTTATTTATCTTTTAAAAGATAAATCACAAAAACAATTTTTTATTATTATTTTTGCTTATTATAATTATAGTAATATAAAAATATAAACTATTAATATAAATTTGTTATTGGTTATAAATTAGATAATTATTTTAATGATTTATGATATTTTATTTTAATATTAAAATGTTAAAAAAATATCTAAAAAAACTATAATTCATTTAAAAAATAAATAAATTTATTTTTTAAAATTAAAATTTAATTAATAATATTAAATATATAATATTTTTTATTTTTATATATTTATTTTTGGTCTAAAATTCCTATAAGTTTTTGTTCAAAGTTAATGGGAGTGAGTGTAAGAAAAAAAATAAAAATAAATTAATGGAGCATGACATAGCAACATATTTTACTGTAATATTACCAAAGTTACGGAGGTGGTTGAGAAGCATTTGAAATGACCACATGCTCTGCATATTTGCCAAAAAAGTTAGAATCACTTACGAGGAATAACTTCCAGCTTCACCACCGCTAAGTTTGAAATTTGTTCACACACACTTTAATTAGTTAACCCCTTATATTCATTTTGATAATATTAATCACTAACTTATTGATTATACTCTCGAACAAAACAAAACAAAAACTATTGACAGAACTAAATGGAGTTGATTAGTATATCGAATATTTGCTTTTTCTTTTCCTTAAAATTGGTGTCCTGAACTTTTTCTTTTTATACCATGACATATTTTCATATGGAATTAAGAATAGTGTTTCAGAACTCCATAATCTATTTAAAAGATTCCAATAAACAATTTGTTTATTCAAGACAATCAACACTTTACACAAAAAAAATTCAGGGTAATGCTACACGAATGAAATGAATGTGGAAGGAACATATAATCCTGTACAAATTGTACAATGAACAACGCTTTAAGTTTAATTTTATAATTTTACATAAAAAAAGAAGACATATTTGGTAGAATGGCAATATCTTTTATTTATGTTATCTTAAGCCAAATTTGTAGCACGTCATTTTAAATATAATTTATAAACGCTTATATTGATACATTTATTTAAATGCCTTTATTGATTGAAACTTGTTAAAAAATATATTAGAAATCAGAAAATAAAAAATAAAGATAAGAACGTGTTAGTTATGATAAAAAGAGATTTGCTTAACTTACCTCAAATAAAACTTGGATCGAACAATTGTATCTTGACATTGATTGTTGCAACTCTTCCACGTATATTTCAAGGTGGTTTGATTACGTTAGATTAAATTATTTATTCTGATTTTTATTTAAAAGAAGTTTGGGAAGGCACCCTTTAAAAAAGATGTTTTAAAATGTTTCAATAATATTTTATTTTATTAGTTTCATGAAAATATGGATAAATAAATACTCATTTAACGAAAATTAAATAATCTTTACTAATTAATATAAAATATTAGAAAAAGTTCGAAAGAAAGGAAAAAGAAAATATATGTGAATTAAAAAAAAAAAGTTGTGGGGCCCATGCTCAAGAGTAAGAGTGGTAATTCTCACAAGATACCGAGGCTATTTTCGACATTTTGATGCTTCCAATTGAAATGAAATGTCTCGTTAATTTAACAAGGCATTGATTTTTTTTCCATCGCCTATATATTATTGTATCCTGAATAGGGTTCTTCATTCCTTTTTCTTTCTTCTGTCCTAACTAAACTCCTCTACCCTGCACCAAAGTGCCAAGTCACACAACACAATTTCTTTCCAATCTAATTTCCACCAGCTCTCCAACACATCAAACAACACCTTCTTCTTTTTCCCTCTCCAACTTAGCATTCAACTCACCCAACCCAAGAGATCCAACACTCCTCAAACACACCAAGATTCTCCTAGGTATTCAATTTTGGTTTAACCAATACTTTTTCTTTCCCGCTTAACTTCCATGGCTTCTGGGTTCTGTTCCCGGGTCGTGTGATTGTAGTCCACCCAGATGAATTCCTGATGATTTTGATTTTTTGTTAGCTTTTACGATAATTTTCGTTGACTTTTCCTCTTCTTTCGACGCTTCCTTCGAATCTTACAACTGGTGCTTTTGGTGCTTTTTTTATTTATGGTTCTTAGGTGCCATTGTATTCCAGCTTGTTTTCCCTTCCTAAATTATTTCCACTGGTTCTTATTCCAAAACCTCATCTTTAGTTGGACCACTTTCTGTTCTCGTTCTATTGTTTTCCCCATGGTCGTGGACTAATTTAGGACTCTTTGACTTCGTTTTTTAGTCAGTGTGATTTAAAACTTCGTTAGTAGTGGCTTTTTCTACACTTTTTATTTTCTTTTTATGTTTTTTAACTTCTGTTGTCGAAATTTCTGACTGTTTGTTTGATATGAATTAGGTGATTTGGTTTTTGAAGATTTCTCATGCAGGGAGACTGTTAGATTGTCTATCCAAAAGCTGAGTTGACCTTAGTGTCTGACGCAAAAAACAAAATATAAATTCTTGGAATCTTTCTTATTTCTATCGTTTTCCCCGTTTTTTCATCATTTTCTAATTTTTTTTCCCTTAACATTGTCTCCATAATTTTGAAGACTTTCCATGGTTTTGGTGTTTCTGGAGATTCAATGTACGTGTTAAAAAAATGATACGCGCTAAAGAAAAAACATAGAATATATTTTTGTTTGGGCTTATCCAACTTTTTCTACCGACAAATAATATTGTTTGTCATTTCGTGCGCTACCACTCTGTCTGAATTGAGTTTGAGTAAGCCACGCATCCCTTTCAAACGTTGGAACAATATTTATAGAGATAATTACTAAAAATGTGAGGTAACTCAACACTCACCTCTTGTTTGTGTCTTTCTCATAGCAGTTGGTGCAGTAGAGTGGCGTCAGAATGTTAGAGAGTGGAGGAGTTCAATATGGACAAAGTTATAGAAGAATTTGAGTTATTAACAAAGGATGCGGAAAGGGTTCAGAGGGAAACTCTAAAAAGGATTTTGGAAGATAACGCATCAGCTGAGTATTTGCAGAGTTTGGGTCTCAATGGAAGAACTGACCCCGAGAGTTTCAAGGCTTGTGTTCCACTGGTTACCCACAAAGAGTTGGAACCTTACATATACAGAATTATTGATGGTGATGCTTCTCCTATTCTCACAGGCAAGCGCATCACGACCTTGTCTTTAAGGTGCAGTTTTTTCTTTCTCTCTGTTTTTCTAATCTTAGTGCTTGAGTTTGAACAGTTACGCTTAAGCGTCAAGTTTCTAAATGGTATTCTTGCAGTTCTGGCACGACCCAGGGGAAGCCAAAATATGTACCTTGGAACGATGAATTGTATGAAACCACAATGCAGATATACCAGACCTCTTTTGCCTTTAGAAACAGGTATTCCACACTTCTTAACCCTTTTTAGTTTTTTTTTTTTTTTTTTTTGAGTGAGTAAAAATTGTTACGTTATTAACTAAATATCCTTTTAAACTAGATTTAAAGTATTTATCATAAAAGTTCTTAAACCTTAACCATGTGTGTACAGCTGAGAGTGAATGATATTGTGAACACTTTTATTTGAACATTTAAAATCTTTATTGTTAGTGAATTTTGATTGAATTCCTTTTTCTTTTTGTCCAAACTCAATTTTGTCGTATTCTCTCCTCTCACACAATTGCATTCCTGCAGAGAGTTTCCGATAAAAAATGGGAAGGCTTTAAGCTTTATATACGGAAGCAAAGAGTTCAAAACAAAGGGGGGTTTGGCAGCTAGAACTGCTACAAGCAATGTGTTTTGCAATGCTGGTTATAAGTGTGCAATGAGGGCACTCCAATCCCAATGCTGCAGCCCAGATGAAGTAATATTTGGTCCTGATTTTTTCCAATCATTATACTGCCATCTTTTGTGTGGTCTGATTTTCCGGGAGGAGATTCAGTTCGTTTCTTCTACATTTGCACATAGTATTGTCCATGCATTTAGAACCTTTGAACAAGTCTGGGAAGAACTTTGTATTGATATTAGAGAAGGGGTTCTCACCAGCAGTGTCACTGTCCCTTCCATTCGAATGGCAATGTCTAAACTGCTCAAGCCAAACCCAAAATTAGCCAACTTGATCCACAAAAAATGCACGGGGTTGAGCAACTGGTACGGCTTGATACCAGAGCTTTTTCCCAACGCTAAGTATATTTATGGCATCATGACTGGGTCAATGGAGCCTTATTTGAAGAAGTTGAGGCACTATGCAGGGGAGCTGCCTTTGTTGACTGCTGACTATGGATCTTCTGAGGGATGGATAGCAGCAAATGTGAACCCACAACAGCCTCCTGAATATGCCACATACGCTGTGCTTCCTCACATTGGTTACTTTGAATTCATTCCTCTCTCAGAGCTTGACAACACCAAAGGTGAACCTGATTTCCTTTGTATTGATTCTCAGCCTGTGAGCCTGACTGAAGTCAAGGTTGGTGAAGAGTATGAAATTGTTATGACCAATCTAGCAGGTACTGAATTCTTGTTTGATTAATTTTATTTTAGTTTATGCATGGCATTAATGAATGGGGACTGAGGACTAAGGACCCAGCTTCTTCCTTCTTTTAACATGCAATGTGATGCTGCATACCGTTTAAAGCAACATATTAATTGTTTGTCCTTCTCCGTCTAGAAGAAAGTAAATGTTGCAATACAAAACATATCTTACATATCTGACGTGTTTCTTTTCTCTGGTGAGATAGCAAGTAACTAATGACATCAAACAGACAGATTTTTTTTAGACCAATAGTATGTGGAGTATCTGAAGTGTTAGATTACTGTGATATTTGAGCATGTGATCTAATGTAGCTCACTGGCTCAGCGGTACATAATGCACGATTGGGGGGGGGGGGTTGCTCCTTTTTCTCATGTGCATCCACATCTCCCTCACTCCAAATTTTTGGTTGTATACATAGCATGTAACGTAAATACTTTTTTTATTATTATTTTCATGGGATGGGGACTTTTGTCTGCTCGATGACATGATCTTTCATGGGACCAACTTGGAGAAATTTCTTCCAAATGATTTGTAAAGTTCCATTATACACCTAATCAGAGTAAAATATGTATAACATGCAGCAATTATATAATCCTGCAAGTTGCAAGTTAGACCTAGTCATTTAGTTTTGGCAACTATTCTTGGATTTACAAGCGCTTATTTCATGGAATTAGATTGTATGACTCAACCTCATCACGAATCGTCCTCGTTAATTTTGGCTGCATGCCTCGTTTTATTTTTTTAAACGCAATTAGGAATATAGATAAGACTGATTATTTTCAACGTTGATTGCATTCTGAAAATGTAAATATTATTTTATTTGGAAATTTGTTCATATAACCTTCGCATATGTCACACTAATGATTTCGTGAAACTGTTCACAAGGTTTTATTCATAGCATAATTCAAATTAAATATGCACTATTTGGAAGAGTACATAAACACAGAATATTGGGGAATAGCCTTTTTTCTTTCAGAAAAAAGTGAACATGAATCTTATGATTTTTAACTTGTGGGATAATTACAGGATTATACCGGTATAGATTGGGGGATGTGGTGAAGGTTATGGGATTCCACAATTCAACTCCAGAGCTAAAGTTTATTCGGCGTAGCAGTCTTCTGCTCAACATTAACATTGACAAGAACACGGAGAAGGATTTACAGTTAGCAGTGGAAGCGGCTGCAAAGTTGTTAGCAGAAGAAAAATTGGAAGTAGTTGATTTTAGTAGCCAAGTTGATTTATCCAAAGAACCGGGACACTATGTCATCTTCTGGGAAATCAGTGGGGAAGCGAGTGAAGAAGTACTCCACGAATGTTGTAACTGTTTGGACAAGTCTTTCGTTGATGCAGGCTACACCAGTTCTCGCAAAGTGAACTGCATCGGTGCCCTCGAACTACGAGTTGTTCGGAGAGGAACATTCCAGAAGATTCTGGACCATTACCTAGGACTAGGAACCGCTGTTAGTCAGTACAAGACACCAAGATGTGTTGTTTCTACAAACGCCAGGGTGTTGCAAATCTTGAGTGAAAATGTTGTCAATAACTACCTCAGTACTGCTTTCTAAAACTTGTATTGCAAATAACAGACTATAAAGTTGGCTTAGTTTTACAACGTTGTGCAACTTTCTACCTTTGTTTCATGTCTTTGCATGATTTATTTATCTCGCCAGTTAATTGAGATTAATAAACTTGACTAATTTAATCTTTTTAGAAACTCGGAATCCGACCCAACAAGAACCATAAACGTAAATGTTTTGGATTTGGTGTGCCAAGAATACCAAATCATCACCAATAATACTTCCAATAGTTTCTTTAGTGGGAGTTGTTTAAGGTGACAAATGCAATTGAGAATTGTTTTATACACTTGAATTGCTTAATCATAGTATAACACTTGATATATCTTGTCCTAAAGTTTGGAGGATAGAAAGTGTGAAGACTGGATAAACAAAACGATGTACCAGTCAATCTCTTATCAACACTTGGCGATTCTCCATCATAAGCGTAGCTTTCCACAAGAATATAGTGGCGCGCAAGTTTGATAATGCTTCTATCCACAAAACTTAAAACTTTCTAATTTGTAAATTAGAAAATAAAAAAAGTTGAACATAGTGGAGGAGGTGAACCATGTTGGATATACTTTTTGGATGCAAATCACTTGAGTCACTTTATTGTCTCAGATATTATTTCATCCATGAAAAATTTAACATGTTGATTAAAAAATAATTAATTATTTATTTCATATTTTTAACAAGTAATTTTCACATTATTAATAAACATATTTTCCCACAAAAATAACCTACTGTACTTCCTCCTACAACGAATGGGAAAAAAATATTCTCTAATATACTTGTCAATATATTATTAGTAAGACACACGGTAAGATAAAGAAGAGACACATATGATTTATACATGTATATTTTCAATAAACATCTAAGTTTTACAATTGTAATGCCCTAAAAATGACTACTAATTTTAGTTCAACCAATTAAATAATAAACTTTATTTTGTTTATTTTAAAAGAAAACAATCAATTCAAATTGAATAACTTAATAAAATACTAGTATAAATTTGTTTGGTTCGATCATATATGAAATATTTAACCTTTTAAGTTTTAAACACATTTCATTTAAAAAATTATGGGAAGAACTGAAAAATAAGAGGAAAAGAAAAAAAATAATGGATTAAAATTTAGGTTGGACGGTGTAGAAAAGTTTATGGTTAATATGTAATATTAACCATTTTAAGGATGGGAACTGTAAATGACTGATTTTAGTTCGTGACACGCTTGATATGATTCCTATGAACAAACACAAGGAATATTCTACAGTTGTTCTTTATTCTTCAGATATTCCATGTATATACCTCCTTCTGGTTTTCTCGAGAATATAAGGATACTTGCATCATGTCTATACATAGAATGTTTTCATCATATTTAATTATGCCTTATTTTCCCCTTTCCTATTAAATGATACATTTCCATGTTAGAAAAGTTAGTATTTTTAAGATTGTTTACACGATATTTAAATAGGTGGATTTATAACTTTTTAATTTTTTGCAAAATTTGAGTGGATTATTGTATAGATTCCTTATATATGCAGTGACACATGTACCAAGATCTTATACATATAACATAATATGATGAGAATCTGGAGCATTTAAAAATATCAAATACCCATGGCAATGAGAGAGAGCAGGGGATCCTGGTTTCTCTGGTAGATAAAGTCTCTTCAGATCAATGTTTGGCACAAACTAAAAATTCAACTCAGATGATAACATCTTCAAAGGAAGAAGCAGTTCTCAAATGGGATTGTGGAAGCTTGTTGTATGATTCCCATGAATTGATATCTTTAGCTTATACAATTGAGAGACATATGATAGTGTGGCCCCATCTTCGTGGATCAAACCCCATCATCACCAAACTCTGTGATCCAAAGGAAAAGAGGCCAACCGAAAGTGTCTCAAAAATTTCTTCCATGGCAACCAATTTCAGTGCATTTTTTAAGAGAATGTGGAAGAAGATGAAAGAGAAGCACGAGAAAATACAGCCTCGGGCTTTTGGATTTTGTGTCGGGGTGTTTTGATGTGTTATCCTTTAGTATTGCATCATGGGACTTTCACCCTGTCGTTTAAATTTTTCAATAATAATATAATAACATGAATATGATGATGCAAATGCTCATGGTTAATAGAGTCATGATAAAAAAGTAATTGAATCTTGGTGTCTTCCATTTAACTTTTTTTTTTTTTTTTTTGAAGTGCCTATGTGAATAGATGACTCATACTGAACTCAATTAAGTCTTTGAAATGAAGGGGAATGTCTCTTTCATGGAAAAATTGTGAGTGATAAGTGGGTTAACTTTTTGTATTGGCAAACTCACTATATTCTGTGCTATTACATGTCCAATGTGGCAACCTAGTCAGCATAGTTTTGTTTAAGAATTGAAATGGGATTGAAGCAAGTTGTTTGTGCTCCACTTTAGGGAATTTGGCATGTGGAAGTGGAAGCCACAATTTGCATCGATGGAACAAGTGCAACTTGTCCTCAATCCTCAGTGGAGCATTAGCAATTGAAAACCTTTGTCCCCCTTTTACAAACCCTAATTAGTAGAATTGCAATGCTCACATCATAATATGATCCATATCTTATGGGTCTCCTTTTTTTGAGAACTACATCATAATATATAATTTGTTAATATCTTAAAAATATAATATTGCAATAGTAAAATAAATATTTTTAATAATATAATATTCAAATAAACTATTAAAAATATAAATAAGTTAAAAAATAAAAAATAATGAAATATGGTTTCTTTATTTAAAAATATATATTAATGACACAATAGAAATAATATAAAAAAAAAACTAAAAGATAGTGTTTTTAAAAACATTACATCACCGGGTGACATTTAAAAAAAAAACTACAAATTACTAAAAAAGTTATTAAACACTACATTTTTCTTACATTCATTCAGTTAATGAGTTCACCACATTAAAAGTGAAATTCGAGGATATGGGCCGGTGATGGAGAAAGCCCAAAAGCATATGGGTAAATTCGAGGCCACTGTGGAATGCATGCATGCGTGTTCATGCTTTTAGGCCCTTTTTAGACCAAAAGCAGATTACTTTTTCAATCACAAAAAAAATTCAAAATGGAACAACAAGTGGATTACGTCACAAAATTTAACGTTGAGGATTTATTTCTTTCCTTTTATTTTCCTTTTAAATATATATATATATATATATATATATATATATATATATATCCTACAAAAATGATATTAAGATAATCAATATTATTATGTATTTTTTTAATTATATTTTTCCTTCTATTTGGTTATTTTAAAAGAACGCATATTAATATTTACGAGGTCAATAAACACACGTCTTAAGATTGTGGTGTTTTTTTCTTAACGACATGTTGCTTTGTTTGAATAAATTAACGTTGGACTTTCTTAAATAATTTTTGTAATCTAAATTTATAAATAACAAGGGACATATTTTAATAAAAAAAGTTATTAATTTAATATGTTTGCAAAATCAGAGTGAGCACTCGTAACGTTGAAGCGTGATTCGCTCACCTTCCATATTTTGCTTCTTCCCAGAGGCTTTTGAATCTTTCTGAACTGAAAAAAATAATAAAAATAAAAAGAATAGTTGTACCTCGAAATTCTTTATATTTATAATATTCATAGTTGACAAATAAAGAGAGGAGTGGACCAAGCATATTTGTGATTAAAGTATTTTAGTTAATGAATTTAAGTGTTGACTTTGTTTGATTGAAGATGTAACAATTGAAATGAAGAGCGACGTATCATATAGTAAAAGAAACAACGAAACAATCAATACTTAGAACAATTCAGCTATTTTTGTAGCAGACTTTCTATCCTGCATTGTATTAATTAAACACATGAACATTGTAACATTATTATTATGTCTTAAAAAACATCAAAATTCGAACATAGTGTTTTTTTTTTTTTTTCTTTTTCCTTCTTGAAGTGGTTCCATCAGAGTCTTCAGTGCACGAAAATTGATTTTCATGCAATCATATTTTGCATGAATCTGGAGAATACATCCACTAGCATCTTTCCAAGAAAGTAAAATGTTCTTTTGTTTTTGTCTTTGTTCTTTTATACTTGTATTTTTGCCCTGAGTTGTAACTGTCTACTGTTAGTTACTCAACGTAGTGTTCCATTTAATTTTTCTTTGTCTTAAAAGAAGAGTTGGGTCAAACACAAATTTTGAGATTATTATTTTTTTTAAATATTACAAATAATTAAATTAGTTTATAATAAGTTTACATATTTGAAAAATAATTATGTAGGATTCTAATTTTATATGGAAGCATGGTATGCAAAATTCCGATAACAAAAGTCAAAGAGTTGTCAGTGGTCAAGAAAGGAAACGTTGCTGTTGTTGTCAGTTCTATTATAATAATAATAATAATAATAATAATAATAATAATAATAATAATAATAATAATAATAATTATTATTATTATTATTATTATTATTATTATTATTATTATTATTATTATTATTATTATTATGAAAAGTTAATTTTATAATTTTCTGTCCAACTATTTAGTGCGCAATTTGAAATAAAACTTTGAAGAACTTGGTGTGATGCATTGACATTAGTTTTTGTATTTATATTTAAAACCTTTTTTCTCTTACCATGAGTTTTTCAAGTTTATTGAATAGAGATTAGTATCGCTTGTTTTGTCTCACGAATTTTTTTTTATATAAATATTAATATACATTTTAATTTTTTTTTACTTATTACGAATATTCTTCCATCTATGTATTAACCTTTGTTTATGTTATAGTATTCGTGGCCCATATTTTCACGAAATAGAAATAACAAAAAAAACTAATTGTTGTTAATTAAAAACAGAGTTTACAGATTTAATAAATGTGTCTATTAACTATTTAATATTGTTGTTAAAAATGACCAAAATGAACTTTTACAAAATATATATATAAGGTTGAGACTATATATATTAGTTAAAATGATCAAAATCAATATTTTGAAAAACATATATTTCTATATTGAGAATTTTTTAAATTTTATTAATGGAGATGTATGCCAAATTTATTAAGCTATTTAATGTTTTTCTTAAAAGTATGAAAAATATTTGTTTTTAAATATAACATGTTAACATTTTTATAACTTAGTATACCAAAATATAAAACTATAATATAGGAAAAACTAAAAAGAACATTAAGTCTAAAATGTCTTTATGTTAAGCAGTTAATTGAGAGAAGTTGATATCATATTATAGTAAAATAACAATTAATGATTTTGAATCTTAAAGAGATGAAAAAGTTCACATCAATTGCATAAACACATATGTAACATTTGATTAAAAAAACAGAAAAAAAAGAAAGCGCTCTTGACCCGACCGTATCAAAATTGAAAAGGAAGAAAACAACACTTAAAAAGAAGAAAAAAGAGTGTTTAACAGGTAAACAACCCCCAACAATGGAATGGAAAAAAGCCCCCTATTCAGAACCAATTCCTGGCTGAGTAGTAGTGAGCAGAGAAGAGAGAAGAGAGAAGAAAGACTCACACTTCCATTTCCATTCTATTCTAACCCACTAAGTTGTTTTGTGGTTTCAGACTTCAGTTTCTACCCTAAATTACTATTATTATTATTCTCCATTCCCTATGCTCAATTGACATGTAGCCAAAACGGAATCCTCCAACGACGTCGTCTCGATGTTTTCTCATTTGGTTTTTGGACACAATTATTTGGTTGTTTCTCCTCGTTGGCATAGAACCAGTACACTACAACCTTGGAAAATGATCCCATGTTTTTCTCGTACTCTCTTCTTATCCCTCACTCGTTCTCTTTGAAGCCCAACAGACAAATTAAATCAGGATCCTTCAGTAATTTTCCCTTAGAATTTAAGCTTTCAGAGTTTAACCTCCCCAGATTCTTAGATTCCCAGAGGAAATTTTGTCCCCGCTGTGATTCTTAATAAATTACCCTACTTTTTTTTCTGCCTTGTCTTTGGTGCTTGGAGTCTTAGAAAAATACTAAGAAAACCCAAAAGAAGATGCAGCAGCTGCAGCGCCAAAAGAAAAAGAGAGAAAAAGTGTTTCTCTTTCTCTTTTGAGTCTTCTCTCTCTCTCTCTCTCTCTCACTCGCTCTGAGCGTATTGCTTTCACTTTGTGAACGAAAGCGTTGTTTGTTTAACGACATCACCACCTTCAACCCTTCACTTTCTAACGTTGTTGTTTTCAAGAAGCCAAGCATTCACTTTAGGGAGAAACAAACACTCTCTTTTATATGCTTTCTTTCTTCTCATTTCGTTTCCCATGTTCTTCAACGTTTCTTCTTCTTCGCTCTTGTTGATGCTGTTTGCCTAGACCCTTTTCCTTCAACGTTTCTTCATGTCGGACTCGGCCAAGGTGCGATTGGTGCGTTGCCCAAAGTGTCAAAATCTTCTTCCCGAACTCGCCGATTACTCTGTTTATCAATGTGGTGGTTGTGGTGCGGTTCTTCGAGGTACCTTTTCCCCCCTCTTCTGTGTTGTCGCATTGGTTTTGTTTTTGATGAGTCTTCGAAATTTCTTGAATAAAATGGACAAATTTTTATTGGACAAAATCGTGGTTGAAATTAGCATTTCCATATTTTACTTCATTGTTAGTAAACGATCTCGTACTTTCGATCAATTTTTGTGTGCTTCTTGTATACTGCAAAGTATAATGATAGTATATTTTTGTGGTGGGAAAAAATTGGAAATGGTTTAAGTTTTGTAGTTTCTAATTTTAGTTTCCACTTATTTTAATTTGCAGCGAAGCATAAAGCTTATGTGAGTGGTAGCTTGTCAGATGAGGGGAAGGTTGGAGTTGGAGGAGATTCTGGTAAATCGGAAAGTTCATTGGAGAAAGTCTTAGTAGATCGTAGTGATACTTCGGATGTTGATGCTAAGTCCAGTAGTGGTCCCTCAAGGGGCGAAAATCAACGGGATGTGGATAAAGTAGATAACATGGACGAGAAATTTCTGAATCAATCAGAGGGTATTGGTGAGAAAGGGGTATTTGATGATGATGTTGATGTCAATGGGAGTAAAGATGAATTGGGTAAATCGATAGGAAGAGAACAGGAGGAACCACACAAGTCTCAAATTGGTCGTGAGAATGGGTCTAAATTCTCTGGGAGAAATTCTAATTGGCAGAATGGAGAGAGAAGTGAGATGGAGGGGTTTTGGAGAAAGCCACGAGCTGATATGGAAAATGTGAGATTTTCCACTTCGAACTATCCTGATGAAGGACCTTCGAATGGGTTTTCTAATAATTACATGGGATCGCGGAAGAATCGTAATGAAGCAGATGGTGCAAACATGGTTCAGCACCTTGAGCAGGATCGAGCTGAGCTTCTAAGGAAGCTAGATGAGTTAAAGGTCCACCTCAGTAAGTCTTCTGAATTGGTAAACAACCAAAAAGAAAAGATTCTTCCTGATGAAAGGACGATTCCTCCAGATCATCATCCCTATGGTGGCTCTGGTCCTTGGTTTCCAGACGGATCATCAGGGTTGAACAGAACTTCAAGGCAACTTTTTGGCCCTGATAAGCATGTGATTGGCTCCACTCATTTCAATTATCATCATCATGATCCATATCCTTATGCAAGTGGTCATGACATGGCTATGCCCAACTTCCCTCCTTCAATGCACAATCCTAATCGATATGGGGATCCTTTTGCATCCCAAATGCCAAGGAGAGGTCCACACCAGTTCCCACAACAACCAGTGCATCCCTACTATCCTGGACCGTATGTTGACACTAATCCAGATTCATACGAGCTTTACTCACATAATGCAATGCTTCATCCACCTTCTTGCTCGTGTTTCCATTGCTATGATAACAAACGAAGAGGTTCAGTGCCAGCACCACATGCTTCATTCATTAACAGCAGATTCCCTGATATTCCGAATGATCCTATGTTCTACCGTCATGACATCCCGGGGACATTTGGTCCGCATGTACATAATTCTAGAACAGCCATTCCTCCAGTGACCCATCGTGAAAAACAATTACATGCAAGATGGGGTAGTGACTTCAACTCTGAGATGGGTAGTTTTGTTAGAACTCGTCCTCGCAAAGTAATGTTAGCTAGTAGTAGCCAGCGTTGCTATCCTGTATCTGGTGGTTCACCCTTCATCTCATGTCATAATTGCTTTGAGTTGCTGCTACTGCCTAAAAAAGCATTGGTTCTGTTGAAAAATCGTCAGCAAAAAGTGCAATGTGGGGCTTGTTCCTCAGAAATGAGCTTTGCTGTCATAAATAAGAAGCTAGTTATTTCTCCTAATTTGGAGACAAAGGGAGTTGCCTCTAGAGGTGATAACAGCTCTAATGAGGTTGTGAGTAGCCGTATTTCACATTCCCGAATTCATGCGAACAGGACTGGTGCTAATTTTTCATCTGATGACTATTCTGGTTATGATTTTCATTCAGTAGACAGGGAACCCCTCTCTGTCGGTGCTTTGAACTCTAACAAGTCCCTGGAGATACCGAGTTTTCGTTCTTCATCTCTCAGTACCTCTGAAGATGAAAATAGTCCGGGAGCAATGATTGATCCAAGGGAGACCGCTAAGTCCATTCATCGGCCAACTACAGATTCTCTATCTCCTCCTGCTGGTTCGCCTCTACAGGAGTATTTTGATTACTCCAATAATAACCATGCAGTAAATAGGTTTGGAAAAGGAAACCAAAGTAGTCGCTCGGAGCAAGAGAAGACAAAAGTGGATAAGATGTCATCACGTCAAAATTCATTGAAAGAGGCTGCACTTGCAACTGAGATGGATGTTCATGATTATTCAAACACTGGCGTTTCCCAAGATTCTAGAGACGCCAGCCGAGAGCATGATCATCTTAGATCCAACAAAGGGGGTGAATCATTTTTTGCAAACATTATCAAGAAAAGCTTCCGAGATTTCTCCCGGTCAAATCATGCAGATGATCGTAGCAAAATCAACGTTACTGTAAATGGGCAGCCATTATCTGACCGTGTTGTCAAGAAGGCTGAAAAACTAGCAGGAACAATCCAGCCTGGAAATTATTGGTTAGTATGCTCCACGGTCAGCCGTAATCTTCAATACCATTTATACCTGATGCTCTATTACATTGATTTATATCTGAGAGCTCCAATCAACTCCTGTTATAGTTATTGGATTCAGTTTAATTGCAATTGGCTGTTGTATGTGTCCACGGACCAAAGAAAACTGAGTTTCATGCTTTGATTCCCTTTACAGAATAACATTTGTAGATGTGTTATCTTGCAATTTTGAACTAATTATAAATTTTCTTCTGATTGCTAGTAGTACATAATCGATTTTCCTTTGTACAGGTATGACTTGAGGGCTGGATTTTGGGGTGTATTGGGAGGGCCTTGTCTTGGAATAATTCCTGTAAGTTATACCATTCTATCACAACCTGTTGGTTGTATGCTTATAGACGTAGCATAATAATATTAACTAAATGAAGTAATTGCTCGTGCAGCCATTTATAGACGAGTTCAATCATCCCTTGCCAGAAAAATGTTCTGGTGGGACTACTGGTGTTTTTGTAAATGGTAGGGAACTTCACCAGAAAGACTTGGAATTGCTAGCAGGGAGAGGACTTCCCACAGATAGAGATAGATCTTATATCATTGAAATTTCTGGGAGAGTCCTGGATGAAGACACAGGTGAAGAGTTAGACAGCCTTGGCAAACTTGCACCTACGTAAGTGCTATTCTGCTCACATTCTCTAATAGTAGTCTTCTTTTTTTGTTTTAGTGCACATGTGTTGGTACCATATACATGGAGATGATACGTGTTTTACTGATTTGCTCAAAAACCATTTTCATCATTTTTTAGTAGCCATCCACATTTTTACTGTTACCCTAGATTAGATACACGTTTCCAAGATACACATCTTGACTTGGTAATAGACACATATGAGTTTTAAGTTAGAAATAACACAATCGGAATCTTGCAAATCATTATAGTTTGTGAATCAATTTGTTCTTCTGTAAAAGGGAGAAAATATACTTGAATTTTTTTGCGGCTTCATTGTTCACTATATTATTTGTCAAAGCTTTTTGGTGAACATGATGAAAATAAGACAGCCTAATATTTCATTTCTTACATCGTCTATTGGGACTGGATTCAATGTTTTCAGTATTGTTCGTAACTGTGAAATAATAGAAAATATTGGAATATTTTGTTAAGAGTTAAAAGGTAACTATTGGTATATTTACTCAACCGGATGACCAAACCATCCTGATTATGATTGGTTTAGATGGCTAAATAAAAAAGACTACCGATTCTCTAATAGTAGTTTTCCTTCTTTATTTGGGTTGAGTTGTAAATTAGATTAAACTCAACTCAACCTAAGCTACTTGACTAATATATATATCCTTTACTTGCCCCTCTTGAGTATTATATATCTTTTACTTGAACATGGTCATATATTAAATTTATAGCAATCAAATGTTAGCATGAATAGCATGCTTGGAAAAAATTTTGAATGTAAAAGATCACGTCAAAGGATTAAAAGACGGAATTTAAGGCTGATAGCTTCTGTGGAGACATAGAAATTCACGTGGACAACGGGCAAACAAATGTGCGGATGGTTTACTTGTCAATTTTATGGTCGTGTTTGAAGATTCGGATTGAAGAGTTTATCATTTTTATGCACCAAATTGATTATTCTTTCTTTCTCTGTACATTGCCTGAACAAGTCAGGATCGTCTTTACTTCGTTTTCCAATAGGGTTGCAGTATATGACTTTTTAGAACTTTGTTGACATTGCATTAACCGTGTTTTTTTGACCATGTAACAGAGTGGAGAAAGTGAAGCATGGATTTGGCATGAAAGCACCTAGAACAGCTACATAATCAACGTATAAATATATGTTAGCACAGGTTGGAGAAGGTCAATCTTTCTTCATCTATCTGTCGAAAAACATTATTTGGAACGTGATAACGGAACAAGCTTGAAATATTTGCAACATTACATGAAATTCTTCCATTGTATGACAAGTTCAAGTGGTTTTGACCATGACCTGAATTTATATTACATATATAATTTGTAATTTTTAACATAACATGCCTATAGGTAAAAAAACTGCATTAGAAGTTCTGGTTTGATATCAGGTAGTCTTAGGAAAAGTCAAAGGAATTGTTCGGAAAGTCATGTAGAGTAGAATTTGATGTGCAAAATTTGTAATTTATTCCTTCATCAGTTTGTTAGTTATGCATGCATTTTTGAGTGAATCATGAAAATGTTTTTTTTTTATGATCTGTAGCAAGACTGGTGTGTATTGCGCACGCATTTTGATTAGATGTAAAAAAAAAAGAAAAAGAAAAAAAAATCTTACAATTAAGAATGAAAATAAAAAACTAACAAGAATTATTTTGACTTGATTGTATTACATGATTGGGGCGATAGGGAAAAATCATATTCTTCTGTCCGAAAACGAATTACAGACACGTAGAAACATATTCCAGACTGAAAACGAATCTCTATTGATCTATTTACGTTGACACATTAATAGAATCAGTAAATATTATTTAACTTTACTAAGTTTCATACAAAAATATATTTTTTGTAAAATATATTTATTAGAACTTAATATCATGAATAAAAAAATTATTGAACGAAGAATGAGCATTAAATAAATGATGTTTTAAGAATAATATTATTAAATGAGGGAAGATGTGTTAAGTTCATATCAAGATGCCTCAATCCTTTTTTCCTTTTTCTTTCCAATAAAATGAATTAATAATGAAAAGGATGTGTGAAGTGAAACTTGATGAGCTGGCCTTGAGCTTTCAGCTTTCGCTTTGATTTTTGCAGTTCACATCACCTCAGACGACAGTGAAAGTTGAGAGAATACAGAAACACCAGGAAACAAGACATTCCTTCGTCCATCAGTTGATATTGTCGCAGACTCAAAATCTGTCTCCACGGATTTAAATCATTAATTTGTGATGGTATAATATATTATAGAACAAAGTTAAATTTTATGATTCAAAATATAGAACATTTAAAGTATTTATAGAGATATGTTTATCAGAGTTCCAGGTACAAAATTAGTGACAATTTTAAATTCCCACGTGATATGATGACTTCTACTACTCTGATAATAGTGTGAGAGTGGATCACATTGCACATCAAGTACGTTAATTGCTACGAGATACGTAAATTATTATACTCGTATCTATAAAAATAAGAATTATTAATTTTATTTTACCGATCCATTTATCTCATTATTAATCAGAACAACAAATTAAATATGTTAATCATGATGGCAAATCTTATAATAACTTTTATGTATTATAATATATTAATTTTATCATTAAATACTTTTAATTATAGTGAATAAATTATATATTTATTTTTATCAGATTAAATAAAATTTCTCAAAATAAATAAATACATACATTAAAGGAGAAAAAATATTAAATTTATCAAGTAAAATTGTATATTGTCATGCAATTAAATTTCATTTGTGTTTTCTGAGCCATAAACAATATATAAAGCACAGTTATAATGGATAAACAATAGTGACGTAGGAGAAATTTAAGAATATTTTTGCAGGATTGTGCCATTTGAATTTTGAAGATTATATAGATGTGAACATACAGTTCACTTGTCAAATTCATAGCATAAACCAAAAATTAAGAAACATAAAATTAAATTATATTTTTTATACGTATACCATCATGATTTAAATTTATGATGGAGTCTTGTAAGGTTCTTGCGTGGGACCTTGTGCGACAAGAAAAGGGGTTTGAGAATAAAGTTTTTCTATTTAATGAAACCAGTTAGTAAAGAAATTCCAGATCCGACCAAGACAATATACAAAGAAAAAGGCACGAAAAGAACAAAATTACGACAGAATATGATACCCTCATAATTTAGTGTCTCATGCATAGGTAAAGAACATATGTATGATATAATCTTAATCTTTATTATCTTTAAAATAAAGCTGTAAAAACTTAGGTTCGTTTTAGCATCAACATTGAAAATTTGACGTAAGAAAAAGACAATTGCAAAATCGTTCCTTCTAAGCAAACTCGACTATGGTTAGGAGCATTTTGGTCTGTCTAATACATATTGAGATCGAATTTGTCAATTATTTTTGCTATGATCTTTTAGTTATTATTTCAAACATATCTTAAACACTGGTGTGGTTAATTTAAAAGACGAAGTTTAGTTAAAATGTTCTTACGTACAAAAGGTAAAATAATAATGCATTTATTATTTATTAAAATTTAAGAATAAATACATTTTTATTTATACACTTAACTTAATAAATGAATTCATTTTAATGCATTTTCTCACTCCCTGAAAGAGAACTTCGCTTACCAACCACAAACTACATACTTAGCGCCTTTGAAGCAGTCATTTTTTTTCATCAATTTTAAAATAAAAATAAAAAGTATAGATATGAATTATTTAATTTCAAATTCAGATTTATTTAAGATGGAAGCATGTCACATGATGACAGCATATCACAGCACGTGACACTACATAAAAGCTGTAGGAAGAACAGAACAGAATAGATAAAATAAAATAAAATAAAAGCACAGAAAGAGCATATTGTGTTGTAGCCATGTCACACGTTCTTATTTATTACTGCTATACCACTTCTTTTTATTTATATACACGTAATTTATTTATGTTCTTTATTATTATAGCTCTCACTCGGAACTGTGCAGAAGGTTTTTTAACATTTGCCAATCCAAACAGAGCCTTGTCCCTGAGTGAGTGATGTAGCACGCATAACAGAACAAAACAGACCAAGCAGAAGTAAGCAAAAAACACGCAACACAATGCTTTGATTTGTTTTGTTTTGTTTTGTTTTCGGCAAGCGCGTAGTCAGAGATTATACTTTTTCTGGTGTGGAGTGACACGAGATGGTGAAGGAAACGAGGTCTGATTTGAACCCATTGTTCGCGCAGAAGCATAACTATCATCATGTCTTCCTGAAGTTGGCAGTGTCGTGTCTCTTGGTGGGTCTCGCTATTCGCCTCCTCTTCACTGATTCCTTCAGTTTGTCCTCTGTTCTGCGCAATCCTCCCCCTCTTGCAAATGCAATACCAAACTCACCCTTTTTTTCTTCTCTGCCATCTTATTCTGTTGATTTCCCGGTAAACCAGACCCAATCCTCTGCCCAAGGTAACAAATAATTTCATGCGTTTGTTTGTAGTGTTATAGACAGTTCATCTGCATGGTCTTTACCCTTTGTGGGAGACACTTCTACACTAGTTGGGTAGGATAAATATCCCCTCTGACTAAAACTAGAACGATTCCGTGCTAGCTCCTTCCTATGGGTTTGGATTTTAAGGCATTGTCCATATTTATCAGAAACAATGTATTATAAGAAAAGTGGGAGAACCCCACTTCTACTTCTTTCTACATTTGGGATTTTGGTTGTTTGGAACCATTTAGATCTTCCAGGTCTGCATGCCGTGGTTTTCGTCGCGGAATTTGCCAATTCTGAAACTTTATTGTTTCTAGATTTTTGGGGACTTGTTTTCTTCTCTGATAATCTTTATGTAAATATTAATTTCCCTGCTACCTATAACATTATTGATCAGAACATTAGTTGGCATAATTTAAGCACATGGATCGTAGTAATTTTGTTTTTTTCTCAACTAGAGTCAGGTTCTTTCTTCCTTTGAATTGAGATGCCACAATAACAAATTCTACGATTAAAATTAGAAATGTCAGGTATTGATGCAATGCTGATAACTTTCCTTTGAAATATTTAGATGCAGTGGAGTGCGATCTCTTTGTGGGAGATTGGGTGCCGGACCTAAATGGTCCAATGTATACTAATGAGAGCTGCCGTGTGATTGAAGATCATCAAAACTGCATGAGAAATGGAAGGCCTGATTCGGGGTACCTTTATTGGAGGTGGAACCCAAGGGGTTGTGATTTACCCAAGTTCAGTCCAAAAAAATTCCTTCACATGATGAGGGATAAATCATGGGCCTTTATTGGTGATTCCATCTCTCGCAACCATGTGCAATCTCTACTTTGCCTTCTCTCACAGGTATAGTTTAGTTTCTTCTACCAACCAATTGCAAATTTCACATGCTTGGCCATTTGGTTTGTCATGAGAAAATAGCGAATCTGTTTTCTCCTCTCTGTTCTAACTTTCCGTTTTTAGACCTCAGTGGTTTTTTTCATCTCTCTGACCGTCACGCGATGGTTTCATGTGACCAGTCAGTCATACATTGGTGTCGATTGTTTTCTACTCAGCTTTAGACACACTCATGTTTTCCTCTTCGTTGGCTTGTCAAATCACAAGGAACTAAAATGATAACATGTTTCTTGTTTTTTTTCTCCTTTTTTTTATTTTGCAATAATAGTGTGATCTGGCCTAATAGTTGCATAGATTGTTGGTTTCTAGCCTATTGATCATGAAGCATGGTTTCATGTAATAAGTAATCATTTATAAGAGTAGTTCCAATTTTGACTCATGAGGAGCAAGGTTCAACAGCTTGCACAACATGCAATGTACTTTAGTAGATTGTGATATGTAGTTGTTAGTAAAGCTGTAGAAGTAGGATTGTGGAAAACAGCTTGTGCTTGTGTGCTTGGTCCACTGCTTCCATGATAGTTTGATGTCTTTTTCAAACAACTTTACCTACCTCAATTCGGAAATACATGTAAAGAAACCACTAACCAGTTATTAGTTTTGTGATCAATGATCATTATTGCGAAAACATTTTTTGGAGTGGGAAGAGAGTTAAACTTTTACTAGCCATGAATAAACCAGTGTAAACACCGGGTAATAAATATTGATTGCCCCTTATATGTATTCGAGTCAGAACTTCATATTCAGTAACTATAACATTTTCTTGTTCAATTGATTTCTCTCTTTCATTTTCTCCTTTTTTCACAGGTATGCCTTATTTCCTTACCAACTAGTGCCACTAGATTTGTCTAAGTGATTGTGTGGTACAGGTGGAAGCAGCTGATGAGGTGTACCATGATGAGGGATATAAATCAAAGATATGGAAGTTCACCTCCTACAACTTCACCCTCTCAGTAATATGGTCCCCATTCCTTATGAAAGCAGATATATTCGAGGACATAAATGGAGTTTCTTCTTCAGAAACGCATCTACATCTTGACATCTTGGACGACAAGTGGACCAACCAATATAAGAATTTTGACTATGTTGCAATCGCAGGTGGCAAATGGTTCCTGAAGACAGCAATATACCATGAAAACAACACTGTAACAAGCTGCCACAAGTGCCATGGAAAGAATTTAACAGAGGTAGGATACCAACATGCATACCGCAAAGCATTGCAGCAAGTTTTTTATTTCATGACACAGTCAGAGCACAAAACGGTTGTGTTCTTCAGAACCACCACACCAGACCACTTTGAGAATGGGGAGTGGTTCAGCGGAGGGTACTGCAATACGACAGGACCCTTCAAAGAGGAGCAGATAGAAGTGAGGTACGAGGATTCCATCATGAGAAGCATTGAACTTGAAGAGTTTCACAAGGCCAAGAATGCAAGTGCCAACTTCAAACTTTTGGACACAACTGGACTCTCATTGTTGAGGCCCGATGGGCATCCAGGCCCATACCGCCAGTTCCACCCTTTGCTCAATGCTAAGGTCCAGAATGATTGCCTGCATTGGTGTCTCCCAGGCCCAATTGACTCCTGGAACGACATACTTTTGCAAATGTTGGCAATCTGATCATTTCTGTAAATTCGTTACTTCCAACGACGTCTTAGGATTAAATAGAATTGAAGAGAACCGAATAACATTTACATTATGTTCATGGATTGAATTCAATTGCTTTTGAGGAGATAACTGAGATTTTTATTTTAGTTTGTGTAATAAATTGCATAGATAAATAAATTATAATATATAAGCTATATTGTTGTTAATAATAAAATTGATAATAATTCATTTTTATTGTGGATACGAGTTGTTGATTATTGATAGTTTATCTAAAATATTAAAATTTAAGTTAAAATAATGATGAAAATAGTAGATTGAAAGTTACAGAAATGTTATCATTCAAGAAAGACTCTGAAAGGTGAATATTTTCAACAAATTAATAATATTTTTTATTTAAGATAATTATGCTAATTTAAATAGAGAATTATTTTATTTAATTATTTTGATTTTCTCAACCTATCACTAATTTCATTTTGTTGAAATATTGAATTATATTTAATAATTCAATATCAAATATGTCAATATCATTACACAATTACTAGTAATGTATTTTTTAAATTACATATTAAAAGAATAATGTGATTTGGTAATTTTATAAATAGGTATTACTTCTTTGATAATTATAAAAGATAAATAAGTGATATAGTGAGTTTATAAATATGATATGTGTAAGTTCAATTTAATAAAAATATTCGTTTTTTCATGGATTGTTTGGATTTTTATTAGATTTTATCGATTTAAAATAACTACCATAGGTTTCAGGAAAAAGAAAAGTTGAAGCCCGTTTTCGAAATAAAAAAGAAAACCATGAGCAAATGCATCCCTTATATGTATCAGCCCAAAAAATATTATCATAATGGATTGGATAATTAATTATTATAGCTTCTAAAATTTGTAGTTGAATTGACGTAATTTATTTTATTAGTTGAAAAAAAAAAGATTAAGAGAGATTAATAATAAGTGAATGTGAATGTAATATATAATGGAGATGCACTAATGTAATTCTAAAAATGCAGGATAAAAACAATTATCATAGTGTTGGGGTGTTCGCAATTTTAAAGTTGATTCCGACAAAGACACGAAGTACTAAAAAGTTCACAATGGACAATTTTTAAATCATGAGACATATTATTTTTATTTTTTAAATTCTCGGGTTACATAATTTATCTTTAGTACTGTAACTTCACGGGTGTACTCAATAATAATTTGTCACGTGTGTGTTGAAAGATCCATTTGTCAGGTCAAATCTCAAATAAAAAGAAAATGGAATTCAAACATCCATTGGATAATAAATTATATTGGTGGGAATGGGTTGTCGTAAATTACTGAATTAGACATTACAGTTTCTATTTTTTTTTTTTTTTATGATCAATTTATTAAAGGGTGATCATCTTTTGACAACCGAAAGAAAAAATAACCCAAAAAATAATTCATTTTATTAATATAATAATCATGAAAAAGTTTAAATAAAAATAAAAAATAGTTAAAATTATTATTATAATATAAAATGCAGTTGTTTAGAAGGTTGTTTGTGTGAATAGTGGTGTTAAAATATCTTTTTTTTATTAAAAATATTATGTTAAAATAAATAAAAATAAACTTAAAAAATCAATATTTCAAACATATAATCACTAATTTGTTATTTTTTTTAAAAAGCACGATAATAATGTATTAATACGAAGTGTTCATATTCAAAGCACAACATTAAACGTTTTTGACTGCTGAGAAGCAATTATCTTTAGTCAGTGATAAAAATAGAGATTAATTAATTAAACGTCTAAACAATAACGATAATTAGTAAAATACATCGCAGCAAAAATATACATATAACTAATAGCAAGTTTATATACGTAATTATAACTTTGACATTAAGAAATATTCCATACTATTATATATTCTTTACTCTTTCTCTTCATATAATCTTTGTATATGAAGAAGAAATATAGATAATGAGAGATAAAGGAAAGCAACTGCACCCATGCATATAAAATGATGAAATGGAGAGGATGACTTTTTGCCACATAAAAAGGAGCATCACTAATACTTTTTAGCCTCCATTTTTTAATAACTCCACTTTTTAGCCTCTTAACAATCTCATTTCATATCATATCAGAATTTCACATCACAATTTAAGTAATAAATTTGTGTTTTTATTTATATATTATTAAACTTATCATTCATATAATAAGAATGAGGATTTAAATTTAAATTTCAACTCTTTTTACAAAAATTGAAAACAATTGTAGGTCAAAGTCAAAGGCCAGTAAGGACCAATCAAAATTTAAGAATAATTTGCATCATGAGTTAAAATTTGAAAGAAGAGAGTTGAATGTGAATGGAAGGAGAAGGAAGAGAGCACATTAATGGTTATGAAGACTTTGAAGTAAGAGCATTTGGTTTTCTCTTCTCATGCCAAATGACAGACTGTACATATCCACTTGAGATTTCACGTTCTTCATGTGATCATATTTGTGTTTTCTTTCTTAATTTATTACTAGAATATTTCAGCATTCACACCCAACAAACACCTTCACAATCATACCAATCAATTCTCTAACCTTGCCTGCTAGCTAAGAACTTCACATATATACTATTTAATGTTTATAAATATTATGTTTAATTAGGAATAATATTATAAATAATTTATAAAAATGTTTTTTATTTATTTATTTATTAGAACACTTCTTTAAAATAATAGATTAAAATTTTCAAATAGACAATATTTGATATGAAACAAATTATTATATTTGTATATGGATCACAATTATACTCTAATCTACGTATACCTTCTCAAACGGATAAAAACCAATTTGATTAAAAATAGAAAACTGAGTTCAAATTTTTCTCGTTTTAAAAAATTAGGATGGAGTGATGATAGGTAATATAATCTCCATCTCATCTAGATCTCGTTCCTTCTTTATATTTAAATTATAAAATTTTAATATTTAAAAAATATCTCATTTTTTTTCACATTATATATAATATTATTTTTTTTATATTTCACTTTTTTTTACTATTCTTCAACTCACTCTTTACTCTTTTTTTTTCTTTTTCAATCTCTTAAATCAATCAGTTTATTATAATATTATCTTTTTCTTATTTTTACTTCATCCTATTCTTATAATCTCTTCTATTAATCTGATTTTTTTCTACTATTTTTAATGAATTTGACAATAAAAAATTATTCTTTTTATTTATTTTTATTAAATTTTATTATGATATATTTTTTATTTTACTATTTTTATTTGCTAAATATCAAATTATTTTAATAAAATAATTATATTTTAAAGGATTAAAAAAATTTAATAATTAACACTTTTATACTTTAAATTAATTAAATAAGATTGAACTTATTAAATATTTTTTTCTTAATTATATATTTCGTATTTTAAAATCATAACTTAAAAAAGTAATTAACTTATATATTAATTAAATATTTAAATACAGTATAATAATAATAATAATAAAAATAAAAGTATTTATATCCGTATAAAAAAATAATTAAATATTTCTTTTATATATATATATATATTTTAATATAAATGTAATAAATTAAATTATATATTCAATTAATAATAATAATTAAAAATTATAAAATTATAAATATTTATTTAAAAAAAAATACAATAAAAATATTAAAATTAATTTATTATAAATCTAATTTATTTTTAAAATAATATGGATTAAGGAAAAAAAAAACTCAAAACCCAGAAAATGATAACTTAATTTGTAACATCAGGAATGTGGGTTGGATAGATAAAACTCATCCCCAATTATGGTACGAATATTTATATTTCTTGATTAGATGCTAACTTTTATTTAGTAGAACTTTATCATTTTCTATTTTGTAGTTATTCGTATAGATCTGGAAACATATATAATTTTGTAGAAAATATAATTTATATCAAAATAAAATCTTATCTAACTTAAATTCTGTAGTTAATATTAGTTTAATATATGATATTGTTATTGTTCAAAAAGGTTCAAGTGATTAATTATGATTTGTGTTAAGTGTATCCTTAAATCTTAGTGTATCTTCTTTTTATTAGTAGTTGTATTTGGATTTGTGTGTGTTTTTAGTGGATGTTCTATATTATGCAAATTTTGTGATAAGGGTAGTGATTTTAAACTGAACTTTTTGAATTACATCCTTAAAACTGACTTAACGAATGGATTATTTTGGACACTATAAATATTATATATTATTAATCCATATATTCTAATTGAGTTACAAATACAATCAACATAAAATAAAAATAATGAATCACAAAGTAGTATTGAACTTTATCCAGTAAACAAATATGGTTGCTAAACCACGTTATAATGATGAAAGAATGATGCGAAAAGCTTGGCATAAGATGAATGTGATTAGAATTAAATAGTAGGAAGAAAATAATTGGATTGTAAAGTTTCCAAAGAAAACAAGTAATAATTATCAATTATAAAAGACATTTAGTGGATTTGATGTGGGGTCACTTTCACGTTATAAAACTACCCTCACAAAATGGTGCTTAATGTTGAAATGTATAAAATTAATGATCACCATGCCACCAATCTCATGTATCACTCCTACAACAAAATATAAGTTGTAAAAACCCTAAATAAGAAGGTTAGCCGTTAAATCTATTTTTTGTTGCAATAATATAGTTAGATCTTTCTTTACAGAGGAGATATTATATATATATATATATATTTTTCCACACGCACTAACTATAAGTCAATAAATTTAAAAGAAAACCAACTGTATATTAATTATATTAAACTTTTCTTAATCAATACTGGTTAAATTTAACTAACTAATCATTAATAAAATATTATTATTTGTTTTAAAGGATAATGACATAAAAAAAATATTTTTTTAAAAACAATAAATAATGTAATATTATTTAATTATAAAATGATTTATATAATTAGTAATTATCATAATGATTTGTAAAGTAATATTTTAAATTATCTATATTATTTTCTTTAATAGTATATATTTTGATATAAAATTATGAAATGATTATATTATAATTTTTTTAGATTATTTGAAATTAAATAATATGTATTATAAATAAAAATATATATTAATTAATTGATTTGATTTCTATAATTTTTTCATATTTATGATACTTTTACAAAATTAATATATATATATATATATTAAAATTATTTATTTAAGTGAAAAATAATTTTTTAAAAATTATAGGGGAAGTAATGTGGAGACTTTTTTTAACCTTAATTTAAAGGAAAAACATGTATATTTTTCTATAGGTCCCATAATAATTTATGGCCTGGCCAGCCCTAAGAAGTAATAGAGAGGGAAATTAAATTTAGACAAGTCTTAGGTAGTTAGTTGGGCTGATGATTTTGAAATACTAACAGTGACTCTATTAGGTACTAAGGTACTTAATATGCATTTATATGTCCCTTAACTTTATTTCAAAGCTCAAACGTTGAATCTTTATTTCAATAGAACTAGAGATTTTTCATGCATTAAATAGTTACCAGAAATCTGAGATGAGATTATTTAAACAAAAACAAACGTAACATCCACATGCTCTGCCAATACACTAATAGAAACATACATAACAAAAATGTATTTTGTAATTGATTCATACAAATGATAGAGTTTGAGGTGAAGAAGTATTTGGTCCAACTGCTTCCACAACGTGTCTCCTTAAATAATGTTGAACATTTTATTTTGTGAATATGATTAGGTGGGGAGACTTCACTCAAAACAATAAACTCTTTCGCTTGCCAAAAATTCGTTACTGTTAACATATTAGACATTTTTAAAAATAATGTACCAAATAAAGTAATATTTTTAAACCTTTTTAACCTGGTCCGTTTCTATATTTTTCTAAAAAAAAAAAAAACGTATTTTTATAAAAAATTTAAAACGTGTTTTGTTTTCGGTTCTCTATTCCTTGTTGTGTTAGTACGTGGATGTTACCACGTGGTTAAGGCTTTCAACAACGGAAAAGAAAGTAGTGGACGTTACTATCTAATTAGGCTTTTGATAACGGAAAATTACACGTGCTACCTTAAAATACTATTAAAAATTGTGGATGTAAAATAAGTTAATAAATGAATAAAAATATAATTTAGTGTATATTGAAATGAAATTTTGGTAGTGAATTAAAGGAGTACGATGTGTTGCAAAGGAAGAGTTGGATTTGTGTTGGAAGTTGAATGTATTATGTAGCTTGGAGGGGTGGTTGACCGGGCAAATCCTGTGTGTCTAAAGATTGATTGAGAAAGTGGGAGGTGGAATTGAATGGAGTGGTGTAGGATATAAGCGCACGTTCCAAGACCAAAACCAAAATACTTTTGATAACATAAGCCTTACGTTTGAATTGACATCATCCCTCCTCAGCCATCACATAAATTCACAAATTCCCTTTCCTTCTAGATACCACTGCCTCCCTCGATTAAATCAAATATCACCTCTCTACTTGCTCCCACCTCCATTTCTCACCCAATCCTCAACCCCTGTTATCAATAACCATACTCTTCATTCATCGTAAAACAATCACATAATAATAATAATAATAATTATTATTATTATTATTATTTTACAAATTTAAATAAACCTTAAACAAATACTAGTACTACTCACTCTCCATTATAGCTGTCTAAAATTAAAAATATTACAATGTTCACTGAAATTCAAGAGCTGCCACTCACCACCAATTAATAAACCCCGCCCCTAACGGACCCCCGCTATATATAAACACTTCCTCCCTGTTCTTCCTTCATCATCACAACAACACCAAACAAAGAAAGAAGGAAACAAAAGAGTGAAGCGCTCAATTTTGTAATTTTGTTGCCATGGAAGTCCCAAAACAAGAAGCTCGGGTGGCACCGGCACCCCCAATGGTGGCCATGATACCATCCCCTGGCATGGGCCATCTAATTCCAATGATCGAGTTCGCCAAGCGAGTCATCAGATACCATAATCTCGCGGTCACCTTCGTCATCCCCACCGACGGCCCACCTTCCAAGGCCCAAACCGCCGTCCTCCAGGCCCTCCCTCACTCCATCTCCCACACCTTCCTCTCCCCGGTCACTCTCTCTGACCTCCCGCCTGACGCCAAAATCGAAACCATCATATCCCACACCGTCCGCCGCTCCCTCCCTTCTCTCCGCCAAGCCTTCCACTCTCTCTCCGCCACCCACACCCTCGCCGCCCTCGTCGTCGACCTCTTCGCCACCGACACCTTCGACGTCGCAACCGAATTCAACGCCTCCCGCTACGTCTTCTACCCCTCCACAGCCACCGTCCTCTCCTTCTTCTTCCACCTCCCAACTCTCGACCAGGAGGTCGACTGCGAGTACCGGGACCTGCCCGAAGCGGTGAAAATTCCCGGCTGCATTCCGGTTCACGGCAGGGATTTACTCGACCCGGTTCAGGACCGGAAGAACGAGGCCTACAAGTGGGTCCTACACCACGCCAAGAGGTACGGAGAAGCGGATGGGATAATCGAGAACAGCTTCGCAGAGCTCGAACCGGGTGCCTTGAGCGAGCTGCAGAAGGAGCAACCCGGACGGCCTCCGGTTTACGCGGTGGGACCGTTAGTAAGAATGGACGCGGGTCCGGCCGAGTCGGAGTGTTTAAGGTGGTTAGACGAGCAGCCACGTGGGAGCGTGTTGTTTGTGTCTTTCGGAAGCGGTGGGACCCTCTCGAGTGCTCAGATCAACGAGCTTGCTCACGGACTGGAAGCAAGTGAGCAACGGTTTATGTGGGTGGTGAAGAGCCCAAACGACAAAGTCGCCAACGCCTCTTATTTCAACGCGGAGAACGGGGCGGATCCATTACACTTTTTACCCCAAGGGTTTGTGGAGAGAACCAAAGGTAGGGGGCTTTTGGTTCCCTCTTGGGCTCCTCAACCTCAGGTCCTGGCCCATCCTTCCACGGGCGGCTTCTTGACCCATTGCGGGTGGAACTCCATTCTGGAGAGCGTGGTGAACGGGGTGCCCTTCATCGCCTGGCCTCTCTTCGCCGAGCAGAGGACCAACGCCTTTATGCTGACGCATGAGGTGAAAGTGGCGCTCAGGCCAAATGTTTCCGATGACGGTTTGGTCCACAGACAGGAAATAAGTAGCGTCGTCAAGTGCCTTATGGAAGGTGAAGAAGGGAAGAAGCTTCGCTACCGAATGCAGGATCTCAAGGATGCTGCTGCCAAGGCTCTCGCTGAAAATGGTTCCTCCACCAACCATATCTCCCATTTGGCCCTCATCTGGGCCAACAAATCACCTGTAACAACAAATTACTCAAATTAAACCCAACTACCTCTTCCTTCTTCTTTCTCCTCCACGTCCTGTAATATCTGCACTTAACTTATTTTTCTGTATTTTTTTTTTTTTTAATTTGGGATGATGACTGTGTTTACTGTAGTCGGATAAAAATGTCATAAATAAATAAATAAACATTGGGGTAAAGTTGTTATAAATTGAATTCCACGTGGCCCTTCACATCCCAATGATAACGACCAGGGATACTGGCCAAAAAGACAAGGGGCCCAATGGACATAAAATTCGTAACTCCATCGTGAAGGGAAACGAGATATCCAAAACTGTACGTGTCTAGCATTAGACATTAGCCCCAACTCCGTGACAAAGTTGAATGGCCAGCCAGAATGATTGTAACAAGGAAATTAATCATGGTTTTACTTCACTCAACCACTTCTTTCAAAATGTACTTCGACTTACCATTAATCACTTTGCTAAATTCCTTCTACCAGAACAAGGGTTCTTACAACTTTATAATATTTCTCTCATAATAAGGATTAAGTGATTAAACGATAGGTGTGGAACAGGTCACACACTTTGCCTTATGTCTCTTTCTTTCTTTCTTGCAGAAGCGAGTGCTCATACTGTTTTGTCTCTGGCCCCGTCCCATGCGGATGCCATTTTCCTAGGTGAGCCACACTATCTACGTATATGCTGCTCTCGCCATCTTTATATCATCTACTTTTTTATTTTTTATTTTATTCATACCTCCATCCAATTACCTTTGCCTCTTTTAAAAAAAAAAGATCTTTACTTTCAGCTTGGCGTTTTTCGTCTTTTGGGTGTTTATATTATTACATAATATATATATATATATATAAAATTGATAAAAAACAAAGTGGCACTTAAATTTTATACAGTAACATCATAATCTTTGTAGGATAAAAATAAGTTTGCCGTCTGCACCTGCACTTACTGAGATGCTTTACCCTTCTTTTAATTTTTCAAACAGAAAAAGGTTGGCACAAAAGATAAAGGAATCTTAAATGCTATATGCCATTTATATCCTGGGTTGAAATCGAAGGCCACTACTTATACTTTTTCTGTCTTCAAATTATTGATGTTGCACTTTTTTATTTTAAGCTTAATGTGTGGCAAATTTCATTAGTTTGTTACATAGACTCCTGTTTCCTAATTTGAAAGAAGTGAAAGCACGAACTTGACAAATTGCAGGAATGTCTGGTGTAAACATTTCATTGGATAAGTCTTCTTTCTAGTTGGACCCAATAAATATGATAATTAATCTGTGATCGGTTAAATATATGAAATCATAGTTTCATAATTTTTACACCTAATTATTAATATATCTATTTTCATTCTTTTTGTACTGTTTCAGCTGTAGTGGCTCCAATAGCAAAGCGCTTAGAAGAATTAGAGAGTATTCGAGTTTTTTAAGCTTGTTACCACAATATTTAAAAAATTACTACATAATAGCACATAAAAATTTCAATCATGGCTCTTGGAAAATAATCATAGTAGTTAAAAAAGGTGATACTCTATTATCAATTTATAATGCTCCATCAGTTCAGACCTTACCTACTCTGCCTCCAAGTGAAACTCTCGGGTGCTTCCTTACCTACTAAATGCATTAATAACCCATTATATACATTTATAATAAGCTTTTTGTTGAACTTTGATCTTCCAAGTTTAAAGTAAGTTCAATTATTACTCGTAGGCCTCTTGTCCTCTTCGATATGTCCATCAAATCTTATCAAGCTTCCTTCCATATCAGAATAATCGATATGCACAAAAATTGTGGATATCTCACAAATTATGGCTCAAAAAGCACCATTATTCAAGATTAACATAGATAGCACGATTGTCGTTTACGTATTCTAACTAAGAACTGGAAAAAAGAAAATTACCATGAGTTGTTGATGTTCAGAATGTATGCATTACAACTCATGTTGATAAAATGGATGGTGGCTTTGGAGGGATTCAGGTACGAAATTAAGTTGCAGTGATAAGGTAGTTGTAGAAGTTCAGTTCCGTGGGGTTGGAGGAAAGATGGTGATTGGCTATTCAGAGTTTATAAATCAGTCACATTCCAAATCTTGTGGCAGGTAGAGCGCAATTGTGCCCTGTCCAACAGGGTGTGGCAGAGTGAGTCCCATTACTTGAACTCCATTGTTTTTTTATGCAAGATTCTAGATTTAAATCTCATCAATGGTTGAGATTTTGTGGCATAGTTAATCATTAATGTATTATGAATATTTACACTAATAACATGATTTTTATTACAGAAAGAGGATGACTCACTCACATTTTGTTTTTAACGTTTTTAGAAATGTTTCTTAATTCTAAATGTCATGTCTGAGATGGTATTGTAAACTCAATCAGTTCTTCATTTCCCAACAATTATCATGATTTTTAGTTTTTAAGCAACTGCATCCTCACCACCGCATTCATACCAATTTTTCACGGCATCATCGTTTCGAAGGTTTGTGTAATTGTCACTACTGCAGCTGCAATTTAGAACCTTCTCTAACAAGTCCCACATTGGGGATGTCTCCTTACTAGGGAGGCCTTATAAGGTGGGAGGTTCTCCAACCTCTTGAGCTAGCTTTTGAGGGATGGTTCCCCTCTTAGCCTTATGGTTGTTTCGAACTGAGGTACTTTCGAGGTTCGAGAAAGCGCAGCAGTGAACTGCGAGAAAGTGCTGAGTGCCCATCGGAGGCGTTCTGACCGCCGGAGTGGTTCTGAGCCATCGTGGAGGTGCTTCGGAGCCTGTAAGATGAAGCTCGAGCTCAAAGTGCTTAGGATGATTAAAGTGTATGGTTGTTCAGCTTCATTAAGTCTCCACTATGATAATATGCTGTTTTTCTGTGGCTGGAATTAATTCATATCTAGCATGGTGATTGAAGCTTTGGATGTTGGTGTTACACGTCTTGCCAAAAACCAGAACGTGAACAACACTATTCAGCCACACGAGTTAAAATGTATCCTTCGAAAGAAGAAAGCAACATCGTCACGGATTGTTTCTGCAGATAATTTCACACACAGAAACGTATATACTCTCTCCACAGTGGCAAAATTGACCAGCATTCTTGTCTTGTTAGCCTAAGCTCCCAAACAACACATGCCTGCACCAATTCAATTTTGTTTTTACACATGGATAACGTACGCCTTAGATTCAATTTCAATTAGAATGTACAATATCATCATAATTATTGATTAAAGTTAAGTTGAATTACTTTAAATCGAATAATTTAGTACTTTCGTCTGATTGTGACTTCAAAAAAATTAAGCATAGGATCTAATTACAAAAAAGCAATAAGAAGATTGATGCATGTCTAGAATGTGTTAGATAAGTATACATAGTGCAAGAGAAACAGATTTTGAAAACATGAAAGCATGTTCTGTTTTGTTTTAGAAAAACTAAATCATGGTTTACGTAATATTTTAATTCCCTTAAGCAAAGGACAGAATCCAAATCAGAACCATATCTTCTTCTTGATTTGGAATGCATCCAATTTTTGTGTGCCCGTCGATATTTGGAGTGTGGGGCTCTGTCTCATGTGCTATCATTTTTAAATTTAATCACTTTATTTTTTTAATTTAATACCTAACACTGGAGATGGAGTTGTTCATTCATTCAGGTGTAGGATTACTGACATTTTCCAACACCCAACCCCAATTTGGGTATCCACGCACCCATTTACAAATCAGCCCAATAACTAAAAATTTGGTTTATAATTTCGTAATACTCATGCATACTTATTACTCATTTTGGTTCATCACCAAACAACGGAACGCAAAGAAAATAAATGATTCTTTCCTCTTTAAGTTTATAAGTTTTGAATTCAAAGAGAAAGACGATAATCAGAGCAACAATGATTGGGTGTGTGTGCCAACTGATCCTCACTTCTTGATGAGTTTCAGATTCTTCCGCAATTAGGTCACGCATAGCGTTCAACACGAACCCCAAACGCTTCTATTTCCTTCTCCATGGATTGTGATAGTTTAAAATATCCACGTATTAACACTACCTACCAGTGACGGAGCTTCGTAGTTGAGGAACTCTTAAAATTTGTATACTTATAATGATTATATCCACTTATATAATTTTAGTTTTTTATATTTTTTATTATTTATTAATGATATATTGTTGTGTGAATTTGTTTGGACAATTTTGTCACTTACACGGTGTTAGCAGACGCATTTTAGCTAAACGAAGGCCATTTTTCAGGTATGGTGCTTAACTTAGTTGTTTAGTAAACAATTATTTATCTTGTAACCAACTATGTTAGGGTTCATGTAACGAAAATTCCTAAAATACAAATAACATTCCTTCTCAAGCAAGCATATTTAACAACAAAAATAATAAATTAATTAAAAATATTACAAATAAATTTAAAACCATGTTCTAAAAAATCTTTTACATCAATATTCTTAACTAATCAACCTCTTAAATCATATTTACTAAAATAAAATAAATTTAAGATTATTTTACATCAATTTTAAACGAATACAAACATTTATATATTGTATTTACAAAATCACATTAATAATAATAATAATAATAATATATAATACTTATTAAAATAAATTTTTTAAATTAGTTTAATTTAATTTTGATCTTATAACCTTGTTTAAAAAGAATTCAGTTTCATAAAATTAAATGAAAAATCTTTATAAATTTTATAATCTCCTATGCAATTATTATTATTTGAAGTTAAAATATAATATTAAATTAATATAATTAAATTATTTTTAAATTACCAAGTAAAATATAAATAAAAATTATCAAAATATGGGTATTTTTAAAAATGAATTATTAGAGGAAAATATGTAGAAATTTAATAAAAATTATTTCAAAATGACTTTACATAATAAATTTATTTAAAGGGAAATAAGAAGTCCAACCACACTATATTCTTTAATCTATTTCAACAACTACATTAAGTGTTTTTTTAATTAATATAAATAGTTCATTTTACCTATATTTTTCTCCATTTGTTTTTCAGTATAGAGTTCATAGATATTTTTTTATTTATATTTATTTATCACTTTTAAATTTTAAAATTATATTAATTACTTGCATTAAATATATTTATATATTTTTTAATTTTTAAATAATGTAAATATGCATGTAATATAAGAATATTCAAAAGTGAAGTTATATATATTTAAAAAATAATAACAAGTTGGTTAAAAATTTTAAAATAATTTTTTTTTAAATTAGATGTATATGTTTTTTTCACCTAAGTAGTTTAGTTTAAATTTTACATTAATAATTAAGAATTAATGTAAAATAATTTAAATATAATTTTATACGTTTAGAATGAATCAATCAATAACAAAAAATATATATATAACATATTTTAAGCTGGTTATAATTATATTATTATTTTGATATTCATGTTTATCAAAATGATAAAAAAATTGGTATTATAATTTTTAATTACAAGATTATCTAAGAAAAAAAATAAAAAAAAACATATATTTTGATTTAACAATTTTTCATTATAAAATATTGAATAATTTTATTATAAAGAAACTATTTAAATTAATTGACTAATATTTTATGGTAGATCAGTTTAGACCAAATCGCAAATGTCGTAATGTAACGTATGAGATATAAAAAAATTATTATATTTTGTATCTGTTTATACATCAATAAAAAGACAAATAAAGAGAAAACAAAGGAGAGAGTAATTTATGGTGAGGAAGTACCAATAGAAAGAAAGTGGATTGTAAAAAAATGTGTGAAAGGACAGTTAATATATTATTCTACGTCTGATCGGTGTCTCGGGGTGTGGGGGAGAGAAAGGGAAGGTGAAGAGAGAAAGAGAAATGGAGAGCGAGAGAAGAAGGGGCAAGGTATGCGTCACCGGCGGTGCTAGTAACATAGGCTCTTCTCTCGTCAGTAAGCTTCTCCAGAAGGGCTACACCGTTCACTCCACCCTCAGGAACTTCAGTACTCTCTCTCTCTCCCTATCCTCTCTTTTTTTCCTTCTAGTAACAAACATTGCATATTTTTTGCCCAAACAAATGCATGAACCTAACCTTCAACTCTCACGCTAAGCGACAAACAATGGATAATTAACTCATTAATTGCAGGGAATGAGTCGAAGATAGGGCTTCTGAGAGGCTTGCCTCACGCAGATGAAAGGCTGGTGTTGTTTGAAGCAGACATATATAGGCCTCAGGAGTACGAGGCTGCAATCCAAGGCTGTGAAATTGTCTTTCACGTCGCTACTCCCTACGAACATCAATTGGATTCCCAGGTCTCTCATTAAACAAACATCATCAATCATTATATCATCGTATGAATTCTCTTTTTACTGTCCTTTTAATTTTTGGCAGTTTGCGAACACCACTGAGGCTGCAGTAGAAGGAGTGAGAAGCATAGCTACATGTTGTATGAAATCGGGAACGGTTAGACGGCTGATTTACACAGCTTCCGTGGTTGCGGCTTCTCCGCTTAAAGAAAACGACGGAGCTGCATGTTTCAAGGATTTCATCGATGAAACCTGCTGGACGCCTCTCGATCTTTCGTTAGATCTTCATAAGGTTATGATATTTTAAAATATTGTCTCACCTCAAAACATATAAATGAACACAGACAGCACGTTCCAAAAAACATGTTATATATCCTGTTTCTCAACATTTTAACAAGTTTTGTGAAAAAAGTTTTGAAAACAGTATGTGGTTATTTTTCAGGGGTACGTTGATTCGAAGACAAGTGCTGAGAGAGAGTTATTGAGCTATGGAAGCGGTGAAAATGGAGGAAGATTAGAGGTGGTGAGTTTGGCGTGTGGCCTAGTAGGAGGGGACACTCTTCTCAGTTACACACCACTGAGTGTCTCAATGCTTTTCTCTCAGCTACGAGACAATGAAACCACGTACCAGTCTTTGAAGTTCTTGGAGGATTTGATTGGAAATATCCCAATAGTCCACATTCATGATGTCTGTGAGGCCCACATCTTCTGCGCGGAGAATCCTTCCATTAATGGCAGATTCTTGGTTGCAAGCTCCTATTCATCAACTGCAGATATAGCAAATTACTATCTTCAGACCTATCCCCAATTTATTTTGAAGAAGTAAGTTATTACTTTCTATATATTTATGCTGCAGCTAGCTATTATGACATGAACACAGTTACTCTTTTTTCTTTTCTTTTTTTAATTTAAAAAGATGAAAAAGTTGACCATCCAAAAATTTTCAATTACAAGAATATATTTGGAAGGACCGAAAAGGGATATAAAATGGGCGTCATCGAAGCTCACAGACAAAGGGTTTGTTTATAAGCACGACCTGAAGACGATATTAGATGACTGCATCAAATGCGCAAAAAGGATGGGTGACCTCTAGTATCCACTGATTATATATAACTATGTTATAAAAAATTTTGGAATTTTGTGGATCTTACATTTCATGCAAATTATGTGTTAAGAAAAGTATATTAAAAAAGATGTTTCTAGTCTTTTAAGACAATTTTAAGTGACTGATCTTAAAGATTTGCCATATGCTACAATCATAAAGCCGTGAAGGTTTGATTACATAGTGAAAGTTTGTTTATATAATGAAATTAATGTCTAACATAACAAATAATTTGTTTAGGTTCCTTCATTTTGTAATTTTATTTATGGATTTAGTTTTGATTTAGTTTATAAAAGACACACTCATAAATAGGGATTAGGGATTGATATGTTCCTATCCCATATTTGAAAAAAGATAAAATTTTAAGACAATTATAAGTTAGGGATCTTAAAGATTTGACCATGCTAACAATATGATCAATTTTTATAATTAAGATATTGATTATTTTGGAGTTTTAATTTATTTTAATTTTATTTTTAAAAGACGTTTAAATTAAAAAAAAAACTTATATAAAATATTATTAGTCTTACCTCCTGTTCACTCCACGTAAGACTCTCGTGAATATTTCAAAATTATATATATTATCTATAAATGAAATGAATATTTAATTTTGATTAAGATAACAAATTCTTTCGTTTTAAAAATTTATTTATTGATTTAGTTTATAAAATACACCTTTATATGTTTAATAGACAGTGATATCTTTATAATATATAAAGTATAATTTTTAATTTATTAAATTAAATATCACATCAATTTTATATATAAAGGTATTAATTTCAATTTTACTTTTAATAAAAACAATTTATTAATATATACATACTTTTTTAGTTTAAATTTTTATTCGTTTATATGAAAAATATTGAGTAAAAAACTAATTACTAGAATAGAAAAAAAATTCTCATATATTTTTAGGAACGAAAAAGTGGAAAGTGAAAAAGACTATTTTATTACAGAAAATTATTTTATTTAAATAAATTATTATTCTTATTATATTTATTATTTTAAAGAATAAATAAATAATTTAAGATATTTTGTTATTTAATTGTAATATGATATTATTTTATTAATTTAAATAATTTATAGAAAATTAATTTAATTATAAAAAATATTTTATAATTATATATCAAAATATATATTATTAAAAAATAGATATTAATTTAATAGTATTAATAATAAAAAATAATTAATAATTATATGAATTGTTTTATAATTTAAAAAATTTAAATTACATTATTTTTTAAAATAAATATTTTTTTCACGTTATTTTTTAAAATAATAAAAATATTTTTTTATTATATTTTATCTATTTTTCATTTTGTTTTCTTTCTTTTCTCGTATTATCTTTCTTTACTATCAAATAGACCCTAAATTAATATAACTTAACGTTGAACAACTTTCAGTATTATTTTTTTAATCATAATTAATTAAACACATAAATGTTAACATTAATTAAAAAAATATTTTTTTAAGTACATAATTCATTTAAGTAGAATATTTAATATTTGTTCCTTAAAAAGAAAATTACAATGTTCTATCTCGAGAAACCAATGTGAGAAAAACTTTAGTTTATTTAATCATTATGAATTTGTCTTTTAGTAGTATTTTGTTTTCTTTTTCTTTCAAACTTTAGGTCACTAGCAATTAATTTTTAATATCTCACTATAGAGATTTTATTATTTTAGAAGGTAAAGTGTTATTTTAATATACCTACTATTTGTTGACTTTGATAATTGAGAAAGATAATTTTTTGTTTTGTCCACTTCATAGCCATTTGCAGGTATATGCAGATGTGAACAAGAAAATGACAAATCCCGTGAAAGTTTCAAGTGCAGAAACGACAATTAGAAGATATTGTTGGTCAATTTATTTTAAAAAATAATAATACTTTTAGGATTCTTTTTTAAGGAGTTAATTGTATAGGACATGATTTATTGTCGGTTCAGTTGATTTTAAACTTTAGTTTAAATACCCTAATTTAATTATTTTTAAATAAAAATAGATGGAGTTGTGGTTACAAGTTTAAAATCATATTCTGGAATGATCTTGTGTTATAATGGGGTGTTTGCTAGAGAAATAAAAAAAGAGAAGGATGAGGCTAATGAAAGTAAGAGAACAAATATTTTAAAAGAAGTGGATCTCAAAGAAAAATTCAAAAGTTGAAAACTGCAAGAAAACATCTCATGGCGGCTTCTATTATTTTATTATAATAACAATAAAATATCAAGACAAGATTAGAATTATGATAAAGTCTAATCTCATTAACTTCCAATTATTGTCCTTTATTGTAGTTGACCAATTTCATTAGTGTTCTGTGCCTTAAAGAATATTGTCTGAACTACAACTACTTCCTTGCTATTTTTTAGAATATGTGCATGTTTTTTATTTTTAAATATCTAATCAATATTTATAATAAATATTTATTTTTTTCTTATCATATCATATTACTTATACTGCATATTTTTAAATAATTTTTTCTTTTACAATGTTCCATTTTATTTGAGGTATTTTTTTTCTTATGGCCAGTTGAGTTGTCTAGGTAGCTAAACACGTGGGGGTAGATGTCTGTCGTTGGAAAAAGTATGTTCAACAATATTATATATGTTATAAAGTTAAGTTTTTTATATATATCAATATACGATACAGTTAAATATTTTTTACTCAACATTTCATCATCCAAATCTTATGTAATTAATTATTATTAATTCCAATAAAAAACTATATTAAATAAAAAAATACTGACTTTCATTTGGATTTACATTATCTTAATTAAAAATATTATATCACTAACATCTTTCAAATTTTTTTTTTAGTATTGTTAGTGTAAAATATATGAAATACTTGCATTGTTATTCGCACGGATTATATTATATATTTAATAAATTAATAAAATAACTTAAAAATAACAAAAATATAAATTATAATAAATAAAAAGGTTATGCATAATATTATTGAAAATTTACTTTTAATGTAAGTTTATATGCTCAAATTATATTTAATTGAATACAACTTATTCAAATGTATTTGATTAAAATGAAAATTAATTATAAAATTTAGTATAAAAAATAATATATTAATATTAAATCAATATTATAAGAACTCTTTTAAAGGTTTTTTAAGATTTTTTATATGTTACATTCTTTGTTCATAATTAGAATTTTTAATCTCTTTTTGGTTATTATTATGATACAATCATATATAATTAACTAGGTGTAAATATTGGAATTGGAAGATAAAATCTTATTTTATTAAATGAGTGTCCTTAACTTTTGTTTATTGTTATTGAAAAACATAACGATAAAGAAAATTATATTTTCTAAAACTTGAAGAGAAATGTTGGATATAAAGAAATTAAATTTATCCTTAGTATAAATACTTTGTCACTGGTGTTTTTTCTAATAATTATAATCTGATTCATGTGGACTCTTCCCCAAACTAACGAAGAGATCTTGACGAAATTATTACATATGAAATTGAACATAATTTTGCAAAGAAATAACCTTCTTGTTTCTCAAAAAGAGATGAAGAACATGTTTAATATTATTAGAATGAATAATTGACTCAATCTCTTATTGTTTGAATAAACTTTCCACTTTGTTTAGTAATTTTCACAAAAAACAAACATAAAATAATAAATTCAGTCTTTCATTAAAATTTCAAATAATTATTCCGAATTGAAGTTGATTATGTTTCGTCTCTTTCTCAAGAAAAGATGATAAAAATAAATTCAATCATAATTTGTAGTTGAAATAACATTTTTTGTCCGAATTATTGATTTGCAATATTTTTTAAAAGTATAATAGGGACACCAACTTTTAACCTAAAACAATTATTTGAAATTTCTATATATTTAAAGTCATTTAGAAACCATTCACCTTGAACTTGTTGGTTTTCTAGTATATAAATTATTTTTGTCATCCAATATTAGAGACAAAATAAATTAAATAGTTGGTAACTTGTATTAAATTTTAAAAAAATTATATATAAATTAAAAAAAGCTTAAAGATGGTCTAACTTCCATTCTCTATTTATATAATATAATTATTTTTCTAAACAAATTAATCACAATCAATAAATTATTAATAACTATTAAATAATAATAAATCCAGTAGAAATACCAATAAAAATGATCTTCAATATTTACTTTTAAATACATCAACCTAATGTATTTTTCTAAAATATATAAATATTAAAAAGAACCTAAAAGGGAACAAAATCTATAATTGAATCTCAACTAAGTTTCATTCATGGTTTCGTAGTACTCAAAATAAGAAACTACATGAATATTTGTAAACACTTCTAATAGGACTTGATTTATTCATTTGAATTGTGATAAGGCCAACTCAGAGGATTCAAGAAATTGTAACCTCCGTCGAACACAAATGAATTTTTCATACCTATTATACAAGATGAAAAATCAAAATGAGAAAAATATTAGTCAATGTTTAGGAATAAAAATAACATATCACTTTAATAAAAGTTTATAAACATAAGTTATTTTATCCATAACAATTCATATAATATTAATATAGTATCAAAGCACGATATCATCAAATTAAAAATAATTTATTTCATTAAATTTACGGGAGAACACATACACACTCATAGTTTAATCTATTTAAGCAAATAATAAATCCAGTTTGGCCAACATACCCAAATAAGAGACAAAATAATCCTATATATTTATTCATCAACTCAATTACTAATTCTACCTATGCATTCACAAAAAAGATATATTACAAAATATCAGGACATTCACAAAAATCTATATTATAAAATATTAAGTGCAGCTTGTAAGCTATTATTTAAGTGTGCGACTCAAAGTTAACTAGTATTATACAAGCCCAGTAGGTGTAGCTAGTGCAAAAGTAATCACTAATATTTTGAAAAAGAAAAGAAAAGAAGGGTATCTACTGTTTATTATAGATGAGCTCTATCTAATTTTTTTCCAAGAAAAATGTAGGACATATCAATAATATAAAAAAAAAATATAACAAATAAACTATATTGCTTATATGAAGTATCCTAAGTTAAGTCTTAATGGTGTTAGAATAAACAGATTTAGAGAGTAACACAAAAGTAGAAAATGTAAAAGAAAATTATGACATTAAGCAAATTATAACTTGTAGAAGTGCACGTGAGAAAAGAGTACGAGGTGAAGAAGAATGAAGAAGAATAAATTATGGGAAGAAATGAAAAAAAAAAGAAGAAGAAGAAAAAGAGTGTGAGACAAGAGCATCAGAAGAAAGAGGGAGCATGAGAGTTGAGAAATGAAAGGAAAAAGAAGATGGGTGCTTGAGAGATGAGAATGGGAAGAAAAAGAAGTTGGAGAATAAATAATAACTATATAATAAGTTTAAATACTTCAATAAAAATACTTTAAAATTTTATATTAATTTTTTTTATATTATTATAGTAGAATATTGTGAAATTTATTTTAAATTCTTATTTTGAATGTATTTAAGATCTATTATTATTTTTGTATTATCATTAAATATTAATATTTTTTATGACATTTTTTTCTTTAATGAATGAGAATTGTTTTAAAAAGAATTTCTTTTAAACTTTTATTAAAAAATATTATAAATTCTTAAAAAAATTATTTGTTTACACGGATTTTTAAAATTAAATTTTTAATTTCGAGCTGATTTATTATAATATAATAAGCGGATTTACCACATCAATCAATTAAATACTCTTTTGTCGATTCTGAAAAAAATCGGCTCTCTATAATAAAAAATCAGATGCAGATTGAGAATCACAATCTGAAATATACAGGAAGAGTGTGTGGACAGTATTTCAGTACGGAAAGCAAATGAAAACAGGGGATGGATGCAAGGTATGTGTGACAGGAGGCAGCGGTTACATAGGTTCGTGGCTCATCAACAAGTTGTTGGTCAAGGGTTACACTGTTCATGCAACTCTCAGAGATTTGAGTTTGTATTTTCTCCCTTTCTCTCTCTGCATACATATGCTGTTTTCTTCTGAATCTTGCTTCATACTTTGGAACATATTTAATCAACAGAGAACGAGTCAAAGGTTGGCCTCTTGAAGAGCCTTCCACAAGCACATGGAAAACTGGTTCTGTTTGAGGCTGATATTTACGACCCAATTCAATTCGATCCTGCGATCCAAGGATGCCAGTTTGTGTTTCATGTTGCTACTCCCCTCACCCATGAACCCGGTTCATCTCAGGTTCGCCTCTCTAACTCTATACATAACTCAATCTGTCACAAATTCTTGACATGTCTTTTGAGTGATGTGACTATAAGATCGATGCATGCATTGCAGTACAAGAGTACTACTGAAGCAGCAGTTGCAGGAGCAGAAAGCATTGCCATGTCATGCGTGAGAGCAGGGACGGTGAAGCGTCTTATCTACACTGCGTCTGTTGTTTCAGCCTCTCCACTGAAAGAAGATGGGAGCGGTTTCAAAGATGCAATGGATGAAACCTGTTGGACTCCTCTCAATGATTCCTTGGAATATGCATTCCTTGATGATCCTCTTTACAAGGTTAGTTTCCAACTTTTTATTCTTTAATTTGTTTCAAAGAAAGAACTCGGATTCCTTCTACTCTTTGCTCTGTTTTGCATTTTTTTGTTGTTGTCTAGATTATGATAGAAAAGTAAGGAAATAGGACACCTGATAGAAACAAAGAAAGATGCGTGGAACAAATGAATTGAAAAAGTAGAAGAATTTCTTTCCATTAGTTTTATTTTAACCAATTTAAAAGACCATAAAAATAAAATAAGTTATATTAAAAATTAAACCAGAAAATGACTTTATTGGAAAGGTCTTATGTTTGAAGGAGTATACATATTCAAAGACGCTGGCTGAGAAACATATATTGAGCTTTGGGAATGATGAAAATGGCCGAGGAGGATTGGAAGTGGTAACACTCCCTTGTGGATTAGTGGGAGGTGACAGCCTTCAATCTTCTGCACTACGTAGCATGGTAGTTTGTATTGCACAGATCGTGCAAAATGAAATGGCCTACAAATCACTCAAGTTCTTAGAGGGATTGCTGGGTAAAATCCCTCTTGTACACATTGATGACGTCTGTGAAGCTCATATTTTGTGCATGGAAAGCACCTCCATCAGTGGAAGATTCTTGTGTGCAAGTTCTTATGTTTCGTTACAAGAGATGGCTAATCATTATGCTCGCTATCATCCAGAATTCAATGTCAAACAAGAGTAAGTGATCTAGTCTTTGAATACACCAATCAATTAATAAGTTTTCTTCCTATTAGTTGTTTACAGTTTCATCTGAACCACATTTCAGACATGAAGATGGGCCGAAGAAGGATATCAAGTGGACCTCAACAAAGCTGTGTGACAAAGGGTTTGTATTCAAATATGATGCCAAGATGATATTGGATTGTTGTATCAAATGTGCAAGAAGGATGGGTGAACTCTAGTCTCCATCTAAACCCTTGCTGTATCTCCTTGTAATACAATAAATACCAGGCATCTGCCTTGTTTTTTCTTGCTCCTTTGTTGCTTCTGGTATTATTTTTGTTCTTTTCGATTAAAAAATAAACTTTGTTTCAAATCAATTAAAAAAAGTGAATTCTTCGACTTTTGAGAATTTGCAATAGTAAAAAAAGAAAAGAAAATGAAACTCGAGCTGAAGATCATACTGTTTGCATTTTAAATGTATAAATCAAATTAACTAAGAAAATTGATCACCAAACAGTTAAACTATTCCCTCACTGCAAGGAATCGGGATCCTTGGGCTAAATTGATCAAAATCATTTTCTCTTGTTTGGTGGTATGAAATTGACCATTGATCACAATTCTAGACAGCAACTGATATAAAACCTCATTCATTTCAGAAATTCAATCTCTGAGGAGCTAAAAGAAACACCTGAACCAATTACAAGTACAAAATGCACAAGTAGACTACAGCTACAAATTATTTACGCATTACACCCTATGTAAAGGTACATTACATACAGGAAAATTCTACTAAACTAGGATGACAAGGAGGTTTCGTTGTCTTTATTTTATCAACATGACTTATGATTACCCTTCCATTGTCAGCATCTACGACTCACCATATAATCCACTATTGCTACGCTATTCTTAGTTTGTTCCACTCTTCAAGTATCTATGTGGAAGTGCAGGGAAGTTCGTATGGAGAGAAAAATTCAGGGGTGTTGAGAGGGAACTCCGTGTCAAAATCCCCTTTATGAAGGAAAATGTCCAAATCCAGGATTGGGGAGTTTGTCACTGAAGTTGAGGCTGAAACTGTCTCACTGATATCAGATTCTAAGGTTTGTATGTGTTGGCATAACAGTTCAGTGCTGTCCAAGTGGTACGCTGACAAACAGAAAGGGTTGGAATCTGAAGTTTCTGGTGATATGAATACAGGAGAAAAGCTTTCCATGAAATGGTTTTCAATCATGGACTCGGGTAACATTTCTGATCCAATTGATGGATATGGAAATGAAGACCATGGAAACATATCCTCCTTGATTTCCAATTCTTCGGTCTTGACTCTAAGCTCTGTTTCAAAGGTGGAAATCCCCTCTGGGGTTTGTTGTATTTTCTCTTGAAGCGGTTGATTATTTTGATCATTGTGGAATTGATTTTCCCCCAAACCCATCTTTATGTTTGATGGGAATGCCTTGTTCAAATGCTTAGCCTGCGTGCATGTATGCCTTCCTCTGTAGGTCACCTCAATTGTTGTCGGGTCTTCATCTGACCTTTGAACTTGTTTTGTTGCCAGACACCCTTGTACATTTCTATGTGTGCATCTGTAATATCCTCTGCAATGCAAACCACAAGGTGTCAATTTTTTGCCAAAACTAGAAAATAGTTTCTTCTTCTTCGTCTTCTGAACATTAAAACTAGATTGGCAAAGTCAGTTTGGTTAAAATAGCAAAATATTATTACTAGAATCCCCTTTGTTTTATGACTTGATGAGGACGTTGGAGAATTAAAGTGAATTCTTTTATGATACTTTTAGTTATTGTGAAATTTATAGTACAGGTTGTCCAAAAATAAAGAATGAGAAAAAAAGAGCTTTAATGTCCTATTCCTATCACTCATTATGAATTCGATTGCGATTTGCATGTTATAGCATTCACTATTGAATGCTGTACATGAGCAGCCAAACCCTCAACCGACATGACACGCTACAACAAGTTCTTCCAATATCTCTTGCACAACTCACATAACCTCATTAATACAACTCAGCACCTTTAACACAAGGCACTGATTTAAGTTCATTTGAATAAGTTCACAAATTGTCGAGTCATTTTTAAAACACTGGAGGTGTCTAGAGCAATTAAAACAAGGAAAGAGAACTCATTGTACATGCATATTTTATTTTCCTCATTAGCTCACCACTGATTTTTCAGTAACCTGGTACCTAAGGCCAATTATGCAGACTTATACTAAGAAAAAACATTGCTAATTAAACTTGTTCAACTTATAACAAGAAAGTTAAATGAGAAGAGAGCATCTAACTGACCTTGGAAACTTAGATCCAAGAATATCCTTCTGCCCGTATTTTCTCCAGCTATATCCATCATCCAAAGACCCCTCAAGTCCTGTTCTTGAGCAAATCTTCACTTGCTCCGTCCATCTAGGCACGGTCTTTCTACACGCCACAAATTCAAAGAGCCCCATATTGATTTGAAATCAGAACAAGAGTCTCAACAATTGACACAAGTCACAAAGGAAAAGAACTTGCTAACTTGTGACATTACCTTTTCTTGAAGACAGATTTGTGCTCAAATTCACGGTCCACGACCTCACTTCTGGGACCCCCACCATTTGTAATAGAACAATGGGAATCCATCCTTGTGCCACTGGTGGTTTTGGCCTCTCCCGCAATAGACCCCCAGTTCAGAATGGTGAGTGCTTTCTCGTAAGACAAGAGTATTTTCTCAACCAACAATTCATTGGTTTCATAGGATGATGGAGAAGAAGAAACCAGATGGTTACCGAGCTGCTTTGTAAGCTCCTTTCCTTGGATAAGTTCATGGATCAGGCTAGTGTGTTTTCTTTTGGTGCTCTCTTCCATTTTGTGCAAATGAACTAAAACAATAACAGCCAATTACTCCCCCACTTGGTTCTAAGGCCCTGAATTCCTGAGTTCAAGGATTGGTAGCCGAATTGCTCTCAACAAGGTATCCAATCATTTTAAGAAGATTATCCAAGCAAATTGTGGTAGTGAGGTTATGCCTAAGAGGGGGTGTTTAAGTGAGGAGATATAAGGCAGCAAAGTGAAAGTGGAGGTAAGTGTGAAATAGACAGAGAACTTGGTTTGGAAGGTAAGACGAAGAGGGAGGATATACATATAAAGGTGAGAATTTGAATGGAAGGATATAGATTTGACTGGCCAAACCGAACGAGTTTTCCACAACGTGGGTCCATAACAGTGGAGAGTATGGTGTGTATATAGGTTCGCTTGAGTCTTTGAGAGTGATACTTTTTTATTCGATGTGCTGACCCTTTCAAACCCCTTGGATGGGTCAAGAGAGCCTCACGCGTAGTTTCGTCCTTATGAAACCTTCTCGACAACACATGGAAACAGGACCGAAGATTCTTCTGCATTGCACCTCATCATTTCCGATCCAATCTCTTTACTTTCCAAGCACTTCTCTGTTCCATCTCCTTTCTTATTTTGAACAAAAATTCTTCCAAAACAATTACACAGAAAGTGAATTACATGCTAAGAATATCAGTAAAATGTTGCTTAAAAAAATAACTTTTTTTGACAGAGTTGAAGAATAAGTAATTTTATTTGGTTGCAGCTACTGAACTAGTCACGAAAGAGGGTAAGTGAAAAAAAATAAAAAATAAAAAATCTTAAGCATTAGATTGTAGGTGGAGCAGGAGGTGAAAGGAAGCGACATGACGTTGGACAATGTTGTTATCATAATGTAATGTGCATCACATTACTTGCAACGTTGATGTTTGTGTTAACGCTCTAACGTGAGTCTCGTCCCTCCCCCCATTAATTGCCCCATCCTTGGGTAGGTGTCCGTCTCGTAGGATTGAAGGAAAATGGTGCTTCATCAACTCTTCAATTTGGGATGAGTTTAATGCGTTTATTAAAATAAAATCTTATTTAATACTTCACCTTGTTATTAAATCTGGTGCTATCTAACCTGATTAAGTTTAATTTCACGTGTTTATAAAAGTCAATTAATTTTTTATTTGTATAAAAAGGTCAAATGGTCAAGTTGACCTTTTTAAATATAAAAAAAATTATAAATAACTTTTAAATTAAAACGTCTCCTTGTATTTTTTTTAAATCTCTATCACATAACGACTTTTTTTCTAAATAATACTGTTTTTAAAAATATTTTCCAAAATAAGCACTCTCTGCAACTTTATTTACACAACTAAGCATTGTTCATTGTTCACGTAATAAAATAATATTATTTTGCGCAACTTTTTACTGTTCACGTATTAAAATAATATTATTTCGCACAATGAACTCTCGCTCAAGCGAAGAAACCCTTCGGTTGAGCGAGGAAATCCGTAAGAACGTAGTTATCTCTGGTCAACTCTCGCTCAAGCGACAGATATTTCGCTTGAGCGAGAACTGATTAAAATATGTGGTGACCCAAGTTGCGTTATGTGGCTAACTGCGTTGGACGTTTAGCGAAATAATGCAACTTGGGTTTAGATAGCGGTTCTAGAACGAACCACTATTAAAAATATATTTTAGATAGCGGTTAATGTGGAACCACTATTATATGTTACTTCTAAGAGCGGTTAATATGTTAACCGCTCTTAAAAGAGAGACATATAGTTGGACCGTGGGCAACTATCGCTCAAGCGAGACACACTTCGCTTGAGCGAATATATTTATACTCGATTATAACGTGAAATAATCGATCATAATTTTAAAATAATCGACATATAATAGCGGTTCCAAGTTAACCGCTATGTAAAATCTACTTTTAATAGCGGTTAGTTCTAGAACCGCTATCTAAAGTCTCGGGTCAACTATCGCTCAAGCGACGGGTATTTTCGCTTGAGCAAAAAGTGATTGAAATATGTGGTGACCCAGGTTGCATTATGTGGCTAACTGAATTGGACGTTTAGCTATGGTCAATTATCGCTCGAGCGAGAAGTTCATCGCTTGAGCGAGAAAACCTGCAGGTGACCCAGGTTGCATTATATGATGTTGCTGAAAGGGGAGTTTGTTCTGTTTATGAAATTATCTTGTGTCTGTATTGTTTTACCTGGAGCTGACTGTAATTGATTCATTGAAGGTGAATATGGGGATGATAGCATGTAAAGAGAATTTAAAATTTCTTGATCGATGGTTGGTTGGTTACTCGAGGGTTAAAGTGCTTGAGGTTGTGGGGTCTGTCAAGCATCAATTACGTGGAGTGGCTTAGAATGATCAAAGAAGTGTTTTTACAGTATTTTAATCGATACAAAACCCTGTAGAACCCATTATGATCGATCAGATTTGAAATATGAGCGATCAGAACTTATTTCAATCGATTAAAACACGTTTCAATGGATTAAAATCACTTAAAGGGTCAGAATGATCGATCAGAATGCAGTTATGACCGATCAGAGTTGGTTATGATCGATCAGAATTGAATTATGACCGATCAGATCTGTTTCAATCGATTAAAACGCATTTCAATCGATTAAAACAACTTGGAAAAATTTTGTACAAAGTTTTAATCGATTAAAACTTCTTTTTATCAGCTAAAATAACTTGGAAAATTTTATAAGAAAGTTTTGCAGTATATCAATCGATTAAAACACGAAACAATCGATTAAAATTTCTTGACTGATGGTTGGTCATTTTTGTTATATTGAGTTGTATGACTGATATGTACATCAATAGTTAGCAAAAAGTTCCTTAAATAACCTTTGATTTCATCAAAGTCAAAAGATCTTCGTTTTATCAAATGATTCAATAAGATCTTCATTACTTTCAATTAATTGAAAAACTCCTAAGTTTCATACATTGAGACATTTCTTAACTAACACAATCTAATGATGCGAAGTAGATGCACATGCATCATTAGGACATGTTCTTCTGCTATGACCAGGGGTATGACAATATGAACATTTTTTAATCATACTTTGATGTTCTGTAATGTCCATCTCAGTTCTTATACGACTTGATTTTGGTCGGCCTTTTGAAGTTCTTTTCATTTCTGGATTTGCACACAAAGTAGGTCCTGTGTATGTTGGCCAATATTCTTCATTTCGCAATAACCCAAATTGTGTTCCATATACCTTTGAAACTTGTTGTAAGGTATACACTGAATTAATATAGTTGTTGAAGTCATGGTGTGCATGCTTGCATGCAGCAAGAACATGTGAACAAGGCATGTGAAATTTTTGGAATTTCCCACGATCACACCATAACTCATCAAGGTGAACTGCAAACTTCCCTGCTGGTCGAACTTCACGAGGGTTTTGTGTTTCTTCTACTACAAATTTTGTGGTAGACCTGTCAAACGTTATGACCACTGTGCGTGTTTGTACGTGTTTGTGCTTCCTCTAAATTTTTGACCAAAATTTCGAGTATACATGACCGAGCATTGATCATGGCATCTATCTGCCTCCCTCTTTCAATGAAAAATTTGTTGCAACGGGTGTACGTTGCGGTGACCATGGAGCAAATAGGTAGATTTCTTGTTTTTTTCAAAACAGAGTTGATAGACTCTGCTATGTTGGTCGTCATGTGGCCCCAACGTCGCCCATTGTCCCATGCAAGTGCCCATTTTTCTCTAGGTATCTCATCCAACCAATTAGCTGCTTGTATATCACATTGCCTCAAGATGTTGTAATAATAGTAGAATCGTGGTTCAGTCATCCCATACGCTACAACAATATTAAAAAAACATAGTTAATATAAATATTTATTAGCAATGTGGTGTTTTTGAAATTGTAACAAATTTGAAGCAAAGGAATTACCCATATTTACAACATCTTTCCTCAGTGCGGTGTTTTTGAAATGTCTCATAAAATTCTGTGCAATGTGTCTAATGCAGTAGACATGCATTGAATTATTTTCTGTCCATCCGCTTCCATTTCTCATGTATGCACTTCTAATGGATTCATGTCGGTCTGATATGAGGCATAATCCTTGCTGGGGTGTGACATATCTTTGAAGGTTTTTTAAGAAAAAAAACCAGACATCACTTGTTTCACCTTCAACCACTGCAAACGCAATGGGGAGGATGTTGTTGCGGCCATTTTGTGCTACTGCAACCAACAAGGTACCTCTATATTTTCCATACAAAAAAGTTCCATCCACTTGAACAATGGGCTTGCAGTGAACAAATCCATCTATGCATGACCTAAACGCCCAAAACACACGTTTAAAAATATTTGAATTTTGTTAAAGGACTTCACCTTGGTAAGCTGGTTGTGACTGCAGTTTGTAGATGAATCCGGGAACAAATTGTTGCATCGTTTGTAACAAACAAGGCAACTTCTTATAAGAATCCTCCCAATTGCCGTAGATGTTCCCAACTCCGAGTCTAGTTGGACAGCGAAAATGGATGGTTGCTACATTTTCGTGGGGTTCTTTCTCCAATTTCTTGTGGATCAACTTCTTCAACCTTTGTAGAGAAATTCCTCTCTTTAAAGGAACAAGTTTTGCAGTCCCAGTATTGAAGGTCACTCCCTCCATGGGACATGGGTTCATGAAACCATCATAGTGGACAATAGTAGACACTACACCCATTTTAGGAGTGTGGAACACAAAGAAGACTAAAGGTAAGAAGAAGAAATAATTCAAATAGCTTCAGAGATTTAGGAGTGTGCAGTGTGAGAACTTCAAAGAATGAAAGTAGTCTATTTATAATGAAGTCCATTGCTTTGAATCCAATGCTCCCTCACATGGATTCTGACGCACACAAAACCCAAGCAAAGTGGGTGGGTCAACATCTCTTAAAATATGTTTGGATTCTTCTGCTTTTGTCTAACCCAATGCAGGGAATCCAAGATTGGAATCCTAACTTAGGTGGGTAACTCAGCATTGGATTCTTTACTTGTGTGCATCAGAAAGACATGGGAATCCTGACTTGGGTGGGTGACTCAGCATTGTAAATAGTTGCAGGTTTTCTCGCTCAAGCGATGGTTTCCTCGCTTGAGCTAAAATTGACCAAGCTAAACGTCCAACGCAGTTAGCCACATAATGCAACTTGGGTCACCACATATTTCAATCACTTATCGCTCAAGCGAAAGTACCCGCCGCTTGAGCGAGACAGAACCCGAGAGTCCCCCTTGATTGAAGGTTTCATCGCTCAAGCGATGACTTTGTCGCTTGAGCGAGTTTTGACCGAATGATGAAACGTCAAACGCAGGTAGCCAAATAATATAACTTGGTTCACCACATATTAGAATCACTTGTCGCTCAAGCGTTCATAACGTCGCTTGAGCGAGACAGAACCCGAGAATCACCCATTTTTCCAGGTGTCCTCGCTCAAGCGATGTGTTTTTCGCTGGAGTGACCTTAGATAGCGGTTCTAGAACTAACCGCTATTAAAAGTATGTTTTACATAGCGGTTAACGTGGAACCGCTATTATATGTCGATTATTTTTAAAACTATGATCGATTATTTCACGTTATAATCGATTATAAATTTATTCACTCAAGCGATGAGTGTCTCGCTTGAGCGAGAGTTGCCCACGTTCCAACTATATGTCTCACTTTTAAGAGCGGTTAATATTTTAACCGCTCTTAGAAGTGAACATATAATAGTGGTTCCACGTTAACCGCTATCTTAAATATATTTTTAATTGCGGTTAGTTCTAGAACCGCTATCTTAAGTCTCGGGTCAACTCTCGCTCAAGCGACGTATATTTCGCGTGAGCGAAAAGTGATTGAAATATGTGGCTAAACGTCCAACGCAGTTAGCCATATAACGCAACTTGGGTCACCACATATTTTAATCAGTTCTCGCTCAAGCGACATATCTGTCGCTTGAGCGAGAGTTGACCAGAGACGGATTTCCTCGCTCAAGCGAAGGGTTTCTTCGCTTGAGCGAGAGTTCATTGCGCGAAATAATATAATTTTAATACGTGAACAATAAACAGTTGCGCAAAATAATATTATTTTATTACGTGAACAGTAAACAGTGCTAGTTGTGTAAATAAAGTTGCAGAGGTGCTATTTTGGAAAATATTTTTAAAAACAGTATTATTTAGGAAAAAAAGTCTCACATAACACGTGTAAGGTTATTTCATATAACTTTCTTTAGTTTAAAAATAAAATAAATATTGTAGTATTTAGTCTTAATATTTCTTTTAAAAATTCATTATAAAATCTTGTTTCCCATAGTAGTATAAAGTTAATGTAGTTTTTAAAATTACTCAAGTTCTTATGGAATTAATATTTTAAAATTATTAACAAAAATTATATATTTATAAAAATAATCAACACATAAATTGTTTACTTAGAAAGGAAGTATTAAGGAAAAATATTATTAATATTAAATTTTATTTATTTATTTATTTATATTATTATTATTTAAAAAAGTTGACCTAATCTATAAAAACACTTCAATCTCTCATATATTAACAACATATTTGATGTTGTTGTCCTAAGGAACAAACTTCCATGTCATTCTGTGTTTATGCATAGAAGAATAAACCATGGACTCACTTTCTTCTTTCTTTACTTCTGTTACATTTCACTCGCCTTCCCTTCCCTCTTCCTTGGTAACAAATTGAGAGTATACAGATAAATTAACTCAGCAAATTTGTTATAGTCAAAAAATATGTTTTAACTTTTTTTTTTCTTTTCCAGATTTGATTTAGAATAATTAGGTACCAATTGAAATGGGAAATCACTCGGAATTATTATTCATTACAGAGCCTCAAAAGTAGTGCAAGTTTATTTCCAAAGTCCACCACCTGGGAAATATTCCATTTAAAAAAACAATACTCTCTTTATCATCTTTAATTTTAAATTTATGTATCTCATTTAAGATTTTTAAATAAATTTCAAATAACCATAAATGCATTAAAACATTTTTAAATATATACTATGAATATAATATTTTTTGGAATAAAAATATCGTTATGATAATAAGTAAATTTTTAAGATATTTCCATGAATAAATTTTTAATCCGTTATAATTTTAAAAAATAAAAGATATATGGATAAATTAAGAATATATAAAAAATATTTTTATAAAAAAAATAATTATTAAGAAAATAAATTAAAGATAACAATTAATGTTTCTTACAAGTGGAAAGTACTTATGATTGAATTAGAAACATGGTGAATTGTAATAAGTAAAAATATCGAGAAAAATTAATAAAAGTGCAAATTTTCTATTAAACGAGGAGGATAGTTAGTGGAAAATGATGGTGTCACGTGAGGACACTGAAACTGGTGGTTGGCGAATCCTCGTCAATAATAAATCAACGTAGTACGCGTTTGGCTAGGCAAATATTTTGTCCATCTGCTTAAGATTTTTACTTCCCATCTTTATCTTTACCTTGTAATGGGAATAACTCTTGCATAATAAAAATAATACTTTTGTTTGATAACTAAAAATATATTTTTTAATCTGATTTGTAATTACTAAATATATTATTTTGATTGTGGGGTTTTTTTACTTTATATTTTATAAAGAATTATAAATTAATTGAAAACTAGTTGAAGAATAAGAGTATAATTAATAAAACATAATTATTATTATCTTAAGTTAAAAAAAAACTTTTTTCTAAAATAATATTAAAAAAATCATTATTTATGAAAATAGACCTCAGGTACAAAAATAGACTTATTTAATATGCAATCTCATAATATAGTTTTCGGACAACGAATGGGAATGTAACACACGGAACCATAAAAGCAATCAAAATTCACTTTATATTTTTTTTATTTTATTTTTTTCTAACAGCTTATATTTATATATTTAATATATATAAATATATATATATATATATATATATGATATAATTACCTATTATTATATTTATATATATATATGATAATTATTACATATTAATATATTTTAAATATTTATATGCTTATATATATATATACATATATATATATATTTACATATTCATATATTGATATAATTAAAAAATATTATATTTATATATTTTAAATATTTCTATGTTTATATATATATATATATATATATAATTATATAGTTAAATATTATTATATGAATATATTTATATAATTATATAATTAAATATTTTTATATGTTTAGATAATTAAATATTTATATATGTAAATATACTTTTAAATATTAATATATGTTATTATTTAAAAATATATTTACATATAAAAATATTTAATTAAATAATTATATAAATATATTAATATTACTATATAATTATATATATATATATATATAAACATAGAAATATTTAAAATATATTAATATATAATTATCAAATTATTATCATATATAAATATACATTTAAATATATATATATATATATATATATATATATATTTTTTTAAATATATAAATATAAGGTGTTAGAAAAAATAAATACAGTTCAAAACTCGGTTTTCGAAACCAAATTTCAACTGCTTCCAACGTAACACATTCTGATTCGAAATTCGATTGTTCGGAAATTGAATTTTCACTTTTAAACAAGTGAATAAATAAAATGGAAGATGGTCTATTTTTATAAATAATATTTTTTAATATTATTTCAGAAAAAGTTATTTAGAAAATATAACTCAATAAAAGTTAATATCTTGTGAAAACTGATAATTAATTAGGAACAAACCACGTGTTGTGTGTACTGCTTTATAATAATTATAAATGATAGATATGTTTTAAGCTAAAAAAATCCATCAAAATTAATGGTTTTATTATATTTCAACAAAATCATAAAAAAGATAAAGATTAATTTACAATCCAATTTTTTAATATACATTTATTCAACAATTGCTTTTAATAATATAATAATTATTTTATTTTATTTTTATAAAAAGTTATAATAATTATTATAATATTGAATTTGTTGTATAGGAATGTTTTAAGCAGTGGTCAGCATCCTAAAAAAATTATTTAAAAAGTTCGTTTAGTGTTATTTTTTCCACAAAAATTATTATTCGTTATTTTATATAAAAGAAATATCCCTTTGTCTTTTATCTTATTTTATTAGTGTCTTTTACTTTTTCCCAAAGGTGTCTTAAAAAGAGAGAATATTTAAAAAAAACAAAGTGATAAGAGTAAAAGTAAAAGGCTCCTAAACCTACTCTCATTCAATATACATCTTTTGTTATGATCTTCATTATAATTATCTTTAAATCCAAATAAAAGAATATATATATATATATATATATATTATATTTTTTTTTTATTCTCCCTCGATCTTATGTTCCAATTATGGTTGGAAAAAAATTTAGCATTCATAAAACTATCCTTCTACTAATATTTATTCTCATGATTCTTGGATTAACTTTCTCAATATGAAATTAGCTATCTTGTTTTTTGATTTTGTAAAAGTGAACGGTTTTGAAAGTTTGGATTCTTTAAAGATGGATAATTTTATATTGGTAAATTTGGATGAAAACAACTTAAAAAAAAAATTCCAAACATGTGAAAAAAATATAAATGAGCTTAAAATTCAAGTAAAAGAGAAACTCTGAAATGAAATATGGTGTGAAAAAATCATTTATAAATTGGTAAAAAGTATATTTTCATAATTTTTCTGTTTGATATTATATATATAACTTAAATAGAAGTTACACAATAAATTTTGAATAGTCATGTAATAAAAGTTAAACAATAAGTGAAAATGATCATAAAATCTGGACTATTTGGGTAAATAAGTTTTTATATCTTTAAAATATATTCATATTTAAATTAATCCTCAAAAAATTAATCCATATTAAAATTTGCACCTCCAAATTTTTGTAATGTTAATTATTAATTTTAATATTAATATGATTTGTACCAATTTTTAATAAATAATAATACCGTAAAATACTATTAGACTAGGGGAGTAAAAATAATGGTCTTGGTTGTGAAGTCTTCAAATTACAACGGAATTGCTTGATGGTGAAGTAGCTTGGCCCCTAAGGCACCCAAATGGAGAGATCCATTATCCAATACCTTTTCCTTTCCATTGATTTATAGTGGGTCCTACAGTTATCTGTAATGGTAAATCTTAATCTCCACCATAGGTTAGTTTGAATTCCAATTCCTCAACACTCTATATATACAACTCATCGGAATACCAGAGGACCTTCAAACCCTTTTCTTCATCCCCTCGTCAACATGGAAGAAGGATTGGGTAACTTATTCTTTATCAACTCGTACTTGGTTTGCTGGTTAAAAATCTGATTTCCGATACTTTTTTTCATGTTTTTTGTGTAGAAAAGAGGTACCCCAGTTATGTCCCATCTGAATTGGTGAGTTGTTCTTCAAAAGCTTGCAATGTGACGAACCAATACTATTGTTATTTGATGGAGTTGAAGCAAGATTACAATTGTTATTTGGAGTTGAAGCAAGATTACAGGTATGAGGTGTCCGTTCATGATATTGTACTTGCAATTAGGACTGAACTTCACTCAGAAATCATACACACCTTATCAGCCACATCATTTGATGTGAAAAGGGGAAAATTGCATCTCAACCTCACATCTGCAGGAACCATTCAACTTAGCCCAGAAAAGGTGTGTGTGCTTCAATTTTTATTTTTTATTTTTCTTGTTTCCATTATATCAGTTAATTTAATCTCATATATATCATTCAATAATTGTTAAATACAAAAATCATTTTGGGTAGATCATGTTTAGCAAAATGTAAATTAATTTATAATTATTTAATATCTTATTTCTATAAATTAATATGATTATTTTTTATAAAATTTTACCCACACAATAAACTTTGTTAAAAAAAGTTAATACATGTTTGATATTTTTCAATGAGAATGAATTTTTTTTCTTAAAATTAAACGTGAGATGTATGTACTATATTAACATTAAAAATTTGTTAATATTTACATTTATTTTATAACACATATATAATCTAATGATTTACATTTAGAATCTATTCGCATACAAATTAAAAAAAAAAATGAAAATTACTTCACTGATTTATATTTTTTTATATATTTTCAATAAATAAAAGCCTCAAAATCTCTTTCACAGGTTGAGAAATGTAGAAGATTTCAGACTACCCTGTTTAGGATCCTGCTGAATAAGGAGGTTAATAAGTTAACGAGTGCTTCAGATGATTTCAGTTTGGGAGATAATCCTGAGATTGATTATCTTGTGCTCCCAGCCACCGTTAAACACCAGAGACCATCAAATTCAATTATTGATATGACGTGTATTGATTCTTTTCCTTTTTCATCTGAAAGTACTTGTGATTGTGATTGCAATGGCAAGGATCATGCATGTGATGTGAAGATCCATGGTGGTTCAGTCTGCTCTTGCAAACTTGAAAATTGTGTGGTCTACACTCCTCATAATTATAACATTTATATCATTATACCTAAAATGTCGCATTTGAATGGAAACTCAACTACAATATTCAATGGACTTGCTACTTACAAGGAGTACTACAAAAACCGGTAAGTAAATTTTTGTAGCTTATCTATCTACTTGACCTAGGTCAACAACCATTGAGCACCATGAATAATTTCGATTTTTGCTTTTGAAATTTCAGACACGGGATTGAATTGTGTTCTCCACATCAATCCCTACTTTGGGGAACGAAAGTTTTTCAAGTGGGGAATTACCTTTTGAAGAATAGGCAAAATAAGGACAAAGGTGTAAGTTTTACGAATTCGATTGTCATAATCTATATTCTTGATTCTAGTTAATAGTATAGCCTTTGTTATTCGTGTTACCAAAGATAAAAAGGATTTCTAGTTCTAATTGTTTTTCATTAATCTATGAAGGAATATTAGGAATCAAATTAATTATATATAAACTCATAATTAGAATAAAAGATGAAAAAAAAAACTGACAATAAATCATAATAAATTTTATTATTGGAAGAAATTACAATATCCTCTTTATATCTAAGGAAAAGATAATAATATCATTTTTACGAAATAAGAGAACTCAATTACTATACAATACATTAGTAGAAAGTAGAAAGAAAAGATTTAGGATGATTAACTAGGTATTTGTAAGAGGAAAAGTAAGTACTAAGATGTAATTTTCTTGACGTGAGACTTTTTTTCTCATATTCTCCTATTTAAAGATTTTGATAAAATTAATCAAATCTTTACATTACAATATTATTGTCTCTATGTTGTTATTTTTCGTAATAGACTTTCAGTAGGATCGTCTTTATATAAACTTGTCACTCTTAACAACAATTATAACATCTAATAGGTTTTTCTTGCATTGTCTTAAAATACTAAATAAGATTCATTGCAATGTGTGAGACATTCTAACTATTACAATACACAATAATCTTCTGCTGCTTGTTCTCAAGTTCTTCCATTAACCTTTATAATCCACATAACTTTCTCATATGATCAGTGACTGTCGTGTACTTATCTTCTATATTAGAGAGAACTTCAACATCCTAGAACTTGAATAACTCTTTATTGTCTCTCCTACAAGTGTAAACACGTCAAGATCACCTATAAAACCTGAATAAACATAACATTTGATAACTAGTTGTAATCCTTTAAAACATAATATAACATATAAAGTTCCTTTAATAAGAATAATCTTAATGACATTCATACTTTCCATCACGATTTGCCATAAATATACTAATTGCTCTTACTCCTTGTGTAATGTCTATTGGATTGATCATGGTATCTATAAGACTTCCCACCACCAATGCATATAGTATTAAGATATTTCTATCTTCTTCACTTCATTGCTAGGAGACATACTTAGACGCATGTTGGCATTCCAACCTTCCTTCTCCTTTTAGGGCCTATCCGAAAAAAAGAAAAAATAAGATTTAATATTTCTTGGTTGTGAATATCTAAATACAACAAAACGCCTTATGAATCCCTTTGCTTTGAAACAAAATAATTTGAATTAGACCCAGTCAACTGGAATGTATATTATCGATATATAAGATTTTTCAATTGAGAAGACTCATCCATCTTAGACAAAGAAAAAGAAAGATTTATCTATTTTTTTAGTTATTCAACTAAATCAATGATTCATTATTGAAGTAGATAACAATAACTATCTCACAGGGGAAAACTATTTTTTTCTCAACGATGTCTTTGTCATTTGATCTAATAGCAGTTTGTTAGATAAGAACAAAATTGATAAATATTGATAATTCTTATATAATGTTAGAATGAAAAAATCCTTTAATTTAATAGAAAATGAGGTCGAAAGTGACTTACATCCTTACATATTGAAGCATCTTAAAACCTTTATCAAGTAATTTTTTTTGATAAAGCTAAACTTTCTTATTTTATATGTTTCGATGAATTTGTATTCCTAAAATTTTGTTTGTTGGTCTCTAGGTACAATAATCCAAACTTAGTATGTTATCTTCAAGGCTAGCTGAATTTTGATACCACTATTAGGAATCAGAATAATTGCATAAGAACTCACAATTAAAATAAAAGATAAGAAAAGAAAAATAAAAATGATCATAAACAATAATAAAATTTTAAGAACAGAAGAAATTACAATATTCTATTTAATTTTAAGGAGAAAATAATAATATCATTTCTAATAAATAAGATAACTCAAGTGTTATATAATAAACTGGTAAAAAATAAAAGGAAAATATTCAACATGATTTATAAGGTAAACATTTTGCTTTTCTTATAAAAAAAATAATTATAAATATATAATTTTCTTATTGATAATTTTTCTTCTCACTTTCTCACAGGAAATAGAAAGGATATAATAATATTTTGAGTGGTATTTCCACATTGATTGTTATTTATAATCATGTGTGAGAGTAGGACGGAATGAGGGATAGATTTCTAGTAATGGATATTTCCATATTCACATGTAATAAATGTTCTTATCGAACTTCAGGATGTCTTCTTCTCTTGCAATTCTAACATTAATTCGGGGTAATCAATGATCATCACAATGATAGAGGGCATAAAAGCTGATCCCAATCTCTAAAATGTTTCTAGACAGACTTTTCATAAAAATCTTATAAAAAAAATAAGAAAAACAATGAAATAAATTTCTTAATGAATGTAAATTAGTTTACTAAAAATATTTTTTAGACTTCATTAGTTAGTTCATTTTAATTTAATGAGAAAATATTGTTTTTTCTAAAAATCATTATAGAAATCTATTCAAACATGTTTTTAATGTGAAACGGTTTTCAGGGTTGAAACTAAAACATCCTCTGCATGGTTTTTGGGAGGCGCAGACCATGATGTTTCATTATAAATGGAGTAGCTTGGTTCTACCTTATGTAGCTTAAGTTGCCATAATACTAATATTGAAGCTGTTATCATGTCATCTGAGCAAGTTTATTACCAATATTATGAATCCTGATAATTTTGTTACCCCTTTCAGGAGAAAAAATGAGCTCCTCTGAATTGCCGCCAGAACTTTGTTCTATAATCATGTCACCGATATCAATCGGTACCATATATTCATTTTCTTTTATTCCATCAATCATGCATAGGCTTGAGGGCTTGCTGGTTGCTTTCAACTTAAAGAAGATGCTCTTGGATCATTGCACCAAAAATGATATCCCAGTAAGCAAGGTATGCTACTTCTTTCTGTCAAAAATGCTTATAATTACACAATAATGATAGTTTACATTGATCACCATGATTCACCTGGAGGAGATAATTTCTCAATGATATATATGAGGAATATTAATAATATTTCTCAGTACATGAGCAAATTAAAAAGACAAAACTAAAGAGTTTCTTTTAAGGGTAGTATTTTGATTCCCACAAATATTACTATTTTATTTAAATTGAAAAAGAAAAAAATCATATTCTTTAAATTTTTTGTTTAGATTACTATTCCATCTTCATTCTTCTTTTCATTTGAAATAATGTTTAATAAGAACAAACTTATATACTTACTTATTTATTATATAGATTATTGCTTTATGAAAATTAAATTCTAAATATAATTAGAAAACAGTACATGAATGTAAGATTTTGCATGAACTTTTGAGTGAAAGCTGATTAAGATTATGTTAGGTATTGCAAGCAATAACTGCAAAGGAATGTCAAGAGGCATACGATTACAATTACTTAGCGACACTTGGAGATTCTTTTCTAAAATACATTGTTAGTCAACAGCTTTTCAAGACCCATCAAAACGATCGAGAGGGTGCTCTTTCCAAACGCAAGGACAAACTCATTTCCAATCAAGCCTTGTCTGATTTTGGTTTAACCATAAACCTTCCGGTACACTCTCTTCTCTTTTTATTCTTACATTTTAAGTATAAGCTTCAGGTCAAGCACTTGTATATGAATATAAAAGGAAGAATCCATTATACTATTTTCTTATATTTCAGAATATGCCAAAAGAAGTATACTAATTTACTCTAAAGAAAATGTGCCTTAAACATATTTTCAGATCTGCCAAACTACACAAATCCCTTTAAGTGTCTCAGAGTCAGTGCTTGCGTCCGTATTGTCAAAATAACCCCAAGTACTAGCATTCTAGAATCCCATATAATATGCCAAAAAGGTTTCGCCAAGAAATTCAAATGGTGACTTTTTTCATACATTCCAGGGATTCATTCGAAAGGAAGCATTTGATAAAAAGAAGTGGGACATCCCGGGCGTTAAGTCAAGGAGTCTCTTGCTAAAAGAAGAGTTGGTTTCAATGTATATTGGTAGAACGAGAAAAATGAAGTTGAAAATTATTGCTGATGTTGTTGAGGCACTAATTGGTGCCTTTATAATCACAAAGGATGAAGAAGCTGCTTTATCGTTTATTAACTGGATTGGCATCCAGGTTGACACCAACATTATGCCATATGAGAAGCACATTAGCATTGACCCCATGAATCTTGTAGATGTCAAATTTTTGGAATCCCAGCTAAATTACGAGTTTAAAGACCCTTACCTTTTAGTAGAGGCTCTCACCCATAGTTCTTGCAAACAACCAGAAATTCAGACATGTTATGAGGTACTGTCATGATTTTTTACATACTAACTATAATAGAAAATGAATTGGATTTTCTCACATGAAGTATGCACTTCAGTTTTAAAGAGTTAAATGTGAGAGTTTTTGTACAAGTTAATTAATTAATTACACACATATATGTTTTTACTTATTAAAGAAAAAAGTTAAATTTGGTGTATGTTTTTATTTTCTTCTTCTACAAGATAAGTTTATAGACAAATTCCGTTTCATTGCTTTGATTGGTAAATTACAGTGAAATATAATGGAAACATGTGAAACTTATTCTTTAAAATTTCACCAATTATGTTAATTTTTTCTCATCCAATTTTGGAGAAGTGAGGTGTTAGAATCTTGTTCCATTCTATCATAACACGTCAATACAATGGAATAAAGGTTTCGTTTCACTACATTATTTTATTTTAGTTCATTCCATTTTATTCTATCTCATTCCATCAAATTTGGAATGCCTTTATAGTAGTGTATATCTGATAAACTCAACATGCTCTGCAGCGATTAGAATTTCTTGGCGACGCAGTGTTGGACTATGTCATCACGATGTATTTCTACAAGGAATATTCTAATGACATGTACTCATCGGAATTTGTCACTACCATGAGGTCTATTTCTGTGAACAATGAGTGCTACGCATTGTCAACCATTAAAGCTAAGCTGCACGAACACATACTCCGTGACCGGGTCGTAGGAAATCAAATTGCGGAGACAATGAAAGGTGTTGAAAATTTATCTTTGGAATCAACTTTTGGATGGGAGCTAGAAACATATTTCTGTCAGGTCAGTTGTTTAATATTCAAGTGCATGACTTGATCCAATCCCAACAATTCTCATTATGTAGTATTTTAGTCATGAGATTCTCTTGTCTGGTAGATTAGGTAACTAGTCTTTTGAGTTGAACTCTTCTCTTATGTTTAAATCATAACTAGCGTTCTCATTGGAAGTTGGATCATGAAAATGAAAACCTAGAAGCTGGCTTAAGTTAGGCCATGAGACTCTCACCGTTAATATCTATTTAAAAGAGAAGTAAACTACACAGGCATTTTTTGTAGTGATGTTTTCATCAGGTACATTGTTTTTCTACTTATGACAGGTGCTTGCAGACGTTATTGAGTCTATAGCAGGAGCCATTTTTGTTGATTCAGGGTACAAGAAGGAGGTTGTTTTCGAAAGAATAAAACCCCTTTTGGAACCCCTTGTTACACCTGAAACAGCGAGGCGACATCCTATTAGTGAGTTGCAAGAACTATGCCAGAAAAATCACTACAAAATGACAGAGGACCTTCCTATCCGTCACAACGATGACACTTTGGTTAAAATTGAGGTGAAAGCAAACGGGATCACTTACAAGCACACTGGCAAAGCGTCTAACAAGGATACAGCTCGCAAAGTGGCCTCCAAGGAAGTTTTAAAACAAATGAAGGTAACCGAATCCAAGTTATCACTGAATACAAGATCAATGAATAGGAGACTATTTTTGTTCCCTCTGTTATCCGCAGTCTTTTTATTTTGTTGGTTGGTGGGCGAAATAATTTTTCATGTAGTGTGTAAGTGATTTTGAAACCCATTTAAATATTCACTATTTCTATTTGTAATTGCATATTTTGAAGTCTCTTGGCTAATTGATGTTGTAAGCCCAAGGAATGCTACATGAAAGTTTTGTAACTATATATTATTATGCATTTTGTTTGGACTGAAATGAAATAGATCGATCAACTACTTGCATGCGTTCATAGGAAGTAAATATACCTATCTACGGAAAAATATCCTTAAAAAGTACCATTAAAGTTAAGGAGAAACTAAAAGATAAAAACATATTCATTGATGATCGATAGATAATAAAGAATACACTTTTATAACATAAAAATACCAATAATAGAAAAATGGTTATACAGGTCTCACTATCTAATTTTAAGAAAGAAATAATAAACTAAATAATATTATAATTTTTTTTCTTGGACCTCTTCATATCTATCCTATCACTGTCGTTACGTTGCCAAATAACCTGTGTTTTATGTTATATGGCAGGAGGGGAAATGTTATAATAACGTATGAATTGATGTGTAAGAAAGATTTAAACCAATACACAGACATGCTGACTTTCAATTTCGGCTTTAGAATTTGTTTGGACAAATCTTTTTATAACGATTTCTAAGAGGGAATACAAAAAGAAAATATGAAATAAATTTTTATAATGTCTTATACTAAGTTAATTCTAACTTTTATAAGAAAATATTGTATTTTTTTCATTTTCATATCTAATAAGAGAGAAATTCGTGAAACTTGGTCATTTAAAAAACATTGGACCAAACAAACCCTAAAGGATGTTGCGACCCTAAAATGCATCTTGTGCATTTTAAGAACGGGTGAGACGTAATATATTTGACTAAGCTATCTTCTGGTGTGAAGGAAAAAAGAAGGAATATACTTTATCAGATTCAAAAGTAATAACAATGTTGTGCGAGCAGTGAAAGTATTGTTATCAGATAAATCCCCGAACCTAACTTCCACTGTTAACTTCAAAACCCTTTTAAACGAAGATAATATTTTCTTACAATTTATAGTTCTGTTTAAAACTAATCAATTGAAGATAGTATAATCATAACATAAAATAGTAAAAAGAAAATCCTTTAAATAATAATAAAAATAAAAAATACATATAGATACTTTTAATTTTCAAAATGCCAAAGGTTAGTTTAATTAATGAAATTGTATTTCAATTATATTTGGAAATAAAATTAGAATAACAGTTCCAACTGTTATTGTCACCAAAAATATAATCCCTGCAGTCAGACCATCTTACCTTGACTCCGACGTGCATCATATCTTCCACCTTGATTCAGAAACCCATACGCACCATTCCATTCATTTGATTTCGGAAACCAGAACCATTGAACACAATTATTCAAACCCAAATAATGTAATTGTCAAATGTTATGAAAATTATTCAATGAGTCAGACCTACTAATTTCAACTGAAATAATTATCAAAAAGATTATTTTTTTATTTATTTCAGAAAGATAAATTATATACCAGTGAGACAGCCGATACAAAATATTTAAATACGTTTTAGCGTTACTTCTACCTAACCCGTTATGCTATGACATCATCGTGTAACTGAATTAACTGCAAATTTTCTCAAACTAAACTTATGAAAAATAAAAACTCAATTTAATCAAAGAACATTTCAATTATACTGAAATACGTCATTATTACCATTAAAGATCAACATGGGCCAAAAAAGTAATGCACATACGTGGATTTCACAGAAGATCAAAAAAATAATCCAAACCTTGACCAATTTCCCAGATCGAGATGCCACATCCCCACGAACGGGCTTCCTCTAACCGCAAAGAAATTGACTTCAATGATGGATAGAATACCGCATGCCTGATATCCTTGTCGTCAGTGTAAAAGAAAAAATGTTCCCCGCTATTCTTATCCCACTGCAGTTCAGGCCTATGCTTCTCCAAAAGTGCCAGGTAATCTCTCCCAATAATAGCTCCACCACCACCTGCACCTGCACTCGTAAATTTCACTAACATGCAAAACAATAACACCTTTACATGATAATGCCTCATAAAAACTTAGAAAGGAAGAGTCCTCTAAAATGATCTCAGAGTATCAAAATGGCTAAAAAAGGTGTTCTTGATCGACTCAAAAGCATAAATAATTGATATAATGGAACACATTTCTTCCTCCATTCCCCTTCTCCAATCCCTCTCCTTGGTCACCTTGCGGGGATCCCTTTGCACCACTGTAACAGTTCCAGTACAATCGTGTGAAAGTATTCCACATTGCCACCGTGAAATTAACCATAAGTTCAGTTCGAAGGATGAAAGGGGAGGGATTTTAGTCATGGTACCCAGCTCCTTTATTCCCTCCTACCAAAAATGTACGGATAAGAAACAATTACCTCTTGAAAGGGAGAAATCATTTCCATAGAAGTTGATGCCGAGAAGTATCCTGGGGGGAAGGCTTCGACCTCTATTGCCTGAGGTACCAAGAAGCAGCTGGAGAACAATTTGAATCCATTTCAAAGGTGCATTAGGACCAGGATTATGAGGGTTAGAGAAGTCATATGTCATTAAGGAGAATCCATCCACAGCTTCACTTAAAGTCTCCAGATCCTTAGGACCAAAGTCATGCTCTTGCAGCTTCTCGGAAGATGGTGGACCTATAACATAGACCAACTGCAGCTTCTGCCCACTAATTTTCTCTGAGCTTATAGAATGCAGTGCATCTCCAAGCTGTTTTACAAACTGCAATGCCTGTGCTTGCAAAAGAAGAAAGCCCCATATTTATTACTAGAGTGCCTAAATACAAAATGAATACATCGTCTCACAGAAACACGAAGATTGAATTTAGTATTTTACGGTGGTAAAGAGTTATCAATAACAACACTGTCTTACATGTGAAGGTGAAAAAATGAAATGGTCTGCTTCAATGCATTGAAGAAAACTTAATTATGTGACCCATGTTCCAAGTGGGAAAGGACTTTTTTGATGTAACCATATAATGCTGGCAGAGTTCATTACTGAAGTAATGACAATTTTGATTGCAATTATGTGACCTCAGTCATTCATTACTGAAGTAATGACAATTTTGATGTAACCATATAATGCTGGCAGAGTTCCGTATCGTAACTTTGCTGTATAAAAAGTACTGAAAAGGATTAAACGGAACAACTGCTCACCAAATTCCGCATGTTTGGATCATGCAAGACACCATACGCTGCCCACCTTGACCAAGATTCTAAAACAATACCATCATATCCCATTTCCCTACACAAGAAAAGCATTCACATGAAAAGAAGATCTTAGCACAACATATTGAGAAAGGAAGTGCTCTTTTGCACATGGCACCAAGAGAGAAATAGAAGCTAAATTAGAGACCATTAGAAGCTTTTATAAGCAAAAGCAAGACATTTTCTAACATTCAGGAAATAACTCTGTTCTCATATTGTCATACACAAAGAGAGGTATCTATGAAACTAATTAAGCCTTACTTGCACTCTGTTACTATAAGGTTAATGGCTTTGTTCCTTTGTTTTTCCTTCCCCAACAGCACTGCTGGCGATGCTTCGAGAACAACTCTAGGCAAAATCTACATGCAATAGAAAATAAATGGACGGATTGTGAGGTCAGTTACAAAGAAATGTATAAATAATCCCAAGACAATTAAACAAGTGTTAGGTCCAACAAGTTAGTGAAATTTGTAGCCAGTTCAAGGTCCAAATCAGACTGCTGCAGAAACTTCTACTGGGATGAGGGTTAAAGTAATAAACAGCGTCACTCTTTATTTACTAGAGGAAAGAAAGTGAGAGGAGAGAGAAAATTTTGAAATTTGAATGGAAAACAAAATGGAAATAAAGGAAATTTTAAATTTTGTTAAGAAGAAAAATTCCCTCTTCAACAAAATAATAGAAAATGCATTGTTATATATTTTATGTCTTCTCTATTTTCTTTCCAATTATCAGCTATCCCCTTAACTCATAAATCAGTAGGAATCCTTAACATTAAAGGATATATATTTTTGTTCAAATTAAATTGCCACACGCACATCCCAGAGCAGCATTACATGAATTTCATCATTAACTTACAAAGCATTAAGCATTCAACATGTCCCACATTATGCGTACTGGTTGTAGACAGATCAAAGGATTGAGTTCTTCGAGATTTAAAAATATAAATAAAGAACAAATGTTACTGGGCAAGTAATAATAGCGTTCTTATAAAGAAGAAAAGGAACAAATCTAAAGGGAAATACACATATAACTAATATTTAATTGCTAGCTGTAGATGACTTGAGGTATCATTCTGTATGAAATACCCTTTACAGATTAGTTGAGGTCTAGTAAATAAATTTGGGAGTGATTGAGCACAATAATCCAGACACAAAGGAATCTACTGGTGAGTACCACTCCCATTAGCAAGCCATACATAATTCTCCAATTTAGCTTTATTTTCTAGTTTACAGATTCAAAAGTTAAAAATGTTATTGAGTAAAAAGCTTCAAAATGAAAAATAAGACACGACAAAACTTTTTGGATTAAGGGGCATTTAATTTGCCCGTGATGAATGAAATGAAAATAAGTTTAAAAGTTGAGAACCAATTCATTGTACCAAAGCTTCTCCTGTCTTTCGAAGCTCTGAGATCCATCCTCTATCAGCATTATGCCTCCCCTCTAGAGCTAAGTTAGTCTGTTGGCTGGCAATAACAACTGATGAAACAAAACCATAAAGCAACATAATAAAAACTTACTAAATAACAAACCGTGGGATTTATAATCAAGTATTCACTAGAATTTCATTGTAGTGTAGTGCATAAATTACAAAATATACGAGGATTAAAACACTCTGCTGTTCCTCAAAGAGGCTGCGATGTTAGTTCAAATCAATGCTGAATATTTTTTCTTTTCCCAAAAGGAAGCATATCAGGTCATAATTTGTAGAAAAAAGAAGGGTAAAATTACGTGTAAAACTTCAGAAATAAATTTAAAGCTACTATAAATCTTTTAGTACTTAAAAAAAAAAACACTCGAAAGCTCTGATTGACAGACACAAGGACAGTATTAAATCAGATAGGTCACAGATCTTAGCTCTGCACCCACCCATCTATTTCTTGGATAAGTCGTTTAGGACTGATGTACATACCTCTTTAGATCATACCATACGGGTGATATATGTGTAAACTTGGAGTTAAACCTTTTTGCCAATTCATAGCCTCGAGAATTCCTGTCATAATTAACATTTTTTGAACATTTAAAGGATTGTAATCACAGGAAGAATGACACAAAGAAAAAGAATATCATCCCAATTGATCAGAAAATTGAATTTTTATAATAAACACTAAACAATGTAACTACGAAGATGTTAAAAATTAGGAAATTGTTGAGATAGTAGAGGACATGAAGTGGAATTTTCCAAAAAGAAGAACCATGGTACTGTAACAATTAAAACCTTAGCTTCCAAATTGACAAATTTCAGCAAGGTTAATAAATAAGGGTTGGGTGAAGCAATTTCCTACATTACTAATTTGTTTCTACCAGCTAAAATTAAAGATGGGGTAGAAATTTTAAGAATCATCCAGACTAATTAACTATATTATAGGAATACATGACTCTATCATCTATCTATTCTAATATATAAGCTAATAATACCCTTGTATCAACAATATTTTGAAAGTGTTGAAGGTTGAATGAATCAATTACTTATCATACTTCTTTGTTTCACCCAGCCAAAATCAGAGAGTTCAAATTTTAAAGATCATGCACATCAATGAAGTACATTACAGAAAAACATGTCTTTTTCACCCATACACATCTGATGATCTATCTTACTTAATTAAAAAATAACTTCCACCATCACAACCAAACCTTTATTTATCCCTTACACTCCCTTTATTTATCCATTACACCCCCTACTTTTAAAGTGCTTTAAATGATTTTCTACAAGATGGGACTTTTGAACGAGTTCATGCTCAAGTATAAAATTATGAATAAATTATTATTCAATCAAATGTAAAATAAACTTCAAATCTTTGTACTGCTGCATTGCAATTGTCATGCCACTTGTTCAAAATCATTCATTTGATTATTTTGTCCTAATTAGTGTTGTTTTATTCATATTAACCTACCATCTCAAACCATGATCAGATGCGGCCAGTTTGACTATTAGCACTCACTTGAACGTAAAAGCTCAAAACTCCTTTTATGTTACATCATCATCCCAAAAATAAAACAAAATAAAATAAAATCACATTGCATCAAACAAAATTGTTCCATTAGGATGAAATATTCTATGTCCAGTATCGGATTTATTATTCAATGATTTATCAGAAAAAAAAAATGCTAAAATTATAAAAAATAAAAGAAATACCAGGGAGTAATGTAGCCAAGCACAGGATACTTATAATGGCGCTGAGAAGTATTATCTGATACTTTGGAATTTTCCTAATCCATTGTAAATTAACACCATCAGATACTAAATTCAAAACTAGAAATGATTCATGCGTCACCAGAAAAGAAAAAAAGTTTAATGATTTGATTTTGGACGAGTACTCACGGAGAGTACATGTTGGTAATTAGCATGGGTTGTGACAAGGCCTTGCTCATACACATACGATTGTTGATGTTGCGAAGGAGAAGATTGTCTGAAGCGGTAAATGACTGTAGCAATCATGGATGATAAGATGAAGAAAACAACAAATTTACTGTGACCGGAAGCTGAGTTGACTCGTCCTGAAGTTGATTCCGCTGGGTTTCTCCGATGACCGCCACTAGAAACTGATCGCTTCTTCGCCATCTTCCCGGGACTAGGTTTTCAAACACAGAAAACAACACCGTCCTGATTCCTTTGTTTTGTATGAAAGTTAAGAAATAATTATTTTTAAACTTAATGGTAAGGCTTGTGGAGTTATTATTTAATTATTGACTTTTTAGGTTACAAACTTCTTGAATTATTTCAGGACAAAAATATTGATTTATTTACATTTTTTAGTTCATGAAAATGTGTTCCTTTTAATTTATTATCACCATCAATTAAAATATATAAACTTAATTTTTATCTATATCATTATTTTATATTTTAATTTATCTATATCATCATTATATAAAAGAGATTTTTTATAATTATTTTTAATATATTTGTTAAATAGATAATTTTATATTTTATAAAATTAAAATAATTTCATTATTTAATAAATATATTTAGTTATAAACTTCTATGGTAATTAGTAAATGATGCACAAGTAAATATATAATCTTGTTTTTTTTATACAATATCTTCAAATCACACAAACAGTTATAAGAATTATTACATTTAAAAACTAATATGTTGGATTATTTAAGAAATATTTAAACAAATATTATATTAGATAATTATAACCGTGTTGCACTTAAGTTGTGAAAAAGATGAGTGATGTCAATTTAAAAAATTCTTGTATATATAAACCTATATGATTTTGTGTTTTTAATTACATTGAAGGGTAGTTTTGTTAAAATGAAAACACATTTTCAGATAATATATTTTTAAAAATAAATATAAATTAATTATAACTTTTTGATAATTTTCTAAAAATATATTTATGATAAAAAGTGTATTTTTAACATTTTCCATAATTAAAAAAATTGGTTTGAATTGAACTTATATCAACAATAGAGTAGTGTGGTTATTATTTTGTTGCAAAAATAATAATCTATTACTAACATCATTATAGTTTTTGGATAAATATTATGTGTTTTTATTTTGAAATGATCTCTTTATTCTTAACAAATTAATAATAACATTATATTATTAATATAATTTTTTATTTTTTTTATTTTCACGCTTTTCTACTCCTCCCTTTCTTAATTTTTTTTCTTTTGTCTTTCTCTTCTCTTTCCTTACAAACTCACTGTTTGAGTGCTCACAGGTGAATCACAGACATGTTCTAAACACATAAAATTAGAATATTTTATTCAGCATGTTGATTCTTTTTTCTTACTCTCTTGGAACCAATTGTGGCACAATATAAAAAGAGTGAGCCTCAGTTTTTAATAATAATTGCTATAAAATGCAAGATTCGAGTATATGCACACTATTGACAGAAACTATATCTGTCTTGTCCACCTACTATCTACCAGAGTACCATGATTACTGTTCGCTTTATTTCTATTAAAAATATTTATTTAATTACTTTTGTTTATTTTATTTATAATTAATAGATTATTAATTATTATATTTTTAAAATTAATCTTATAAATAATATATTTAAAAAATCATTTAAATATAATTGTTATCCATTTATTTACCTATTTAGATTTATTTATTATTTCTATACAGTTTTTTTACTCATTCTTTATTTTTTTTCTCATCTTCTTCCTACTTTTTAACTATTATATTAAACTTTAATAAAAATATATTAAATAAATATTTTAAAATAAAAAACTAAAAAAATAATAAATAACTATTCAAAATTATGATAATAAATAATTTTATTTATTATGATAATAAATATTTTGTTTTATAATAATGTAAATAATTAATTTAAAAATATTTTATAATAAATAATTATTCATTTTATTACAAAATTTTAAATATTCATGAATTAAATATATTATTTTCTTAATAATTTAATTTAGTTATAATTAGATTGAATTATGATAATTAGTTAGATTATACCATTTAAAAAATATTTATTACCAAAATTATTTTAAAATAAATATTTAATTTTTTATTAACAATTATAACATAATAATAATATTTGTAATATCTTAATTTTATTATATAATATTTTTTAAAATATAATATATTAAAATATAATATTTATAGATCATTTAAATATTTTTATTTTTTAAAATAATAAAAGATGCATTATAAAAATTTAATAATATTTTAATTAAAAAATAAGATGAAGGAAGAGAAATAAAAGAAAGAGAAAAAAGAAAAACAAACCTCAAATAAAGACAAAGAAAATAAAATAATAAGAAATAAAAAAAATAGTTATACTGTATCGGATAAATTTATTTCTTTATTAAATATTGTGTATAACAATAAACCAATTTAATTGAATAAATTTTACTTTTAAATATAGTATTTATAAAATTAATTTTATATTTTAAATTATTATTATTAAACTGATATTATTATTATTATCTTAAAGTGGTTATTATTTTACTATCTTTTTATTCCTATATAAAAAGATGAATAATTCATCTTATTACTTCTCTCTTAAAATATGATATTATCTTAGTTAAGGTTTATTCATTTGGTTAGTTCTTCTTATTACTAGTGCAGTAAGAACAATTATCTTCGATTTTTTTTTTTTTAATAAAGAAGGAACTTGTTCTGTAAACACTCACTGCTTACTTTGCTTCTCAGGGTATATCAATTACATGCATTTTCATTTTCCTTGTTTTTTTGCTTATTAATTTATCTCAGCTCCTTAAATTGCCTTACCATGCAATGCAGCAAGTAAGACACTGGAACCAGGCTATTAAACTTGTCATATATATATATATATATATATATATATATCAGTTATTTACTTTCCACACTGCATAACTTTTCCTCCTTCGATCTCTTGAGCCTTTCCAATTTTGTGGTTATGTTCTAATCTATATAAACCAAGTTCTTTATTGGGAACTTTGGTGATGCATCTCATTGATGTCATGCTTGCACACATTTACAAACACTGTTTGTGATTCCTCAATTTCTTTGGCGTGTGGTCATTGTTGTTTTTCCTTTTTAACGTTTCTTTTAAAACTAAAAACTGTTCATGAAACTACTTTTCCTTCTCCAGTTTCCCTCCTGCTTTAAAAAAGTGATGGTTTCCCAAAATAATTTTGTATACTTGAATAATTTTAAACACACTATACTTTTCTTTCCATTATCTGACTTTTGAAACATTGGCTAATAAGTAGGTAAGAACTAAGACGAGCTCTACACTTTCTATTTATCTGGTTAAAGTTCGGCATCCTTAGGCACCATTGGTGCAATGGTACAAATGATTAATATATTATAATTAGTGTTTTTTTAAAATATATTTTTTTTTATCAAAATATTTCAGAACAACTTTTATTTACCTTTTCTTACGGGTCACTCTTTATTAAGAAGAGGAATATGTTAGTAATATTAGGTGGGCAATTCCGAGGTACTTTACCTTGTAAAATGCTTTTGTTTTGTTTGGTATACTACTATTTTCGTTAGATTATTTTTAGTTGGAATTAATTTTCCTTCCTACAATGTCGGTTGAAAGCTTGATCTCTTAAATATGCGAGAATTCCAAGAAAGTTATGTACAAGATCAGATGTAACCCTAACTAACTAAATTAAGGATTTTAGTTGGGGTACTATATCACATCATTGTTTTGAAAATATAAACTAAATAATATATTTTCTTGTTGAGTAATATCTGTTTATTATAATTGTGTGTTACTCATAATAATAACTTTTTAATAAACATTACCAAGTGAAGTACTAAATTGATGGCTTTTCGTTTTCATTTTCAAGGTACTATGAGACTGGTTTCTCTCCTAAATTCCTGTTTGTATATATATATATATTTTTAATATATAAAGTATATCTCATCTCCATCATTTAATTTATATATTTTATAAATAAATAAAAATATAATAAAATATTAAATATTGACAATATTTTAATTATAATTATTTAGATTAAAATAATAATTAAATATTTTTTTCTTTTATCTTAAATAATAAAATATTTTTTCTTTGTATATAACTTTTCTGCATCTGAGACTGTCCCCACGTGCACTTACGACAAATAGAGAGCTAGTAAATGTCTTTATTGAGAATCATAGGGTTCTACGAACATGATATGTCTTTCCCGTATGTTAATCTGGTATTATGGTCAATATTTTCCGATAAGCAAGGTCTCGAGCTTAACTATGTCTTGGCTTTGGTCGTAACACACACCACTTAACGATGCTTTCGTCTATACCTTAATATAGGAGTTGCGTTCACTGATAGGTAAACTAATTTAAATGAGTAGATTTGAAGTTTCAACATCTTTAAGAAGGTCCTCGTTGATAACAAGAAACGTAGTTGTTGTCAATTTTCTTATAAAATCTATATTCATATGTTTCTACTTGTTTCAATAACCACACCACACCATAACACATCAAGCTTTGAGGTCTGATTATTTGTAATCTACAGATACCAAAGGATTTGGCTATCTGACACATTAAAATTACAAGCATGGCTTACACTGCAGTTGCCATGCCTACCTCTACAGCAGCTACCACTGCAAGTATGGACATTGGAAGAGAGCATAATGGTCTTCGTCGCTCTCAGTCCAGCAAAGAACTACGCACAAGCTCCATTATGCGGAGGTCTTATTCTGACAACTACATATGTTGCTCCATCAATCGCACACAAGCCACATCAGTGACACCAAAACTTAAGCGCAATCGGTCAATGGGAATTTCCCCATTTCAATTTTCAGGCTCCATTCTTCCAAACTCACTGCGCTCCTTCTTGTTTGACCCAGAAACAAGCAAGGATATTGGTGTCGGAGAGAAGGAGGTAGGTATTGAGGAAAACATAATGGAAAGCAGCAAAGAAGAAAGAGTAAATAGAGCCAACTGGGTGGAGAGGCTTATGGAAATCAAGAAACATTGGCGAAACAGAATGCCAAAAGAAAGCATGGATCCAGATGTGATATGCAACAACAATAATTATGAGGAATGTGAATGTGATGGAGATGACAGTGTTTGTGTGGTGGGTGAAGACGAAGACGAGGAAGAAGTGACATATGATGGCGACTCATTCTCAGAATTTCTTGTTCAAGTGCCATGGTCTGATACCCAGCTGTACTCTCAACTTGCTTTCCTTTGCAACATGGCCTATGTAATACCTCAAATTAAGGTAAGCCATTCACCAATGGTAGGATACTTTAACAACCTCTTTTCAAGATCTGCGTATTTAGTAATAAGCGAGAGAGTTAGTATGTGTTTTTTCATTTTCCTTTTTTCATGTATGAATAATCGATAAAGAGATAGAAACAAACAACTCTTGCCAATCAATTTGCAGGCTAAGGACTTGCGACGATACTACAACCTTCAATTTATAACATCTTCTTTAGAGAAGAAGGCCGAAGTGGCTAAGTTAAAAATGAAATTTGATCAGGACTCCACTCGCGTTCCTATAGATGACTCGGTAGCCTCTCAAGGTGTCACAAAGAAAGACAAAGAAAATACACAGAAGCATCAGATCCAAGTTGCTTATGATATCGCTGCCTCAGCTGCCTCTTATGTCCAATTACGAGCTAAGGACCTCTTGTACCTTGCTGCTAAGTCACAAAAGAGTAAAAGTGAAGAGTCTAACGAAGGAGGAGAATCACCACGAGAAGAGCTGGAAGGCACTTCGCGAGGTTACAAATCAGAGGTTGCAGCTTATGTAGCAGCATCCACAATGACAGCAGTGGTTGCAGCAGGGGAGAAGGAAAAACAAGAAGCAGCAAATGACCTCCAGTCACTTCATTCCTCACCTTGCGAATGGTTTGTCTGTGATGATCCAAGCAATCACACTCGATGCTTCGTGATTCAGGTAATTTCTTAATCACTCTTTTCTATCTTGATCTGTACCATAAGGCTATACATTGTTAGAGTTTGACGCGTGAAATTTTTTCGATGTTGCAGGGGTCAGACTCCCTGGCATCCTGGCAAGCAAACCTCTTCTTTGAGCCCACAAAATTTGAGGTGAGAATAATTCTTATTTGGTGGAGACATTCGTTCCTCGTTCAGTTGCAATTTTCAATTGTTGATTTTGTAAGAAAACACCAAATCACTCACGATATATTCTCTTGCAGGGCACAGATGTACTTGTTCACAGAGGAATTTATGAAGCTGCAAAAGGAATATACAAGCAATTCATGCCGGAAATAATGGACCATTTGAAGAGACACGGAGATCGTGCAAAGCTTCAATTCGCTGGGCACTCCCTTGGGGGCAGTCTCTCCCTTTTGGTTCATCTGATGCTCTTGACTAACAAGGTTGTCAGTCCCTCCACTCTACGACCAGTTGTGACTTTTGGCTCACCATTTGTATTCTGTGGAGGCCATCAACTTATCAATGAGCTAGGCCTAGATGAGAGCCACATCCAGAGTGTGATAATGCATAGAGATATTGTTCCCAGGGCCTTCTCCTGCAATTACCCAAATCATGTAGCTGTAGTCCTTAAGCGCTTAAACAGCTCATTTCGGTCACATCCTTGTCTGCTGAAAAATGTAAGCATCATCATTCTATCAATTCTTACATATTAGTCATAAAAAATTATTTTGGTCTTGAGGGACAAAAGTCATAAACTCTTAGTGAACTTACCTAATATAATATATGACATGCTGCTGTACTCACCAGTGGCTAATATATTCATTTTCTTTGGAATTTTTTCAGAAGTTGTTGTACTCACCACTGGGTAAAATATTCATTCTCCAACCCGATGAGAAGACATCTCCTCCACATCCTTTACTCCCTCGAGGAAGTGCCTTCTATGCCCTGGACGATACTAAACGTGGATACTCTCCAAGTGTTCTTAAAACCTTCCTGAATCAACCACACCCCATTGACACCCTAAGTGATCCGACGGCATATGGTTCAGAAGGCACAATTCTGAGAGACCACGACTCCAGCAACTACCTTAAAGCCGTTAATGGAGTCTTGAGGGAACATTCTAAGATTCTCGTTCGCAGAGTGAGGAGGCAAAGGATTAATCATTTGTGGCCACTGTTGTCATCACCATCTCCACACTCCTGGAGCCATGAACAGAACTTGGAGAGATGCAGCTTGATGACAAAGGAGATAGTGACAGGGGTTTAAAAAGAAGCTTTTCTTCCGAGGTTCCCACAGACCATGATCGAATTAATTATAATCATGGAATTAATCAGCAAAGTACATCCCCTTGCTTTATGTATATTTCTAAATTCTAAATAATTAGTGTAGTGTGTATCTATTACTCCATATTGGAAACCTTGTTCATACAAATGTCAATAAATCCTATAGAAAATGGAAGAAATTTTCCGCAGATTTTTCATGCATAGCATTCAAATGCAAGAGAATCATCTGATAGGTCCCTAAAACGAAAAGATCATCTTTTTTATAAAAACAGAGTAAGGCGTTTAAATTACCAAGATAAAATTATACATGTGTGATTATATTTTCACCATCGCGAAAGCTAACAGAGAAGATTATCCTTTCACAGAAAGTAATGCATCAATGTTCAAATTTTTATTCGAAGAAGTTTTTACATCTAGTATTCGACTTTATCTCGTTTCAAGAGAAAATACAAGCGAAAAACTAATACAAAAGATCGATGATTATGGTTCAACGATCCATTTCTGAATTGCAACGCAGTAACACAAACATCCTAATCAGAGGAAGAAAAACAAACCAAAATATGTGATTATAACAGATTCCATGACGTGAGGCAATCAAGTTCTTTCTTGTTAGTCATATTGAAATCGCGAATGTAGTCTTTATAAATCAGTTTATTTTAAAAAGCAATTACTTTTTTTTTCTTAGCTTATTGATGAAATAAACATTATAAAAATTCGTTACTATTTCTCCGGAAAATTGTTTCAAAGACGCGATCTTCAGTATTGTTTCAACTCATCACGCGACGTTACACGGAACAAGAGTGGTGATGAAAAATTCCACTTAGCAAACGGATCCATGAAATCAAACCCAGCATCTGCAACGTTAAATCTAAATACCAAAAGCAGTAATTAAATAGAACAAAATTAACAATTACTCTATGTTGAAAAACTAAAGAACATGATGAAGTCGGAGAAATGAACATCAATTCGAAAATTTTGGCATCAGGGTTCCCGTGTTGAGGTGGTTATGAAATAGATAAATAAAAACAACAGTAAAGAAGGGAGAACTTGCTATGCTAGAGTTGACTTTACTTGTCAACTTTCTAATTTTTGAATAAGTCCGTAATAAGGCCCATTAATACAAACCGAAAAGGCCCATAGAGAAAAGAAAGATTTTTATTATATTTTTCTTTTCCATTTTCAATTTTCCTCTCCCTGTTTCTTGTATATCTCCCTTTTTTTTCTACCTTTTTCTGTTTCTTCTTCTCTCTCTTCCCAGATTCTATTCTATCATCCTCTGCTTTCGATAATTTTTTTTTTCCATTTTAAAGAACGTTAAGGAAAGGAGCACATCACTCTGAACTATTAATCTGCATTTTAAACCTTTCTCCCTCCTACGCTCTGTGTTTGATCGGCGCCCAACTAACCTCAGCCATTGGATTTGATGCCTACCATTGCATTTCCATTTTTGCCCTCTGCGTTTCTCTCGTCGATGTTGCTACGCCCACACTCTACTCTTCCGGAAATTGGATTCACTACTTTCCGTTAGGGTTTTAATCATTTCAACTACTAAACTGTTATTTTCAAAAAAATGACAAGATAAAAGAAAAAACCCTTAACATTTCTGGTTCATTTGCTTTTGTTTCCGTATTTATTGATTACCGGTTTTTGCCTTTTTGGAATTCAGTTGGTATTAGTTGTTGTGCACTCTTATATTGTGTGTGATAAGAATTTATTAAGTCTTACCTTGCTGCTCCTGCTATTGAGAGAGAACAAATTCCCGTGTTTGTGTTCTTTGTTCTGCACTAGTTCTAGCACTAGCAAAATTTCTTCTCATGCGTTGCCTCCATTAGTGGTGTGGTGGTGTATTTTTGGGTTGAGTTGTTAGGTTTTGTGGGAAGAATTTTAAAAGGGAAAACTTAGGGTTGCATGGGCGAGAATGAGGGGTGGGCACAACCACCAATTGGGATGTTGCCTAATGGCTTGCTGCCCAATGAGGCCGCACCGGTGATGCGAGTGCTTGACATGGAGCGATGGTTGAAGGCTGAGGAAAGGACTGCAGAGCTAATTGCCTGCATTCAGCCCAATCCGCCCTCTGAGGAGCGCCGCCATGCAGTTGCAGTCTATGTGCAGCGGCTGATAATGAAGTGCTTCCCTTGCCAGGTGGGTCTGAATCATCTCATGTGTGCAAACTAATATCCCATACTTCCAAAATTCGAAATAATTGTTTGGTCAAGAACTGCTGATTATGTATACCACTATTTTAGTTGCATTGTCGCATGATGTTTGAAGTATTAAAGACTGCTAGGACCAAGCATGATCCTTCATGATTACAGGTGTTCACCTTTGGGTCAGTACCCCTCAAAACTTATTTACCTGATGGAGATATTGACTTGACAGCATTCAGCAAGAACCAAAATCTGAAGGATGCGTGGGCACACCAGGTTCATGACATGCTCCAGAATGAGGAAAAGGATGAAAATGCAGAGTTTCATGTCAAAGAGGTTCAGTACATCCAGGCTGAAGTAGGTTCTCTTATATAACACAGCATTCTCAGGATTTTATCTTTGTGGCCGCTGTATTAGTTTGTCATAGATGAAATAAAAGATGAGATGTTATTATGAATGTGATGAGACTTTAAGTGGTTCTGTCTGGAGATAGGTTGTTGAAACACTTTAGGGTTTATTATGAGACAAAGGGGAGTGAACATTTAAGTTCTTAACCAATACCGAGTCATATGACTTTACTAGGTGATCTGTTTCTGGCCAGAAAAATCTTTATTTGATTACCTATTACTAAATTAATATTGAAATTCAGAGCTTTTGGTTGAGATGTGGTTACTATATATATTCTTAATTGCTGAAAGCCATAATGTGAGCTATAAGCTATTTGTTTTATAATTCTATTTGTTTGCCTGGCTTAATTTAAGTTGGTCTAAGATTTTATTTTGGTTTTGGCAAACTACTGGATTGTAGAATTTGTATTTTACTTACGGAGATTTTCTTCATTTTTTGTAGGTGAAGATTATAAAGTGTCTTGTTGAAAATATTGTGGTGGACATTTCATTTAACCAACTCGGAGGATTGTGCACCCTTTGTTTTCTTGAGGAGGTAATTTGGTTAATCCCACTTTCCTAGAACTCTCATTGTATCTATCTCTTTGAATTTTTACCCTGGTACTAAGTTTTAGTGTACTGACTAGTTTAATCTTTTTTCTTCTGTAGGTTGATAATTTGATTGGCCAAAACCATTTATTCAAGCGTAGCGTTATACTTATAAAAGCCTGGTGTTACTATGAGAGTCGGATACTTGGTGCCCACCATGGACTTATCTCAACTTACGCATTAGAAACTTTGGTTCTTTACATATTTCATGTTTTCAACAATTCCTTTGCTGGACCTCTTGAGGTAGCAATTTATAAATGTTGTTACTTTATGTGTCTTTTTGGTGATTGAATTGACTTGGTGTATCTTTGCTTTTGTAGGTATTGTATAGGTTTTTGGAATTTTTTAGTAAGTTTGATTGGGATAATTTCTGTGTAAGCCTATGGGGTCCTGTACCCATTAGTTCACTTCCAGATGTGACAGGTAGTTCCAATCTGATCAAATATCTGTTCTTTAATAATTATATAGCCCCATTTCTTATTGATTTCTTCCTTCCCCTTGTCAACAATTTCCACAGCTGAACCTCCTCGCAAAGATGGTGGGGATTTATTGCTGAGCAAGTTATTTCTTGATGCCTGCAGCTCAGTTTATGCTGTTTTCCCTGCTGGCCAAGAAAATCAGGGGCAGCCTTTTACTTCCAAGCATTTCAATGTTATTGATCCTTTGCGGGTCAACAATAACCTTGGGCGTAGTGTCAGCAAAGGTTTGTTAGGCTCAAATTTTGGATACAGTTTATTTTTGCATGTGTATAACTTTCTCGTATGATATTTCAAACTCTATGTTGGCCTTTGTGTGGATCTGATTCTGTTCCTGGTAACATGTTTATATATTATAAACTTCATAAGGTTGAAAGAAATCAGTTAGAGATACATTGGAGGAGCTATTGTTCCCTTCTTTCTATCAGCATGCGTTCTCATTTGAGATTTTTTGTTTAATTAAATATTGAACTTCACTTTATTTATCTTACTAGAATGAATGATAAAAATTATGCATAATTGGCTGGAATCATTCTTTTATTTTTAGTTTGTTAGATTTGCTGAACCATCTGTCTGATTTGCTTATGGTTAATACTTTCATTTTTTTATGTCTATGAACCAGGAAATTTCTTTAGAATACGCAGTGCTTTTGCATTTGGGGCCAAAAGGCTTGCTAGATTGCTTGATTGCCCACAGGAGGATTTGTTTTTGGAAGTCAATCAATTCTTTATGAACACTTGGGTCAGACATGGAACTGGGCAGCGGCCTGATGCTCCAAGCAGTGACTTATGGCGTTTGACATTATCTAGTCACGACCATTTACAGGGGTCCGAGAATCTCCAAAAGAATAGCCAGAAAACTGATAATACCTGTAATAATGAATTTCAAGTGAAAGGGGTGCATGCAGCACAAAGTGTTCTATCTCAACATTTATTGTCGTCTAAAAGTTTATCTAAGAGTAGTAGTGATTCCAGAGCTAACCAAAATAATGCAAGGAATTTTGATCAGGTCAAAAGGGAAGCTAATTGTAATCAAGGTGCTCGGAATGATAAGGGACACAGAAAGGCCAAACCAAATAACCCATTCAATGAGGTCCCAGGAAGGCTTTTATTTGCAAGAACATGTTCTAGTCCTGAGTTGACGGACTCTTACAGTGAAGCTCCTAGACAAGGAAGACATACAAAAGCCCCCGAAAGTGGGAAAGGCCCAACTTCCTCTGCAAAGTTTGAGAATAGTCACAGGAAGCATCTTGATTCTGACATGCCTGCTAGTTATGGCATTAGAATTGACGATTCATCTGGTAGGAAAATAATATCACATCAGTTTCTTGATAGCAGTGCTGATTCAAACAATGGCTCAAATAGTAATGATAATGAATCAGGCCCGGGCTTTGTGGATGAAGAATTTTCTTCTGTTGCTGGACTAGGTGGAAAGAATATGATGCATCAGGAGGAGCAGGACCTTTTGAACATGATAACATCCCCCACAACCCAAGGTTCCAGTGGAGAGAATCACATTCCAGTGAATTTAACCCCAGGTCACCTACCACTTTCACCTTCCATTCTTGCATCAATGGGATGTGCTCATAGGAATATAGGTAACATTCCCTTCATTGAGTCGTTTAATTGGGGTACTAATGTGCAATTTCCCCAAGGTTTAGTCCCTTCACCATGGACTCCATATTTCCCTGGCGTAGGATTGACCTCAAATCCTGAAGATTTAATTGAAACTGGTAATGAGAATTTCAATACTGTTGAAACAAGTCTAGCAGAAGCTGATAAAGATTTCTGGCATGAGCAAGAAAGGGCTTCTGCTAGGGGGGTTGAAGCTGACAATGGAAATTTTGAAATGCTTCCAGATGATGAGCGACAGTCAATTTCAGGTGTCTATAACTTTATACCATCATCTCATGTTGGCAGCTCTAGTAATTCTGCTAGACAGAAGACGACGTCTACTAAAGAAAACCAAGATTCTATGAGAGAAGAGCACATTGATAGTCCTAAATATCAAGATGGCAGAGGAAACGGTGCATATTTTGATGATAGAATAGCAAATCCTAGGTTGCCCAGTGCACCATCTTCAAGCTCCTTCAGAAGTAAGACATCTTCAGAAAGCTCTTGGGAGGGTTCTTCAGCAAAATCTTCAAAATCAACTCGGGAGAAAAAAGGGAAGAAAAATACTTCCTCAGTGCCATCTTCTGCTCACGGAAAGGGCAAGAATGCTACGGAAATTTCATCTGGTCTAGTGGATGATGAAAACAGGCAATGGACACCTTTGTCAACTACAGCATCTGATATATCAGACAGAAGTACTCGGCCACTGGCTGTTGCTCCAATGCATGTTCCAAGACAGCCACTGTCTGGTTCTGAAATGGTTCGGACAAGTGGATCAGATTCTGTGTTACCCATGGCTCCAGTGGTTATAGGTCATGGTTCTAGCCAAAGAACAGGGGATAATTCTGGGGTTTTTCCTTTTGCATTCTATCCCACAGGGCCACCAGTGCCATTTGTTACCATGCTTCCATTATATAATTTTCCTACTCAATCGTCTCAGACATCAGCAAGCAATTTCCATGGGGAAGAGGATGTAGATAGCAATGACCGAGGTCAGAATTTTGATCCATCTGAGGTGTATGATCAGCCTGAGGTGTTGAGCTCTTCCAATTCTACGAGAAGAACTGCTATTGACACGTCAGAGCCCAATCCTGACATTCTTAATGGTGACTTTGTTAGCCATTGGCAAAATTTGCAATATGGGCGAATTTGTCAAAATTCACGCCATCCCGATTCAGTTATCTATCCTTCATCTGTTGTGGTACCTCCTGTTTATTTGCAGGGTCGGTTTCCTTGGGATGGTCCTGGAAGACCACAGTCAGCTAATGTGAATCTTTTCACTCAGCTTATGAACTATGGGCCACAGCTAGTGCCTGTTGCTCCTATCCATTCAGTTTCCAACAGACCAGCCAATATTTACCAACGATTCATAGATGAGATACCACGGTATCGAAGTGGGACAGGAACCTACTTGCCAAATCCTGTGAGATTAATTTCTTATACAACTTGGTACTTTATCAAATATGCTGTAATTTGTTTTTACTTGCTATAATACAGCATACATGTGCGACTACATGTTTGTCTTCTACAATAAAGTATTGCTCTATTATGATCAATCTGCTTCTAGCACTGCTTATTTTACCTTCTTTCCAAATTTATTTCAGAAGGTTTCTGTTCGGGATCGACATTCTACAAGCACCAGAAGGGGTAATCACAACAATGACAGAAGTGATCAGCATGGTGACAGAGAAGGGAATTGGAATATTAACTCAAAGTTGAGAACAAGTGGGCGAAGCCATTACCGCAGTCAAGCTGAGAAGTCTAGCTCAAGGCCAGAAAAGTTGGCAACAAGCGAGAGCCATTCCGAAAGACCATGGGGTTCACATAGACCAGACTCTTTTGTTTCTCACCAGAATGGTGGTACTGTCCGGTTAAATTCCTCACAGAACAGTCCGACAAATGTGGCTAATGGAATGTACCCTCTACCGGGCATGCACTCCAGTGGAATCTCATCAAATGGACCAACAATTCCACCTGTTGTAATGTGGTATTCATATGATCACAATGCTAGCTACAGCACACCAGCAGAACAGCTAGAATTTGGAAGTCTGGGACCTATGGGTTTCCCGGGTGTCAATGAAGTATCACTGCTTAATGAGGGGAGCCAATCTGGTGGAGCATTTGAGGAGCAAAGGTTTAATGGTGGCACTGCTCAACAATCCTCTCCAGATCAACCCTCTTCACCTAAGTTCCCAAGGTAGTAACTTTTTCTGCGTCCTATCACTTCCGTTTAGGAGAATGGAATAATAGATGTGTGGGGCCGCTTGCCATATGAAATTAGATATATTATTTTTAGGGTGGTTAGTATCTCAGTACCTAATATTTTAATCCTGTTATTTTTTCGAAATATGTTTCCACTATTTAGTTCAAATTTCCCTGGTGATGAAGTGCCTTATTTAGTTTAAATTTTTTTGCAATTTTTAGTGGTGGTTATTAGTATACTTCAATTGGACTGCTTTATGATATCTGAATTTTTTTTTATTTTTATCAGGGGGCTTTGATTCTATTGCCAGATCAGTGGTCAGGTGGAATTATTAACCTAAAGAGGAGGATAATTATCTCCCCTTGCATATCATCAAGACGGCCAGGCAGGGAAAGTAAGTGGGGAAAACTTTTATGTGAATCCCGCCTATTTTCAACACGTTCTTTTTCTCACCCCACACTGAAGAGGAAAGAACTTTTGCTCTTCCTCTGATTCTCGTTTCTGGGGAATGCCCTTCGTTTATGCCCTGCCTCTTGTACCCTTACAGGTGATCAACCCATTTTGTTTGCTTTTTTTCATCGAAGACTTAACTTTGTTTTAGGATGAGGAACAGTAGTAGCAAAGAGGATGCAATACTCGGTGATTAGTTTTCATTCAAGGTTTGAACACACTTCAGAAATATCACAAGACCCTAAATCACTAAGCTGGGTTAGGTTCAGAAAGAAATATTACCGTGTTAACAGTTTTGTCAGCTTCTCATACTGTGTTATAGTTTAGGGCCTTCCGTAGATATTTCTTCAACTTTTGAAAAATATTAACTGTGTAACAATAACAAATTCAAAAATTATGTTAGATGTCATTTTCATCTGGCTTCTCCCCCATTCTCTCTGAAGAAGCCTATCACTCAAGTTGGAAGATCCCAATGAAAAAAAAAATGTAAACAATATGAATAAGCATAATTTGTTTTGGTGACTCAATAGGCATAATGTTTAGGGTATTTTAGGGCATTATACTCAACAGTTTAACAAGTTTTTTTTTTCCCTCTCTCTCTCTCTCTCTCTCGATATACTTCCCTCGTTGGACTCTATACACCCCTTAATTTATATATTACAATATAACAGTGTACTGTTTTATATACAAATCCCTCCTGAGTTCTTATACATCTGTACACATTAAGGTAGAATCTCGGTGGGTGAATGCAACGTTACAATTTTCGTTCCTTATTTTCATTTTATAGGTTGTCACATCTCACATTATAGGTGTCTGACAAGAACTTGAAAATTTTCTTTATCACCGGCTGAAATGATTAAGGTGCTAATTTGTGCTGAAATGCCACCGGAAAGAAAGGCTATTGAAGTTGATATGTTGTGGTCCTCGGAATAATTTGTTTAATAATTGGTTTCATTAATCATCTACTTATTACATCACTAAACATTAATCATCTACTCATGTTGTCTCAGTCATATATGCACGGTCTGTCAAATTGGTTGTCCTTTAAAGGATATATATACTGTAATTATAATGTGTTTTTTACATTGTAGGTTGAACCTAGTAGTAACTAGTGTATGATCACTTTTTATTCTAATGCTCGCTACGAAATTATATGCAATCGATTGAGAACGCGATCATAACACTATACAGACAATTTTTATGTTGCATCATAATATAAACCACTCTATGTAATTTGTAATTTTATGAAAAGTGAGTCTCAATCCATGAAGGATGAGTAAATGCATGTATTTGACATTTATATGAATTGCTACTAAGTTCAGTCGCACTCAAAAAATTGATGTTTGAATATTGTTCAGCTTCTTAGTTGATGAACTGTACCTTAGGCAGTTACAGAGTTAATAGTAGAAGAATGGAGGAGTTAAAATAAGATTGGGATAAAATAATTATTTATAAATTCATCTTATCACTCTAATTTAAATTTATCGTAATTTTTAGTTTAGTAAAACAAATTCTTAAAATAACTAAGCAAACTGTTCTACATTTTATACTTTCTTGAAATAATAATCAGAAAAATTAAAAATCAATTTTAAACTATTTATTCCAAAATAGTCAAAAATAAATTTTAAGTTATACATTCTAAAATAAAACAAAACAGGTTGCTTTATTTTTTATTTTTTCATAATATTTTATCCATGTGTTTGAAAGTTTTGTATTGAGGGAGTGGAAAAGAAGAGAGTGAGTGAAAGATAGAGATGTTTGGATTAAGGGAGAGAAAATGGAAAATGAAGAGAAATAGATAGGAAAATTGTAGAACATGATATGATTAAATAAAAAAATTAAATAATAAGATATATATCCTTAAAATTATGATGTAATTTAATATAATACAATTAATGTATATTATAGATAAAAATTTATATATATTAAAATTAATTTATATAAAAATTATAAAAATAATTTTATGATATTTTATAAAAATATTAAAACTTTACTTTTTTATTATCTTAAGAATAATTTATAAGTATTTTTAAAATTATAATTAAAAAAAAATACAACGTTTAAATAATATTAAAATAAATATTAAAATAAAGTAGAACCTTCATATTAAAGGTATAAGTTATTCTACAAAATTTAATTTTTAAAATTTGATTTGATAAAGTTTATTTTAAGTAATTATTATATTAATTTTAAGATTGTTTACTATTTTGATAAAATATAATATTTATGTATTTTTCTAAAATTATTTTGTATGTACATAAATTAAAAAAAATACTTATTTTCATCTAAAACAAAATACAAAACAATATTAAGTGGTTGAAAAAAATTATAAGAGAATTATAAAACAAAGTATAAAAAATATATAAAATTTTAACAATAAAAGTATAATATTAAAAATATAAAATATAGAAAATAATACATAAACTAAAAATGAAAAAAAAATCATTTAAGTGAGTTTTTTTCATAATTGATGATGAAAAAACTCACATTAAGTGAGTAAAATATGATTACAACACTGACATATTAGTATACGTTATAATTAAAAAGGTGATAATATTACATCTTTTTTAAGTTTTTTTTTTTGCAAATTTTTTTGTCTATATTAAAAGTAATATATATTATGTGGATCCATTAAACTTTCTTTATAAATCATGCATGTCTCTATATATAAATATTAACCTTCCATATCTTTGCTTCTTCAATAATAATAAATTTATTTATCCAATGTAAGCTAAAATGGTAGATGGAGAATCTGATTCTCATAAATATGCAGATGTCAATTAATTTTGAAAGAGGCAACTGTACATTTTTTAGAGAAAAGTTATAAATTTTCCGGAGTTCTTTTTGTGTCAGTGTCTTTCTTTTTCATTTCGAAATTTTGAAGATGTAAATAAATTTTCTCAATTTTTCATAACTTTTTTAACTGACAAATCCAAAATGAACAATGCAACAAGTGATTTGTGTGGGTTGAAAAATAATTATCCTCCGTAATTTAGACACCTAACTTTTCAGTCCAAAGTTGGAAAAACAAAATATGCACATGGGTTGGGTTGACCCAGCCTAAATCTATTGGGCCAAGGTGTAAAAGTGGGAGAAGTTCAACTTTCTAAATACTGTAAAAATCTTATTCCTTTTCTTTCTAAAACTAAAACTGTATTCTAGAATGTAAATTATCTAGAATGAAAATAAGTTGCCAAAATATTTTTACATGGTCCGAGAAGAAATGGTCCAACATTACATATTTTCTAGCCAGATTGGTCTATTTTTATTTTTTTTAACAAGACCTAAATCATATTTAGGAGGTCGATTCTCTTGTGTTTTCTTCAAGAAAATAATGTTATTTTCGTAATATTCAATATCTCTTGTATTCTCCGTACCTGATTTTTCTAGGTAAGACTATAACAATAGTATATTAATATATAATAAAAAAGTTCAACAAAAATTTTGTGGTTTCATTTTTCTCCTATTGCATTCAATGTTTTAGAATTTTGTTGGTCTGAGTTTTTCTACCTCACTTTCTTTGCACTTTCTCATTCTCGTTCTCTTTCACTACCACAACAAGACAACATCATTCCATCAATCTCTTTATCAACTCTGAAGCCTCCATAAGCTCCCTCCAATCCAAGTCTACAACTTATTGCTGCATGTAATAAAACTTTTCATATCTAAGGTTGTTGTTTCTTCCCTTTTTCTAAAAACAGACACAACTTTTATTATCTTCTTTCTACTTTTTGAAACTTATCTTTCCCTTGAATTTTCTCCTTCCTGCTCATCTTCTTCCTCATCATTGGTCGTTTGGTGTCTTAAAAAATTAGTTTGTTCTTTTGTTTGGCTATTTATTTATTTACAACAGTCATTTCTGACCTGGTCGAGTTGGTTGCTATGGCCGTACTTGATTTTTGAGATTGACTTGACTTACTATATATATTATATATCCAAGTCCTTGGTGGCTACACTTTGTAACTTTATTTAATTGATATTATTATTGTTTAATAATAAACAATTGACTCTTGCCTTTTGTAGTTAAATAAATTTTCACTACTTTTAACTTGAGGGAGGATGAAAATAAGTTTCAAATTTGATGTTGGATTTTGTAGGCCTGAATCTTCTGTTTCTGCAAAGCTTACCCCTTCTCATTGGATGCTGAAGTAGCCTAATCATGGGACCGAGATTTGTGAGGTGCGGTCCTTCAGTCCTGGTTTTGCTGCATATTTCTATTGTTTCAGTTTTAGTACTCTAGGTACACACGTTGCAAACCATTTCTGCTTCATCTATTTGTAATTTCGTTCGTTCATTATGCTTCGTTCAGCTATTTATTTTCTTTCAAAATAGGTTCATCTGCCTCAGAAAATAATGAAATTTAACTATTTTAATAGGTGCATTTTTATAACACAAGATTAATTGACCCCAAACTTTGCAACTAATTATTGCCAATTTAACAAGATTGTTCTTGTCTGCTGTTAGTGGTTTGTTTCTGTTCTTTGTTTTTTCTCAAGTTAAAACATCATTCCACCTATAGCCTCTGGTCATGAAATTCGATCATGATATCATTTTGATTTTGGAGTATGTTGTCGTCAAACACAACCATTGAGGAGTCCATTTGGAGACTTGATCATAATTAATTTGTAATAGTTGGAAGGTAATCCATGATTGTTAAGTTAAAACTTCACTCCATCCAGGTTTGAAGACTGTAAATCAGAGTCATCTTTTAGCATGGAGCAAGAAGACTCTATTAACGATGGAAATCAAAGAAGGAGACCAAGTTTGAGTGCTGTTTTGAGGAGTATAGGAAGAAGGGTTGAGAGTGGATCAGCGAAGATGAAGAACTTGAGAAGAGCTTCAACTGTTCATCCCTTGAGTAATGGACAGAAAAAGCTGCCACCTAAGAAGAAAATTCTTGATCCACAGGGTCCAATACTTCAGAAATGGAACAAAATCTTTGTAATAACGTGTGTGTTAGCAGTCTCTGTGGACCCGTTCTTCTTTTACATTCCAGTGATAAATAATGATGAAAAATGCCTTGATTTGAGTGGATCGTTGCAGATCACTGCCAGTGTTTTTCGCACCTTCCTTGATCTATTCTACATCCTTCGCATAATCTTTCAGTTTAAGACAGGCTTTATTGCCCCTCCATCTCGTGTTTTTGGAAGGGGTGAGCTCATCAATGATCCTGTGGCTATAACGAAAAGATACTTAACTTCACACTTCATCATTGATATTTTATCAATTATTCCACTTCCACAGGTATCTCCTCATTGATATTTATTTATGCATATACAGATAAGAAGCCAAAATGAAGGCATTTTGTATAAATCAACATATTTCAGTTCAGTTTGTGTGAAAGACATAATTACTGATGTTGTGTTTAACATTTAGGTGATTGTTTTAGCCATACATCCAAACATGAAAACAGATCCATTTGTTGCGAAGGATTTGTTGAAGTATTCAGTATTAATCCAGTATGTGCCAAGGCTTTTGCGGATCTATCCTCTATTCAAAGAAGTAACTAGAACTTCTGGCATATTAACTGAGACAGCAGGAGCTGGTGCTGCTTATAATCTTTTTCTTTATATGCTAGCAAGTCATGTAAGCTGACTTTTATTGCTTATCCAAATTCAATTTATCCATGTTCCTAGGTAGTCATCATGTGTAGTTTTATGATCACCAAATACATGTGCTTTATCAGGTGGTTGGAGCTTTCTGGTATTTGCTATCGGTAGAGTCAGAAGTGCGTTGCTGGCGCAGAGAGTTGAAGAGTGGTGGAGACTTGAGTTGTAGAAACCGCAATCATGAAATCATTTCGCGTCTCAATGAAACTTGTTCTTTGGTTGACCCTGATAATATCATAGGCCCAAACATCTACAATTTTGGAATATTTTTTGATGCTTTACATTCAGGTGTGGTAAAATCAACAACAGATTTTCCTCAGAAGTTCTTCTATTGCTTTTGGTGGGGTTTGCGCGGTTTAAGGTTGGCAAATCTTCTTGTTCTTGCTTTTCATATATGCAAATGCAACATACTTCTATTATGAACTGTAGAACTTCTATATAGATTCGTTTGCAATATTTCAATACATTATTATTAGTGTTTGTTGCATCTTATAAAAGAAAAGTTAGTGCAAATTTATTTGAAGATGGGGACCAAGCATACCAATATTAATAATTTTGTCATCTTTTGCAGTTCTCTTGGACAAAATCTCCAGACAAGTACTTATGTCCCAGAGATACTCTTTGCAATCTTCATTGCCATCTTTGGATTGGTTTTATTCTCGTTACTTATTGGAAACATGCAGGTAATTCATTTTCTGCAAAAAAGTAGTTTTTGAAAAGTTGATTTTATGACAAGAAGTTGGCATCAAAAAATTCTCCCATTATTGTGTTGAATATTGTTACAGAAATATCTGCAATCTACAACTGTTAGAGTGGAGGAGATGAGAGTGAAGAGACAGGACGCAGAACAGTGGATGTCCCACCGTATGCTGCCTGAGAACTTGAAAGAAAGAATTAGACGGTATGAACAGTACCAATGGCAAGAAAATAGGGGTGTTGAGGAGGAGGCATTAATTGGTAAACTTCCTAAAGATCTCAGAAGGGACATAAAGCGTCATCTTTGCCTGGATTTAGTTAAAAAAGTGAGTAGCATCCGTAATCATGCCTCCCACATAACAATTTTTTATCTAACTGTTGTGTAATGAACATTTTCATATTCTTGTTGATTTAGGTGCCAATGTTTGAGAAAATGGATGAGCAGTTGTTGGATGCAATGTGCAGTAGACTGAAGCCAGTCCTTTATACTGAGAAGAGCCAGATTTTTCGTGAAGGAGATCCAGTTGATGAGATTCTTTTCATTATGCGTGGAAAAGTGTCTACTGTGACAACAAATGGTGGAAGAACTGGTTTCTTCAACTGTTTGCTTCTCAAAGCTGGTGACTTCTGTGGAGAGGAACTTCTGACATGGGCCTTGGATCCTAACTCCTCCTCGAATCTACCCATTTCAACTAGGACAGTAGAAACTATATCAGAAGTTGAAGCCTTTGCTCTCATGGCGGATGACTTGAAGCTTGTTGCTTCCCAATTTCGCCGTCTTAGCAACAAACAGCTCCAACACGCTTTCAGGCAAGACTTCATAGTTTATATATTATATTAATTTCTCCTTTTGTCCTCTTTGATGATGCATCATTATATATAGTGGAACTGTGCTGGACAATAGGAAACAAGATATAATTCAAAACCGATAGTTTTGTTTTAGGTTCTGACTTTTGAGAGTATAGTTTACTTTCATAATCTCGTTAAACTCATTTTAACATCAGATTATTAAAATTTTAGCAATAACAGAGTTAAAAAAACCACGTGACAACAACCAACCTTAAAGTTTTTTCGTATGAGCACATGTGGGATTATGGAAAATTAGAATACAATGCTCTCTTATTTTTTTCGTAACCTTATCAATTCTGCAATATGCTTGCTTTTCAATGCAGGTTCTATTCGTCACAGTGGAAGACATGGGCTGCCTGTTTTATACAAGCAGCTTGGCGTCGATACTTGAAAAAGAAGATTGATAGGTCTTTGCACGACGCAGAAGACAAGCTACAAGATGCTTTTGCAAAGGAGGATGGCTCTACTCTAAGCCTTGGTGCAACAATATATGCATCAAGGTTTGCTGCCAATGCACTGCGAAACTTGAGAGAAAATGGCAGACACAATAGAATGCAACAGAGACTACTGCCTCTGCTACCTCAAAAGCCAGCCGAGCCAGATTTCACTACTCAGAAACTCTAACTTGCATAGCTGTTGTGTGTACATATTTTGGGAGGTTGCTTAAGAGTTACTCCAATAAATTTATGTGTATATGCAGTAGAAAAGGCTTTATAGAGATGTAATATTGCATTAATATTTATTCAAAATGTATACACAAAATGATTGATATAAATAATTTATATTACAAATTTTAATCATATTTTATAACTTGAAAACAGAACCTCTTAGTTAATAGAGAAATTTAAGTCTTGAACTTGTAAATTATGCTGGTTATTTTATAGAGAAAGTTTAGCTGTATATATTATTATATTACATCAAAGTAATAACGGAATTTTTATTCAGAACTATTTTATGCCACATTTGATTCAGTTGGCAAAGGAGTTTCACATACATGTATAAGACTTATTTTCTTTGTTCATGACCGTTACAACCCTTATTGTTTTTCCGCTAACTTGACAGTTACAGCAACCCACAGGTGAATGATCACATCATAAAGCTTACTCTGCATTACCAAAAAGATAAAAAAATGGTCATCTTCAATGTTACAGTCAAAGTTGATGTTTGAAGCATAATACAAAATTGAATTGGAACGAGAGCAAAGAAACTTACTTGTTGCAATCAGTTTTCTGGTCAATGGGAGGAATGGTAACAGAGAGTCCACAATCTTGGGGAGCTTGAGGTATACGTTCAGGATCATAATCTCCAATCGTGGCCAACCCTTTCTTGAAGCACTGACATATAGTTATTCGATTCTCTTGGGTGTCAGCGTCACCATTTAGTTTCTTGATGCCTTGGCAACACTCCTCAGAGGGGTGCTCTGATTGTGATTTCAGGAACCTAACGCAAGGTGCAACATCCTCAATAACTGTGGGGCATGGTATGGAAGCCAGAGCTTCACATCCTGCAATTAGGAGAATGACAATGGATATCATTACCGCTCTTAACATTTTCATTGTTAAAAGAAGCAACAACACCTTTAAGATAGTTGGAACTGAACTGTGTTTGTTAAAGGACCAAACGTCATATGTATATATACAGATAGATTTAGAGAGAGATTTCTGCAGTTGTTTGGTTTGTTCTGTGTACTTGCAATGCATGCAAACTTCATGAGTGAACCCCACTAGTATAAGCAACTATAATGCGTACTTGAGCAAAATGATAGGAGAAACTGATTGAGATGACCTTAAAAATTGGTTACATATACGTCATTCTAAAGGTGTGATATATCAAGATCTGTATAAATTATCTAATATCAAATGCTTCTTATAAAATTAAAATTTCTGATATATATTGTGTGCAATGTTATGTCATCTCAAGCCCAAGTGGAACAATAAAACATGGAGGATTTCCTTATGCACCCCCAGAAATCTGGGCCAATATTATTAGTTAAGATTAGATCAGCATTAAAGATAAAAACTGGGCCAATATTATTAATTAAGACCAAAAATAGCAGTTCAAGTGCTTATAAATTTGTTACTTTTTAAGATTTTAATTAAATGGGGATAAAATTGATTAGATTTTTTTATTCAACCGATTTTGATAAAAAAAAATTAAAATTAATTTTATTTTAATATTTTTATAAATATATTATAATTTTTTTATTTTCAATTTTAAATAATAATTATTTTATTATATTTTAATAATTATTCATTTTATATCTTTAATATATTTTATATTTTATATTTGTTAATTTTTTATAAAAAATTATTATTAATAATAAATTTATTATATATTTATTATATTATAAAAATATTATTTTATTAAATTCAGCTAATCTCAATTAAACTTTTAAATTTTAAAATCATGTTTTTAATAATAATAGAAGTTTTTATTATTATGAAAAAATAAAAAATATTTAAATGATTCAAAAATATTATAATTTAATATATAAAAAAATAAAAAATATTAAATGATTTAAAAATATTATAATTAAAAATATTATATAATAAATTTGAAATATTATAAATATTATAAGTGTTAAGAAAAAGTCAAATATCTATTTTTTTAATTATTTAATCTAACTAATTATTATAATTTAATCTAATTATAATTAGATTAAATTATTAAATTAAAACTATATTTAATTTATAAATATTTAATATATTTTTTAATTAGATGAGTAATTATTTATTATGATAAAATAATTTTAAATTAATTATTTAAGTTATTAAAAATAAAATTATTTATTGTCAAAATAAATAAAACTATCATAATTTTAAATAATTAATTGATATTTTTAATTTAAATATTAATTTTAAAATATATTATTTTTTATTATTTTTATTAAATTTTAATATAATAATTTAATTAAGAGAATAAATAAGAAGAATAAAATAAATAAGAGAAAATAAAAAGTGAATAAAAAAAGAAAAAAAGTGAAAAATGAAAAATGAAAAAAAGGAAAAATAATTTATATATAAATAATAAATATATATACTTAAATAACTAAATTTATTCAAATTTTATTTAAATAATTTTAAAAAAATATTATTGATAAAATTCATTTTGATATTTATCTAATTTAAAATGATTTCCAAATTACACGTTATTATCTAAAGGTGGTAAACGTAATATATTATACACAATACATGTCTATTTTGTCTCTCCATCGGTCTCTCCAATTTCCCCAAACCCTAATTTTCGAAATCCCCCAATTTCTCGTTTTCGAATTCGAGAATGGAGCAGAACAGGAGCACCAAGATGTACAACCTGTTCGTGAAGCACTTGGACGGGAAAACCCTAACCCTGTTATTCCCCTCTCCGATTCTCTACGCGAGTTCCATCAAGGATCGCCTCTTCGAACTCACCGGAATTCCCTCGCAGCACCAGCGCCTTGTCACCGGTTTCTGCCACCTCAACGACGACAAATCGGCGATCCAATGCTCCCCGGAGGACGGCAACATGTTCCCGTCCGTGCGGCTGTTGCTGCGGCTCAAGGGTGGCAAGGGAGGCTTCGGGTCGCTTCTTCGCGGGGCCGCGACGAAGGCCGGGCAGAAGAAAACCAACAATTTCGACGCGTGTCGGGACATGAGTGGTCGTAGGCTGAGGCATGTCAACGCCGAGAAGAGGTTGGAGGAGTGGAAGGCCGAAGAAGAGGAGAGAAGGCTCGAGAAGGTGGCGGATGAGTTTCTCAAGAAGCAGATGAAGAAGGGTAAGGGTAAGGGAAAGGCTGGAGGTGATGGTGAAGCTCATAAATACGTTGCGAAATATAGGGAGGAATCTGAACGTTGCGTTGCAGAGGTTGCCTTGTCCGTTAAGGAGGCTCTCACTGCCAAGCGCAAGAGCCCTTCACAACCCCACCATGATGCCAAGAAGTTGAAGATATGGTAAGTAGACTCACTCATGTGCTGTGTGTTGTTGTTTGTTAAGTAATTGTGTTGTGGTTCCCTTTTATAATTTTTTGAATTTTGTGGGTTATTGATATTGGTATTTGTGTTTTGCAGGATGGGGAAGAGGAAATTGAATGAAAGTGATAGTGATTACAGTGATGAATCTGATGAAGAGGGGCAAATGGAATCAGATTTGTTGAATGAACAAAATGAGTCTGGGTTAGCTAAGGATGAGGGTAGTTCGGGTTCGGTGACTGGTGGAGGAGGCTCCTCTGATTCTTGCTCGTGTGAAAGTGGATCCGAGAAAGAGAAGGAAACTGTTGTACAAGGAAATGTGGAATCTGTTGGGTTGCTGAGCGATGAAAGTATCCAGGCCATGGATGAGCCTGTGATAAGCAATGGGGCTACTGCAATGCCAAATGAGTCAGCGGTTTCTGGACTTAATGCTGAAGAAGATGGACATCAGGATTGCCATGGCCATCTGTCTGACAAGTTTTATGGTGTTGTGAATCAGGCCTCAAATATTACAGGCTCTGAAACTGTGGCCAGTGCTGGGGAATCTAATGATATGGAAATTGATGGAACTCTTGATCATAAAGCAGCAGTCAATGAAGAGAGCTCAGCAAGCATTAGTGTTCCCGCAATAGAGGAGCCCCTTAATTTTGATGCCTTTAATAACTCTGCTGAACTCGAGGTATGTTTTCAGTAACATCCATTACTTGTGTGGTACCCTTTGCTATTTTTTAATTATATGCCCTGCTTCATTATATGTTGCTTTGGATTTGAAGGCAGTAGCTAGGGTGAAACCCAGGATTCCAGTTTAAAGAGAGATAGGGGTTATCTAAATATCATTATGTTTAAAACGGGACCTGTCATTCAACAGTGAGTGAAAACACTAGTCCAAGGTTTTATTGGTTCTACTGTAATGGAATCCATATTAATAAATAATAATATTAAATAATATATAAAACAACATTATAATAATAGAATATTGTAATTTTTTAGCACGAAAATTGGAATAAAATATCATTTTATAGATTCTTAACATTGAAGTACACATTAAAGACCAGATGAAATATATCTTAAATACTTCGAGTTTACTTTTAACAAAATACAATAGTGGCTGTTGATAACATGTTTACGCTTAGGATAGAAAAGAAATGACAATTAAATATATAATATTATAAGAAATCTACATATGAAAAGTTAAAACTTAATATGACTAAATCATATGTTTTATAAGATAAAAATTAATGATAAATTGGTAAAATAATTTATTTCTACGTCCTTGGTAAATACTCGTTCGTATTTTTATCTTAAAATTGGTTTAAACTTGAATACAAATATGTCGATGTATTGAGGCTTACCTAGAACTTGACTCCTATCTACAGTACCAAGTAAGAAAGTAGCCTTTTTATGAGAGCTTTCAAATACATGTCTGTTTCAGATGTTATAGTTTGTTGCAGAGCCAATAGAAATTCGTTCAATACTGGGTAAGACTGGTTAATTGTAGATTAGAGGACCCTCTGACATGTACGTTGTTGTTATAAAAACATTATGTGCTATAGTAGGAAATGATGTAGATAATATATTATCCGTTTTGGAAAGTAAGCAAAAAGTAATGGTTGAATTTGGGTGGAAATAACATCACTATTAAGTTAACTGTAATTAGTTCATTCAGTTTTAGCATGGTTTAATTTTTTTAATAATTTTAACTAATCATTGAAGGTAGTGTAAGTAATGTGAGTTATAGTAGTTATATTGCACGATCGTGACCACAATTTGTTGACGGGATAATACCAACTTTTGGGACCACTAAGCTAAAGCTACTAACTAATCCTAAGGCTACATACCGTGTGTATATGCATAAAATTATCATATCTATTTGCTCGAGGTTGGATTGTTCTTGGATAGATAATGCATAAATCATTATACCTTTAGTTATGCTTTTAAAATTTAGCAATGTTTTTCTTTCTGTGTACTTTTAATTTTATGTTTGTGGAAAAATCAGAAAAAATGATGTCTGGTTTGGCATTGGATCGAGTCAAACGCAGATTAGTGATTTACATCTAAGCTAAAGCTACTTTCAATAGTTTCCATTTTTTACATCTGAAACTTGGATCCAAGATTCCAAACACCAAACGAAATATGCACGTAGTAATGGCCCCTAGAGAACCCGTTCCCCTCCACCTATTAGGCATTGGCATTGGTATTGGACTGTTTATAGCCTCTGAAGTTTAATGTTTTTTTCCATATGTTATTGACAGGTTTTTGGCTTGGAAAGGTTGAAGTCTGAACTGCAGTCACGTGGGATAAAATGTGGAGGTACTTTACAGGAGCGGGCTGCCAGGCTTTTTCTTTTAAAATCGACTCCTCTGGATAAACTTCCAAAGAAGCTGCTTGCAAAGAAGTAAGGAGTGTTTTGAGATGGCAGTTCCTTCTGTGTACAGTATTTCGTAACTATCTGTCTGCACCTTTTACTAATAGGTGTCAATTGTATCCTCCGGCTTGGGGAACTGACTGATGCATATGCCTTTTTCTGTTCGTTTTAGTGTTCATCGTGAGCGTTATTTTATGTAGTAATAATACACCACTACCAGCAGCTAAAGGAAGCTGAACACTGTATAATCCAAGAATTATGCATTATGAACAATTCCAATTTTTTTGTTTGGTATATTATACTATCAGATAACGATTATCAACAATGGTTGGATATCTTGCTTCCTATTTTATTCAATCCGTGCTATAATAAGTTCATAACTGCTTAACATTCAAGTCTCCCAAATAATCGGGTCACTGAAAGTCAAATTATATTTCATATATATGGGTATACATTATGTAATGAAGGTGTGGAGATACGAAGGACTCAATACAACTAGCCATATGCTAAATTCGAATACTAAATGTCATTGTTTTGCCTCTCCTATCTTAGTCTTCGATTTTTTAAACCATTTTTCTCTTGATTTTTGTTGGATTAAAAATTAAATCTTCATTTTCGTCTCTGTTAGGTTTCAGATTTTCGGTTCTGATCTTGATTTATATTATTATAATTACATTTATAATAAATTAATTTTATTATGTAATTTTTTATATATAAATAAATATTTATAATTTTATAATTTATAATTATTATTAATTAAATATATATTTTAATTTATTATATTTATATTGAAATATATATATATATATATATAAAATATTTAATTATTTTTTATTTATATATATAGAATATTAATAACATTATTATTATTATTATTATATTATTCAAATATTTGAATAGTTATAACATTATTATTATAATACTGTATTTAAACATTTAATTATATATATAAGTTAATTCATTTTTAAGTTGTCATTTAAAAATATAAAATATATAGTTTATAAAAAAATATTTAATAAGTTAATTTTTATTTAATTAGTTTGAAGTAATAAAAGTTTAAATTATTAATTTTTTTAATTCATAATTATTTTATTAAGATAAAATTTGATATATGATAAATAAAAATAATAAAATATAAAATATGATATAATAAAATCTAATAAATATAAAATATAAATAAAATATTATTAGTTACTACTATGATTTATGTAAAATATTTAGAAAAAGATAAAGAAAAAAATTGTACTTTGTGTTCATCAAATTGATTGAAATTATAAAAAAAAATTGATGGGAGAAATTAAGGAAATGTAAAAAACAGAAAGGTAAGAAAGAGAATAATGTAATAAATTAATTGATATAAAATATTAAAAAAGACAAAAATTAAAAGTGGGTAGAAAAAAATAAAAATTAGTGAAATATAAAAAAATAATCTTATATGTAATAGAAAAAGAAAAAAATACATTTAAAGTATTAATATTTTAAATTTAAATATAAAGTCAAGACGGAACCGAGATAGGAATCGCATTACCCATCCCCACCCTCGCTCCGACTTTTTAAAGTGTGGAAAATTCACCCCGCTTTCGGTGAACTCGGATTTAATTGTGATCCCTGTTCCCAATAATCATTGAAGTATATTCTTCACCTTACAAGGAGAAGATACCATTACCTGCATCTGCATTATGAGAAAAATACTCTTATGGATAGAAAAAAAATCGGCCACTCACTGATGAATTCATTATCACTCACAAAAGAGACAAAAAAAATTTGTCATGTATTCGTCGCAAATACATGATTCTTTTTAATCCAATTTCTTATTTTTATTATTCATATTCATGGCAAACAATACAAGAAAGTAATTGAAAGCACCTTTTATAAAAATTATAACTTGCATGGCACATAGGGGATTTTCTTAATTATCGTATTCATAATTCATAATATAAATTAATTTTGGAGGCTAAAAAATACAATGATGACTTATGGCATATTTATGCTTATTTTGTATGATTTATTTAAATATCAGTTGCCCACCTTCCATTTGGAATATTACGTAGTTCTTTCTTTTACTTCAATTTTTTTTTTTTTTTAATGATTAGATAAAAAAATGCAGAGGAATTTAACAATGCCGGAGGAAGAACATACGTAAGGTCAGCAAAACATTAAATAATATTAATATAAAAATATTAAAGTGAAAAACTAATATTAATGCTAGCTATAACAAATATTAAACTCAACAAGTTGTTTGTTATTGTTAATTTAGATTAATGAATTTTCAACATTTTACAAATTTAGAATGTTATGTTAATTTTAATGTTTAGGATGCTATATTGATTTTAAAGTGTAGGATGTTATATTAATTTAAATAATCACTTAACTTGTCCATTATTCCAAATTGAATACGTAAATCCAATATGACATCCGATTAATATTAGATTGTTGGTTTATATCATCCCTTTATAATAAAACATAGATTATCACATTTTTTTAGTGTTTCATTGTGATTATTATCAAATCTACAACAATTATATTGAATTTATTTAAGGTAATTAAAAAACAGTTTATGTATAATGATATTGAAGATAATAATTTAAGATTATTTCAAAATGAAAATATATTTAATAAATTATTTATTTTATTCAGTTCCTTTTTAAAATAAAAATATAGCATAAAAGAAAATATTTGTTTTTTAAAATTATTTATACATTATCATAAATATAACAAGTTTATCTTATAACATCATGAAAATGTTAATTACTAATTTACTATTGATAGATGATAACAGAAATTATATGTAATTGATTTCATACTATTCATTCAAATATTTCCAATGGAATTTTACTTATAGAAACTAAGTAACAATATAATAATCCACTGCATTTGCCTAATCAAAGGCTGTGTGCACTTTCTGATTTTGGGTACTCTTGATGCAGCATTCTAAGAGTAAATACAGACAACTCGGTTAATGTCTTTTATTTGTTTCTTGTACAAATTTTTACACTGAACACTATATCACCTATTCTATATATTTGAAGTAATTGTTTTTACTGAATCTTATTATTGATAACCTTGGGGTGGATAATGTTGTTCCTGTTATGTCCAATTATTATTGCAATCCATTTCATAACACCTTTCAACGTTTAACATAAGTCATATATATCACTAAACTAAGCCTCTGAAGTGTGTGATTAACAAACAATGAGAGAAGCTGGATTTCTGTCCCAGATTTGAGGTTGAGTGCTTAAAGGGTAAACCTAGAACCGGTCAAGCAGTGGAAGGATGTGAAGGAGAGTTGCGGCAAAGAGGGCATGTAGTGTTCATGCGAAGCCATTCATCTATGCAGTCTGCATGGAAGCAATGAGCACATTCAGGAATGCATCTTATTGTGTCTTTGCTTTTATACTCTGACAGGCATATGGTGCAACATCCCTCGTTAGGTCCTGGAACTCTTCGGCTCTCTCCTAATACCAGTTTCTGATAAGACTCGATGGTAGACTCATCCAGGCCCATCCTGTCAATGGCAGGTTCGAGTGACATTCCAGTTGGTGTAGACCTCTGTGCTGCAGAAATTCTGTTGCCTCTTCTGCACTTGAAGGACGCGTAGCATGCAATCGCAATGGCACACATGATAGCTGGTCCAACAATGGATAATGAGATGATTCCAAAAACTCGAAGGCCATGCTGTTGAGGAGCTGAAAATTCAAGAGTTTCCCCTTCAATGTCGTGTTTAATTGTTAAGATAAAATATAGTATTTTAAACATTCTTAGTACTAATTAATTAGTTACGACTTTTGGAAGAATTGGTAGAATAATATTCTGGGTCTTTGAGAAATTTATTTGCTTAGTAAATCTCTTAAAGAACTGTATATAATCTCACCTTGTAGGACCAATGTGAATCTGGTTATTGTAATTAATGCTTAAGAGAAAACCCCTTAACCATGGGCATTAGAATATGACTTTCAGTTTACACGAAAGCCACAACTTGAGCATGATTTTCATTCATTTTTGCCATTAATTAAGTCTCAACTAGCAAACCAACTGATAAAGTCAAAGGACGTATTAAAAAAAGTCATGATAACTTTTACTATTACATCAAAACATTGACTTTAATTTAACAGTTTATCGTACCGAGAACACAGAGCAAGTTATGGCCCACATAACAATGGCAGTTCCATTTTGTTTCTTTCGGTGCTTTAAACAGTTTGGATTATCAAGTTTCTGACTAAAGCTCATGATGAGTTAACTTTATGGTAAAAGGAGCATATTGAAAATCAAACAACATAATACTCCATCGTATATAGGCTTGTATGAATAATTTGATAAGTAAACTAATAATTAAATAAGATGTTTAATATGTTGTAAACTAAATTCGAAAGCGTATCTGAATTAGTCTTAATGATGATATCCCTTTTATAGCACTATTGATCTTATGTTCTTCCACTTGAAAAACACTTGTATTTTCCTCTTGATGGGGATAGAAAGAAAAGAACGGGACTATAACTACGTTCTGTCTACGTGCACCCAAAAGGGTACCATGACCCCTTAAAATAACAAAAATTAGGTTAATTACTTAAGTTTTAGTATTTCCAATTTGACCCCTCATCAAATTAGAAATTATTTTATGGTCTCTACACAATTTTATTTTCATGACATATGCTTTTAGCCAAACCTTTTTAATTTAGTTAGATCACTTTATTATTTAGCTTAATAAATAATTACCCTAACACATTTAAATATGTATCATATATATACATGACTCAAATTTTGTCAACAATCTTCCACTGATCACAAATATATATGTCCTTACAACCTCACAAATGTGTTAGACTTTATGAGCTTAAAATTGTCATTATATTTCTTTAGCATATTCCAAAAGTCCTGTCCATTAATCATATCAAGATATAGAACCAAACCAACTTTTCATTGCATCATCACAACTAAAACCAACAATGATTACTCATCCTGACATAACCAAATGACATGGATTCATCATGAAATATGTAGCATGAAAAATTACGTGAATGTGATCTATACACGTCTAATTTCAACTGGTCCAAACTTTAACTTATCGAGATCCATATAATAATCTTAATGTACAAAGTGTAATGAATGAACAAAAAAATCGCATATCTATAGATGTATACATATATAAAATTAAACATAGAACATAAAATATATGAAAATGACTAACTCCCACTAAAACACCCATGTGAGCAGTGGCGGATCTTGACCATTGATCTTGGGGGGCCAAATAATATATTATTAATAAATAATAAATAAATATAAAAAGAAGATGAAAGGGTAAAAAGATAAAATTCTAGATATATACTTAAATATATTAAATGATCATTAAGTTTGAGGGGAACAAAATCATAAATTATATGAGAGTTACAAAATTAAGGAGGAGTCTGAGAGGATAAAATTGTAAATATACAAGTAAATATATTAAATGTTCATTATGTTTGGGGGGGCCAAAATCATAAATTACATGGGAGTTACAAAACTTTGGGGGGGCCACGGCCCCCTTCAGCTCCCAAGAAGATCCGCCACTGCATGTGAGCAACATGCTCATGAAAGACCTTGGGCGGAAGTCCTTTAGTTAGAGGATCTGCTATCATGGAGTTTGTCCCTAAATGTTCTATGAAAATCTGTTCACTCTGTACTCTTTCCTTAACAACTAGGAACTTAATGTCGATGTGTTTTGACTTAGTCGAACTTCTGTTATTATTGGAATACAATACAGCTGATTTGTTGTCACAATATAACTTAAGTGGTCTTTCAATGCCTTTCACAATTTGCAGCTCTGTGACAAAATTTCTCAGCCATATTCCACGATTCGACGTCTCATAGCATGCTACAAATTCTGCTGCCATAGTGGATGAAGCTGTAAGGGTTTGCTTGACACTGCGCCAAGAAACCGCACCACATGCTAACATGAAAATGTAACCTAAAGTGGATTTCAAACTATCTTGACATCCTGCAAAGTCCGAGTCAGAAAACCCAGCGATCTCCAACTGGTCTGACCTCCTGTATGTGAGCATGTAATCTTTTGTTCTCTTTAAATATCTCATGATCCTTTTTGCTGTTTTCCAATGGTTCATTCCTGGATTGCTTAAATATCTGCCTAGAACACCAACTATGTATGCTATGTCTGGACGCGTACATACTTGGGCATACATCAAACTCCCTATAGCTGATGCATAGAGAATCTTTTGCATTTCCTCAATTTCCAAATTTCTCTTTGGGCACTGATTGAGACTAAACTTGTCTCCCTTAGCAACTGGAGTATCCCCGGATTTACATTCATTCATGCCAAACCTTTTAAGAATTTTTTCGATATAACTCCTTTGTGATAATCCTAAAATACTCCGACATCGATCTCGGTGTATCTGAATTCCTAATACAAAAGACGCATCACCAAGATCTTTCATTTTGAAATTCTTTGATAAAAATTTATTGGTTTCGTGCAATATGCCTATATCATTAGTGGCAAGTAGAATATCATCAACATACAAGATCAGGAAAATATACTTACTCCCCTTAAACTTGTGATATACACAATCATCAACAATATTCATCTCGAAGCCAAATGAGAGAATTATTTGATGAAATTTATAGTACCATTGACGAGATGCTTGTTTTAGTCCATAAATGGATTTTGTCAGTTTGCAAACCATACTCTTTGAATCTCCCTGCACAAAATTTTCTGGTTGCACCATATAAATCGTTTCATCAATGTTGTCATTAAGAAACGCCGTCTTGACATCCATTTGATGAAGCTCCAAATCATAATGTGCTACAAGAGTCATGATTGTCCTAAAAGAGTCTTTCGATGAAACTGGAGAGAAAGTCTCTTTAAAATCAATCCCTTCCTTTTGGGTATAGCCCTTAGCTACCAGACGAGCCTTATACCTTTCCACATTACCTTTAGAATCTCGTTTGGTCTTAAATATCCACTTGCAACCAATGGGTCTCATACCTTCTGGTAATGGGACAAGTTCTCAAACCTTGTTATCTTGCATAGACTTATACTCCTCCTTCATTGCTTCTATCCACTTTTCAGAGTTAGAACCTTGCATGGCTTGACGGAAGTTAACTGGGTCATCTTCCATCATATCATTGTTTTCCTCATGTTCCTGAAGAAATACCATGTAATCATCCAAAATAGCACTTCTTCTTTCTCTAGTGGATCTCCGCAAAGTTATTGGCTCATGATGCACAGGTTCTTGAGGATCTTGAGTTTGTTTTTCATGAACAACCAAATCATCTTGAGTAAGGGGTTCATTAACAATGCCTTTGTGAGGTTCCGAACTTACTTTATCAAAAGTGACTGTTTGAATCGGTTCTGGAATTGTTACCGATTCTTCCTCCAAGACAAAGTTCCTGATTTTATTCTTCCCCCCAAAACTCAATATCCTCAAAAAACATAGCAGTTCCCGTCTCAAAATTTGTCTTTAATGTGGGGTCATAAAATTTATATCCCCTGGATCTTTCAGCATAACCAATAAAATAACTACTTACTGTTCGTGAGTTCAATTTTTTTTTATTTGGCTTATAAGGCCTTGCCTCAGCTGGACAACCCCACATATGAAAATGCTTCAAACTAGGTTGTCGCTCAGTCCAAAGCTCATAAGGTGTTTTGGTCGCTCCTTTAGTTGGTACTCTGTTCAGAATATAAGTTATTGTCTTTAGTGCCTCTCCCCAAAGTGGCTCTGGTAAGGTGCAATGACAAATCATACTTCTGACCATATCTTTAAGAGTTCGATTTCGTCTTTCAGCTACATCATTCATGCTAGGTGATCCCGTCATGGTATACTGTGGGACAATTCCACACTCCTCTAGGTACCTGGCAAAAGGTCCTGGACGCTGTTCACATGACTCGTCAAATCTGCCATAGTACTCACCACCACGATCAGATCTGACAGACTTAATTCTTTTATTGAGTTGATTTTCAACTTCAGCTTTAAATGTTTTGAACACGTCTAGAGATTGTGACTTTTCATGTATAAGGAATAAGTATGCATATCGTGAGTAATCATCTATGAATGATATAAAGTATTGTTGACCATTCCATGAAGGTGTAGGAAATGGCCCACAAATGTCCGTATGTATCAACTTTAAGACGTCTGTAGCTCTATATGCACATAATCTCTTCGCTTTGGTCTATTTGCCCTTAATGCATTCAACACAAACATCAAATTTTGTGAAGTCAATGGACTCTAAGATTCCATTTAACACAAGTCGTTCAACTCTATTTTTAGAGATGTGACCTAAGCGCCTGTGACATAATGCTCCTGAGTGAGTATCATCAATTTTACGTTTAGTACCCCGTGATTATGTATTAAGGGTTTCATTATAGGTGGTCACAGTATCAAGTAAATACAGATTATCATAAGTCAAAAGTGAACCAGTTTCAACAATATCTGAATTAAAAGACAAACTGAACTTATTGTTTCCAAATGAACACAAATAACCTAATATGTCTAGATAAGAAACTGAAACCAAATTCCGTCTAAATGACAGCACAACAAAAGTGTCTTTCAAATCCAAATAAAAACTAGTACTCAATAACAATTTAAAATGCCCTATAGCTTCCACATCTACCGATTTGCCATCTCTAACATATATCCATCTTTCAGAATCAATTGACTTCCGGTAGCTTAGGCAACCCTTTATAGAAACACTGATGTTAGTAGTTGCACCTGAGTCTAACCACCAAGTGTTACTGGGTACTGACGCTAAATTGACTTCAGAACAAACCAAAGTAGGAAACATAGTTTTGATGATCGGAACAGAATTTAAATTGGCAGATACAGAAACAATTGTAGCTGAATTAAGAACAAGAGAAATAAATTAATTATACTCACATTATAAAAAATAAGTAATTATAAATATTCAAATAATAGTTTAACCCATCTCAAGACACTCAATGCACCATCATATCAAATCTTTGGACAGTAATATTAACTGCTAGAGGTATCTTGTTGTAATAATCAAACATTGATAATAAAACACGTCTAACAACAAACCAGTCTTTGGATTGATTTATCATCGACAAAGCAAATCCTTATAATTATCACATGTTTATCATTACAAGTGTGTATACAATTCGGCCAAATATTAATCTTCCTTTGGGCCGACTAATACTCGCATGAATATACACAAACACTAATATTCAATATTTTTCACGAACTACCCAATTCAAGAGATGTTACTTTGGTAACTTCTTGACTCAATTTGCTCACAAAAAATATTAAACTACCAAAAAATTTGAATATTATATAGCAAAACCAAAATTTGATTATTTATTTAAAAAAACAATTATAATGGCGCGGACCATCACTGCAATTATTTTCCATTAAAAATATTAATCCCTTAATTTCAATATCTGAAAACTTAGCACTTCAACTCATGTGACAAAACACAAAAAATTGATAATTTTCCAACCAGCACACGTGATTGGAAGCGCATTCAAAATTATTAGAATTAAGGCGCATTCAAAATTATTAGAGTTAAGGTGTTTTAGAAACATAAATGTGAGGGAATCTGCTGCAAAAGCGATTCATCGCTCCACGCGCGTGAATGTCCTCCCTGTTGCCAAAAAAAACTTCATAATCTAAACAATTCAAGGCCTCTTGAGTGAGGCCACATGGCTTTATGTTTAGGTCCTGCTGCCAGAGTCCCTGGTGGGCCCGCGGGTTGGTGAGAAGGCCATTGGAGGAGGAGGTGGAGCCACGCGTGGTAGAGCTCATGTTATTCATCTCTCTCCTGCTTCCCAATTGCTATTGCTAGTGTTGCATCAATTCTTAATTTTGAGGTAACGTGACATGGAACACACCATGTTCAACCACCGCATCTCGTACGACGATGAGTCCGTCGTGTCTTTTAAACGGCTCACAATTTCCACCAATAAGTACGTCGAAAGCTCCTCCATCATTGACAATCGAATTGCAAATTGCAATCCAAATCCGAAATTAGGTTTTAAAATTGGGAATTTAACCCCAAATTTGATTTTAGGGTTTACAAAAATTGGAGATTATTCTCCACTTAGGGTTCTGAATTAAATAGAATCTAACTTTTGATAAATGTAATTTTCAAAGACAAACATGAATCAAGAATGGGTTGCTCTGATACCAATTGATAGGTATACTAATAATTAAATATGATCTTTAATCTAACGATCAAATATAAAGTAATCTCATATCGTAAACATGTTGTAAACTAAATGCGAAAGCATACCTGAATTAGCCATAATGATGTTGTCCCTTTTAGAGCACTATTGATCTTATGGTCTTCTACCTGAAGAACATTTGTATTTCTCTCTTCATTTTCTCTCTTGATGGGGATAGAAAGAAAAGAACGGGACTGTAACTACGTTCTGTCTACGTGCACCCAGAAGGGGACCATGACCCCTTAAAATAACCAAAATTAGGTTAATTACTTAAGTTTTAGTATTTCCAATTTGACCCCTCATCAAATTAGAAATTGTTCTATGGTCTCTACACAATTTTATTTTCATGACATATGTCTTTAGTCAAACCTTTTTAATTTAGTCAGATCACTTTATTATTTGGCTTAATAAATAATGACCGTAACACATTTAAATTAAATGGATCATGACCTAACATAATTAAGATATTTACCTTAAAATAAGTAATTCACACTCAAATTAAAAAATTATAAAAGAACAAATTAAAGGGCACAGAGGAGTAAATTTACCCGTTTGGTAATCAGAAAAACAACCAACTTGATCACTGTTTATGGTCTCAAATCCGCACAAAGCTTCTTGTGATTCGCAATATCTACAGTCAGGTGCATACCATGTTAATCGAAGATCTCGACTGAAGTCATGGGTGAGATTTTCATCATATGGTCCAGGTCTTGCAAATGAGAGGTTCTTTATAACATGGCAAGAGTCGGGCAATGAATCGGTGAAGTTCACTGAAGGAATAGCGGACACAAAAGATGTAGAATTGCTAAGACATTCGATGGGAATGAACTGTGACCCTGTGATCCGAGTCGGGCACCTTAAGACGGTGTAGTTGCGGAGTGAAGTGGCGATAAATGGAGAACCTGAAAGGTTGAGGCTTAGAAGACGTTTGGGAAGGCAATTATCAGGGTCATGGACTCGCATCTCTTGTCTGAGATAGCTAATGTTGCGGACAAAGAACTTTCCCGAGTAAGGAAGTGTTATAACTGTTTTGCTGTCATTGGAACAAGTTAATCTGAAACCAGGATAGCCGCAATAAGGATTTTGCTGACCTTGTATTTGGAAGGGAAAACGAATAAGGATGTTGTTGTCGCTGCACCAAGAATAATATTGGCAGTCATATGAGGCATATGTGACAGGAAAAAACATGAAGAAGTGGAAGAGGACCTTCAAGAAGTCCATTGCTTTGCAGGAGAAGAAATCTTCTGTGAGAAGGGACCAATACTGGCTTGTAGAAAGAAGAATCCATATTTTTGGAGCCACCATCCAATTTAAAAACATAGGCCTGAAAGTCAAATGATTATATATATACATGCAGTTTGCCATAAGCAGAATTAGTATACTAAATGTCCTTGTTTTGTTATGTCCAGGACCCAGCATATTGGGAAATTATAAAATGGCTAAATTGATCCCCCAATGATCATTGAAATATTCTTCACCTTCCATTATTAGTTTAATGCCAGGCGTAGATCATCCTGTTTCCATGATATTGGTCACAAAATTTGAGGGAGAATGTTTAGTTTGTCCTGTTGCATGATGTCACAATGGTGGAACATGATTCTTGCTACTAAGCTTGTGGTGAGGTGAAAGATATCAAAGTGAAACACGTTTATATATATAGAGAGATTAATATTTTTTTATGAACATAATATATTTTTTAAAATGTAATAATCTGGATTTCTCGATTATGAGTTTTTGTATTTTTATCATATATTATAATATTACTAAAGATTCAGAATTATTTGTCTCCATTATCTCTTAATTCATGTATTTTTTTTAATGAATATTTAAGATAATTCGTTATATTATTCTTTAATTTAGATGGTTATTGCTAAGCTCTTTGACAATATTTTCAAAAATTATAAGTTTTTATGAATCAAGTATACATATATATTAAAAAAAATATGCATTCTATTTAATTTAATGTATATATCACAGATTTAGACATGAAATAACCCTAAATAATAACACTCATTATTTTTAAAATTTCTAAAACAACTAATTCTAATTCTTCAACATTATTCAAAATTAATATATATATATATATATATATTATAAAATTATCTAAGCATCTCTCTTTCTATATCTATATATTTAATGCTATTACTGAAATATTTTGAAAATAAGATTTTTTTTCATATAATAAACCCTTGGTTCTGCTATTTATCTTTTAATTTTTTTTTTCAGAAATCAAGAAATATAATCTGGATTCTAATAAAATAATTTTGGAAATTTCTATTTTACCTCTCTTTCTCTTTTCATTTAATACAATACATTTATGTGTAAATTATATAAAAATTAAAGGATATAAGATATAATTAGTAAAAAATAATTAATTTAATATTGAAATTTCAAAATAACAAATAAATACAAACAAAAGTTTTGAAACACCTAGCATTTATTAAAAAAAAATGGAATATTAGTTACTATATTTATTGTAAAAAAAAATACTCTAATTACTTCAATAATATATATATATATATATAGTATTTAATAATTTTACTAAATATTTTGTGATGAATATAATATATTGTTAAAAAAACTTATTTGATAAGTCTATTTTTAAAGGTTATTTTAAATGAGGAAAAATAATATAAATAATAAAAAAATAGAAATTAAAAAAATATTTTTGTATCTTTATAATGATAAAAATATGTGATTTAATATAAAAAATTGATATCATTAATAAAAAACAGAAAATTGAAACAAAAAGTATGTGTTTATCAATTTTCATTTTAAAAAGAAAACTAAAAAATTATTAAATAATTTTAACAAAACAATAATAAAACGTATTTTTTAGTTTTTAAAAATTAAAAAATATTTATAAAAATACTAAACAAATATCTAAAACCCCTAAGTCATTTCAGTTTTTTTTAGATTATAATAGAGTGCCTTAGCTACATGTAAGATGGAGGGAAATTCTCGTAGTTAGGTCTCCCATTCGTTGTAGGTGTTCTTATATTTTGAGGGGAAAAAATTATTTTATATATATATATATATATATATATATATATATATTAAGTTAATTAATCATAATTTTAAATATAGAGATAATCTTATTTGTCGCGGAGAGATATTCCTTAACTATGATTTTTCTATAAATTTTGTTAGAATTTAAATTCATTTAATTTTGTAATATACAAACTCTGGGCTGATCCTTTTATAAATCCTTTATTTTGATTTTTATTATAATATTTAATGTATTGCAAATGACAAATGATTTTAGAGGTTTCAACTTAATTAAAATGTCTAATTTTTATAATGATATTTTTTATATCCACATATATATATATATATATATATATATATATATATATATATATAACAGGATTATTTATTTTAAAAATAAGAATTGAATATTTACTTTTTATTTTTTTTAATTATTTATTAATAATTAAAAATACAATAGACGTAAATTTTTATTTTTATTTTTAGAATAAGAAAGTAAATTCTATGCTCATATAATTTATTTTTTTATAATTTAATAGTCTAATATAATAATTTATTTTGATCAGTATATTAAAAAAATGATAAAAATGAAAAATAAGTTATTTTATTGTTTTTTTTATTTATATTTATATATAATTATTGAAAGGTATTTATTTATAAATTATTTTAGATACTCGGGAAACAACTTAAAATTTACTATATAAAAAATATTTTTAATAATTATAATTTTTAATCATTTAAGCGCATTTAAAATTATATTTGACTTAAATTAATAAGAGAGTTTCAAAATGTGTGTCATTAATTGAATTATACATCAAACGTAAGAGTTGATGCGTTTTAATTTATGTAAGCTTTAAATTTTGGCATCTCCCTCTTAAATTCACATGAGTTATTTAGAAAAAAATAAAAAATAGAATTTATTATTTCATATCATTATTAAGTCATCTTTAATAATAAAAATTACTTGTGAATACTTAAATAAAGTAGTAGTTTTTTAAAACAATTTTTATGAAAAAACATTTATACAATATATAAATTACTTAAATTTTTTAATAATTCTTTTATTAAATAACTTATAAAATAAATAAAATAAAATAAATGAAGAGAAAAATTTAAGAAAAGAAAATCAATTCTTTAAAATTTATTAAAAAATTTATAATATAATAAAATAATTAAATTAAATTAAAAATGATGTGATGTCATAAATTTTTATTTTATATTTTTTAAAATAAGAAATAATTTATTTGAATTGGTCTTAAACACATTAGTTTTATTCCAATGGAATTTTTTTCAATAAATTTATTTTCTCTTATCACTTATTTTATTTTATTTACTTTTATAAATTAATTATAAAAAAATTAAAACAATTTTTCATAGAATACTTTTCAAAAAGTAATTTTCTAGAAAGACGTCTCAAGAAGCAATTTATCTTTCAGGCATTATAAATATCCTTCAACTTCTCCACTTCCAAATGAAGCTAGTTAGTTTATGAGATTTCTTCTTGGCTTCAACACCATGTCCACACTTTTTGTTTTCTCTGTCTTTCTTCTCCTAAGTGTAGCCACACTGTGTGTTGGTTACGATTATTTCATGTTAGCTGAAACATGGCCAAAAAGCTATTGCAATTATCAAAGTCAAACTGGAGGACGATTATGTTATGGAACAGTGCCAAAGCATTTCACCATTCATGGACTATGGCCAGAAGAATGGACCAGACAAATACATAATTGCAACGCAACCAACACTCTTAATCAAACAGTGAGTATATCTTCCTCTTCTTTTTTTGAGTTTATCTTATATACTGATGTTGTGTATCAGTTTCTGATAATTTTTCTTTTGTATATTTATTCAGCATATACAACCGGTGAGAAGACAACTCACTGCGTTTTGGCCAAATTTAAATGGCAATGATTTTAGTTTTTGGAAGTTTGAATGGGACAAACATGGAACATGTTCAGAGAACTCGTTCGCACAACTTCCATATTTTCAGTTGGCATTAAACATCAAGGGTAGGATTAACCTATTGAAGATGCTTTCACAGGATCAAATTGTCCCAGATAACCGAAAAAGTTATAATACAACTTCTGTTATTGACGCAATTCGCAAAGGCACCAATCATGCACCTCAACTTGACTGTTATGTCCAAAGAACAAACAATGTCACTATACTTGCTGAAGTTAGACTTTGTCTGGACGTTAATGGAACTTCATACATAAACTGTCCTAATCCTTCCGGTTCTTGTGCCACCACTGATTTATACTGGCCAAAGCCATGATGAATTTATACACCAATAATATTTATTAAATAAAAGTATTCATTTTCGTTCCAATTTTTTTCCTCTGTTGTTTTTCTTTTCTATGCTTGCTTACAAATCAATTTTCAATACATGTATACAAATAACGTAGATCTTGCGTTACGAGAAACCATGGAGAAAAGACAGAAATAAAATACACAGGATAGAAATGAAAGGAAGAAGATGTAAAAGAAATAATCAAAATAATATTGAAAAAAAGCAAATAATCCTCTCTACAACACATTTTTATTAATATAATAATAATAATAATAATAATAATAATAATAATAATAATAATAAAAGATTTAATAAAAATAATTTAAAATTATTATAATAATATTAAAATCGAGTTATTTAGGAAATTGTTTACAAAATTGGGTGTGAAAAATAATTTTTACGTGTCTCATGTGTGTGCTATCGGCTTCTAATTAGAGAAAAAAATATGCAAAAGTGATAAAAAAAATAATATTATCTTAAAAATAAAAGTTTTTAAATTCAAACAAATATTTTAAAAATCCAATACTTAACAAGAAACAAGCAAAGCATCAATTAAAAATATTATCATCATATTAAACGTTGAACACTAATAATATGTTTACTAAATGCTCACATTTATTAAATGTTCAACCCTAGTAATAATATAACATGTTATTATTATAAATGCTCTCACTAATACTAATAATAATAATAATAATAATAATAATAATAATAATAATAATAATAACTTTTTATATAACATATATGTTCTTTGTTAATTAAGATATAATAAAATCTAATAAATAATATATTTTAAAATTATTATTTAAATAAAATATCTATCCATTTATTTATTTAACAATAACTAATTAATATTCACATACAGAATTTTATTATATAGAATAAAATTCTTTGATATAAAACACTTTTTTTCTCCATTTTTCACTTTTTTTTTCTTTATCCTCGTTCATTTTCTTTATTCTATTTTTTTCTCTCGTTCATTTATTCATTATTTTACTTTTTTTCTTGCTTTGATTTTTTATCTTATTCTTCTAATTAAAAATATTATATTAAAATTTGATAAAAATAAATTTTAAAATATTTTAAAAAATAAAAAATAATAATAAAATATATATTTTTAAGTATTTTTTTAGTAAATACTTTTTTAAAATTATTTAAGCTGACTAATTATCATTATTCAACATAATTATAATTATATTCAATTATTAAATAAAATTAATAAATATTTGATATTTTTAGTTAAATGCGGAACTTATTTATTATGATACAATAATTTTAAATTTATTATCATCACAAATAAAAATATTTATTGTTATCTTAATTTAAATAATAATTGTTATTTTTTAACTTCAATGTTGATTTAAAATGAATTAACATGTTTTTAATAACTCTTAATCTAATATTTTTAATTAAAAAAAATAAGTGAGAGAGGTGAAAAGAATAAAAGATAATAAGATGAGAAAGAGAAACATGGAACAAATAAGAAAAGAAAATAAAATAGTGAATGAAAAAAAAGAAAAATAAATTACATTTATAAGAAAATAAACAAGTCTAATTCTATAAGATTTATTCATTAAGAGTATTAATTACTGTTTTCTATTTACATGTAAAATAATATAAAATAATAAATAATTAAGAAATATAAATTAAATAAATATAATAATAATAATATATGGAGTATTAATTTTTTTTTCACTTACACATAGCAAAATAAAAAATAAAATGTTTTTTTTTGTCTAGTTGATTTTTTATCTTGTATTTATTATTCTTTCTTCATACTATTTTTCTGTATATTCTATAGGTTTCTAATAAAAATGTGACAATTTTTTTTCTCTACAAAAGTAGGATTTATAAGGTTGACTTCTTATTTTGAGACTTTTTAAATATTTTAAAATTATAAAAACTAATCAATAAATTCGTGTGATGATAATTTGTTAATAATTTTAAAATAAAAATATCATAACAAGAAAATAAAAGATGAATTTTGTTTTATTAAAAAATTATGAATTCAACATATCATTATTACTAATATAGAATTAAGTTTTTATATGTATTATTTTGGTAATTTATGTCAGATACAAGTTTTTTTGTCTTTTTTTTGTTAAACATAATTATTGACATAAATTTTGTCTTTTTTTTAATATTTGATTTGTTTGTTTTATCTTATCTCAGTCCAAATTTTAGATTTTTAATAAATAATAATTCAAAAATATAACAATAAAACATAATATAAAATATTCAATACACAATAATTCAAAAATATAACAATAAAGCATAATATAAAATATTCAATAGACAATAATTCAAAAATATAACAATAAAACATAATATAAAATATTTAAATTAGTACAAAGACTAAATTACTTAAAATTTAAACATTAAAAAACTAAACTAATACGAAGTTTAAACTAAAACAACAACTAAGTTATCTAAATGTTAAACTACATAATAAATATAAATAATAACCTACAAACTAAGAATTGTAAATATTAAACGAAAAAGTTTACTCATTATTCTCTATAATTTGTGTAATATCATGTTCTAATAGTAGAGATGAATTTTAAAATATCGGAAACATTAATTTGATTTATGTTAACCTGTGTATTAATACGCATAAAGACAAATTAACTTAAAAAAGTTGAAAGTAATTACTTCTATCCAATAATGAGTTATACTCGCACAAATTATGACTTTCATCTAATACATGATATAATAGTCATATTCAAAGAAGTTTTTTTGCTTATTACACTAAATTGAGAAAAAAATATTATTTTCAAAATTTAAATACAAAAATATAGATTTTATAATAATATAACATTTTTCTCTTTTTTATTACTTTTCTCTATTACATGTGTTTAAGAGTATATTTTGCAAAAATCGTTAGGACAAATCCCAAATGAGGATTTGCCTCCTCTCCTTCGTTTTTTCCTTTTTTTCATATATTGTGCATCCAAACCCGACATTGAAGTCAAAACTTATCATTCTTCAAACATTCTTTGCTTTCTTTTAATCATCACAAAACCCTAAACATCGTATCATATCATTTTATTTCTTACTTACTCATTACTATTATATAATTAATATATAAACAACAAAAAATGTGGGATTCAAACAACTAAACCGTAAAAACATAATAATATAGTGTATAAATTGTAAATTCACTCAAATGCATAAACGGATAATCACAAACTATAACAATTTAACTTCAATAACAATCAAGTAGAGACATTCATGCAATAACATGATTGAGATTTCAGAAAAATTTAATTTTAACAAAAAAGAGAAGACATAAAACACTAACCTCAAATATACAAAAAATATTTTAAAACTCAAACTTAATCAAAGAGAAACGTCATTCATTATGATTAAAATATACTTATCACTCAAAAATTCTCGCGCAAGAAAAAAACAAAGTCTTAAAACAATTAAAACGTGACTTTTACATCGGAGAAATCACCCAACATAAAAAACAGTTTTTATATCAATCTCTAAAAGATCTAATGTAAAAATAATCCTTATTCATAAAAACATTATCGCAATTTTCTTAAGTTGATTATCAACAAGAAATAGAAAGTCTCCTCTGTGTAACAGTGAATTAAAAACATGTTTCTCATATTAATTAAATATTTATTTTAGGCATAAATATGTTTTCAATTATTTATTAAGGTGTACATTTTATAAAATATTAAATACTTACAAAAGTTTTTATTTTCTCATCCAAATCTAAATTTGATTCATTTATATATTATTTAGTATAAATGTTATGAAAATCAGACTAAATAGACGGTTCAACTAAGAATTGAAAGAATTTGATTATTTTTAAATAATTAAATTTTAATTTTATGAATATAAAATTGGAAATTTTGATAAAATAAAATAAAAAAAATGAATTTTTAAGTCAAATTGTTTTTATAAAAATATTAAAAGTTGATTTTTTTATATAAAAATATCATATTCTTAATTTCTTTTATCTCATATTAATTTCATTAATTTTAAATAATATTTATTTTATTTTATTTTTATCTTTCTTTTCATTTTAGATTCTTTCCTACAATTTTTATTTATAATGTTTAATATAACTTACAATTACCAAAATAACAACATTTATTATTTTTCTAATAAATAAATTATTATTCCTAATAAATTTATTATATATTTATACATTATAAAATAATTTTTTATTTTTTAAATAAATTATTATTAATAATAAATTTATTATATTTTCAAATATTATTTTATTAAATTTGATAGACTCTAATAAAATTTTTAAACCTTACATTTATATCTTCCCATATAAAAAAAATAACATTTTCATAATTTAACATTTCAGAAATCTTGAAAGTCCATTAACAATTAATTTACATATAAAGAAAAGAAATGTTTTATGAAGTTTTAATAGTTACATTTATATTAAGAGTTAAAGATGGTGTGTGTTGTTATAATATCTTAATATGCATTTAATTATTTTGATAAAAAATTTATTACATTTATTAATGATATTACATTTATTATTTTAGAATTTTATATTTTTTTATTTTAGGTAACAGAATTTTTTAAAAGATAAAAGGTTCATAATTCTTTTAAAATTGTATAACGATTTATGATTTTAACTTCTACAAATTTAATCATTATTAAATATATATATTTATATATTTATAATTTTGATTTATATTTTTTATATTTATTTATTATATCGATAACATGTTATTTAATCACAAAATTATTTATAAAAAATACAATAAATTTTATTTGTATGAATTGAGATATAACCATATAAACGTTATATATATATATATATATATATATATATATATATATATATATATATATATATATATATATATATATATATATGAGAAATGTCATTATAATCGATATAAATATTTTAAAAAATGTATACACTTTTTTTCATTTCAAAAGTACGTGATAATAAATCTATTAACAAGTTTTAGCATAGTTAAATATTTTAAAAAATATATATACCTTTTAGTACATTCACGAGTTATATTATTTAGAGTTGAAGTTAAAAATATATATTCTTATCTTATAATCAAATAAAAAGATAAAATTGTGATGAATAAAAATTCTAATACCTAAAAGGAAATTAACCTTAATAATATTATAATAATAAATATTTATTATATTAAATATAATACAAATAGTTATTTATGTGTTTAATGAAATATATGGATGTTGATTTAATGTATTATTATTTTAATAAAATTTTGCCCTTTAGTTATTTTTAAATTTTGTTTAAAATTAATTATAATGAGAGAAGATTTAATTATGTGAATCCCATGCTCCATTATTCTAAATAAATAGTAGATGAATTATGAAACTAAAGACTAAATTTATTAAATAAAAAATGAAATATTTTTTAAAAAATTATAACAATTATTTTTTTCGTTAAAAGTAATTATTATTATATTTTATTTTTATTCGAATAAACTAAAATTTAAAACACACAATATAACAAATAATATTCATTAAATAATGTACCATTTTATTATTATTATTATTATTATTATTATTATTATTATTATTATTATTATTATTATTATTATTATTATTATTATTATTATACAAGTCAACCACCCTTACAAATCAAAATATTCAACCCGTCGTATCTATTTTTGCATGTTAAACATAAGACGGAGCATATTATCATTTTATGTAAAAAAAAAAAATACTATACAGAAATATAAATAGTCGTATAAATTTAGAATTGCTTAATTTTCTCATAAGCCATCTAATTCTAGCATGAATTTCATATTTTATTTTTTATTATAATACTGTTATAAATGATAAGTTACTTTAAAAATGCTAACCTAATTATAATTTATAGTTTTGGGAGTGATATTTTTTTTTTAAATTCACCTTTTATTAGAAAAACCAAAATTTGAGAAGTTATGATGAATTAATTGTAATTAAAGTCTCAAGAGAAAAAATAGGAACTCTTTAAACGTGAAAAGGAAAATATTAATGACAAATTATTAGTTTTTTTACTATAACATTTAATGTTTGTAAATCTTTTTCGAATTTACCTTTATTTTTATTATATGAAAATGTTATTTTATAATTGTTTTTTTTTATTCATTTTAGCACTTTCAACACTAGGTTTGACTTAAAACAAAGTGTCATTAATTGAATCTTACATGGAACTTTGTTTGAACCACTATTCGCTTTCAACTAAGCATCTTGTCCCTATAAATATCCTTCAACTTCTCCACTTCCAAATGAAGCTAGCTTATGAGATTTCCTCTTCACTCCAACATAATGTCAATACTTGATGTTTTCTCTCTCTTTCTTGTCCTAAGTGTAGCCACATTGTGTGTTGGTTATGATTATTTCATCTTTACTGAATCATGGCCAAAAGGCTTTTGCAGTCGTCAAATTCAGATAGGAGGACGCTTATGCCTTGGAACACTACCAAGGCATTTCACTATTCATGGATTATGGCCGGAAGATGTGTCTCAACAACTACTAAATTGCGACCCAAACAACACTCTTACTCCTCGAGTGAGTATATATCTCTTTCTTCTTCTTCTTTTTTTATGAGTTTAATTTTATATATTGATGTGTAACATTTTGATTGCATGTTTATTTAGCAAATACATCCCGTGAGATCACATCTTTCTTGGGCTTGGCCGAATTTAATTGGAAATGATTTTAGTTTCTGGAAGTATCAATGGTTGAAGCATGGAACATGTTCGGCGAGCTCGTTTCCACAACTTTCATATTTTCAATTGGCATTGAACATTAAGAGGAGGACTAACCTACTGAAGATGCTTTCAGACAAGCAAATAGTCCCAGATAATAATACAAGTTATAATGTAAGTTCCATTATCGATGCAGTTCGCAACGCCACTAATAATGACCCTCAACTCGGTTGTTATTTTGATACTCAGCGTAATGTCACTGTTCTCGTTGAAATAAGAGTTTGTCTAGAAAAGAGTGGAAATTCATACACAAACTGTACTTTTCCTACTGGTTCTTGTTACTCCCATGCCTTATACTGGCCAGATGTATGATCTTTTACACCAATAATACTTAATAAATACAATCAAACTACTCTTCTTCATTTTTTTCTTTTATATTTTCCATTTTCGTTATACTTATTCAATCCTTCACACTAATGATGTAGTTATTAAATGTTCAACCCTAATAATATGGTATTAAATAAATGCTCTCTAACATTGGAATAAAAGGATAAATCAACATTTTATTTATTTTTTATTTCTTCTCGCTCTTTACGTATATCCATGTTTTTTTTTCATTTATATCATTCTTTTTTTCTTCTTATCTAATTATATTTCTTTTATAAATATAATATATAATATTTTTTATCTTATATTAATTACATCAATTTTAAATAATAGTTATTTTATTATATTTTTATCTTATTTTAAGACTTATTCTTCTTATATTTTTTTAGTATATTTTATATTTATAATGTTTATTATAAAATTTATGATAACTATAATAATAACTTTTATTATTTTTATTTTATTTATAAAAAAATATTATTAATAATAAATTTATCTTATTATATTATAAAATTATTATTTTATTAAATCTGATTAAATCTGGATTGAACTTTAAATTTGAATTTATATCTTCACCAATTTAACAAGATTTTAGAAATATTGTATCAAATTAACAATTTTTTTCATATATGATTAAAAAATTAATATTATAATTAATAATGTATGAAAAATAAATAATTTTTTCAAATTGTATTAAACACAAACATTTATCATAATTATTACATGAGAAACATATTTTATCTAAATTAAAATTAAAATTCATATATTTTAAAATATTAAAATTCATTATTTTCATTTTTATATAAATAAAAACTAATTAAGTAATAAAACTTTATTTACTAAAAATATATTTAATCCTTGCATTTATTATTTTATTATATGTTATTCAACTATTTTATATTATATGTATTTCATATCTATTTATTAAATATATACCTTTTCATTATTATCTGAATTATATAAATAATAATTATTTATAATAAATTTAAGATTGATTTATTTTCTGTTTTAAAAGTTATTTAGTTTTTTAATTTTGAAGCAATCAAAAAAATTATTTGATAATTGCTTGATGAAAAGAGTTTTCGAACCATTTTTCTTAAGTTTTAAAAATTTAAATTGATACAAATATTTATTGTTGTTATTAAAATATATATGTTTTCACCAATAGTTTTTTTTTTATAATAATTTTGTTTGGACTTGTTTAATTTAACTGGATTTTTTTAGTTAAAAAAAACGTTAGACATTAAAGATTAATTTGTTTTATGTTTTTAAAAACTAAAATAAAAATAATTTTATGCTATAATTTTTTTAAAATTTTATTAATAAATATCAAGATTTTCATTCATAAATATATTAAATCATTTATTTCATTAGTAGAGTTTTTAAATTATTTCTCAACTTTCCTTTCTACTTTTCATAGTATTTTTGTTATTCTTTTTCGTCTAGGCTAGTTTTTAAAAACAGAATTATTAAATTAATTTTTTCAACTTGTTTTTAAAAATAAATTTTAAATTCATCTCAAAAACTATTTTCTTAAAATTAAAAAATAAAAATAAACTAAACAAATCCTAATTTTAAAAAACTATTTTTAAAAATAAGTTTAATTGATAACTCTCGTTGAAAATTGTTTTAGACGAATAATGATATAAATAACTATAATAAATTATAACAAAATAAAAAATATTTTAATAACTTATTATGATTAAAATGAATAATTTAATACCACAAAATAATATATATATATATATATATATATATATATATATATTAAGAAAGGTAACTTTTATTATTTATTGAAATACTATTATGAAAAATATATTAAATAGGAAAAATATAATGTTTATTATATAAGTCCTAATGAATTATAATGTATTAATAGTAATTTATTTTATACATACAATTATTATTTTTAGTTATATTGATGATAAAAAATATATTTTAATCATTCACATTAAAAATTATATTAATATAAATTTTGTGGTTTTTTTTATTTAAGTTACATGTTACTAACATTTTATTTAATCCAATATTTTTACCTTTTTATATTTTAATTTTTATATTTTAATATTGTGTCTTTGATTTATATAGTACAAATACGGTGAAGTGAACAGTTACATTATGGATTTTATTTATATTTTGGATATTTGTTGTATTATATCAATTAAGTTTAATAGATTTGTACATTTTGCAAGTAAAAAAAAATGATTTGACACATTTTTATTCTTCATTTAAGAGACAAATATTAAAATAAATGTAAAATAAGGGTAAAAATTATTTTTATTTATAAGATATTACATACACATAAAAGTTAGTGATATAATTTATTGAAACTGTTTTATGTAGTTTTAAGTGTTACGTTAATAGTAGAAGATAAATGTGTTGTTATAATTTATTAATATGTATTTAATTTTTATCAATAAAAATAGTTACTACATTTATTAAACATTACTATTTTTTTCTTTTTTATTTGATTTTTATGTTTTTTTATTAAGAAATTAAAATAAAATGGACTTGAAAGATATAAGAAATAAATTAAGTTAGTCACACAAAAATTTTCTACTTAAATTAAATCAAAAATATTTTAACTCAATTTATTTAATTCATCACTTACATAAATTTAGGTTATATTAATTTTTAAGTTTATAAACCTATTTATTTTATAAAATAATAATTATCTATTAAATAAAATAAAAATAATATTATTTTATTAAAATATATATGTATTATAAATTAATTTGTTATATATAAGTTATAAATCTTTTAATAACAAGATGTGTTAGTTAAGATTAATTATTATTATAAATTAATAAATTATAAGAATAAATAATAAACTTTTATTTTTATTTTATAATTTAATGATTTTTTTTATAATTTATATATTAAATTATTATATTTAAATTTTGTATTGATCTAATAGAATTACTTTTTAATTATGATTAATTTTAAAATATATAATATATTGGATTTTTAAATTTTTTAGTTAAGTAATGATGAAACTTCTTCTTCTTCATCGTTACTTTCGGAAGAACTCTTTTGTGTTGTGCAATAATCATTATCCACCCAAGTAATATAAGATTTGCGTTTTCTCTTCTAAGTATCGTTATTCTCTTTCTTCTTCTTTTTCACATCTTTCTTCTCTTTCTTAAGTTTCAGACATGATCGGTTTGATATAACAAAGTTTTCCACATTTATAACAATGAAATTTATTTATTTTTTCCTTTCTTTGCGAGTCTCTTTTTCCTGTTCTTTATAAATCGAGAAAATTATTTAACAAAAAAATACGTATCGAAATCCGAAAACTTACCTTCATTTTCACTTTCGTCATGTGAAGATTTGTCTCGCTTTTAAAATTATCGTCTTAGTTTGATTCTATTCAAACTTAAGCTAGGGTGACCAAACTATTTTAATATATTTATATATATTAATCAATATAAATCTCACGGGTATTCATTCTTTAATTACAACTAATATTAATATTTTAAAAATTTTATCGATAAAAATATGAATTTAAGATTTAAAAATTTGATTAAAATTTAATTAAAATTAATTAAATAAAATTTTATAATATAATAAATATATAATAAATTTATTAATAAAAATATTTTTTTATAAAAAAGAAATTAATAAAAATTATTATTATAATTATAAATTATAACTATGTTATAATTATAAAATATATAAAAAATTATTAAAATATGATAAAAATATAATAAAATAATTATTATTTAAGATTAACCGTAAAAAATTATAATATATTATATTTTTTATAACAAAATAATATAATTTTTTTTAAACTGATTTAACCTCATTTCTCTTGTTTAATTAAAATATGATTATTTTCTCATACCTAAATCACTTTCCGGTTAAACCGTTTTATCCTGTCCAAAATTTAAAAGCGTGAATAATACATAGAGGTGGTTAGTGGCTCATGCCTTAGGTAAGCAGAAGAAAAAAAGTATTTTTTATTAAAAATAAGGTGTTAAATGATATGGTTTGGACCAATAAAAAACAATTGTGTAAACTTAAATCATATTTTAAGTATATTATGTTTTTCAATTCGATCTTAATTATACGGGAATTCGTCGTTTTATTTTAAAAAAATATATTCTATATATATATATATATATATATATATATATATAACTAATATTAATAAAATTAAATTTATCTCTAATTATATATAATTATTTTATTAAATGGATTAACTTATTGTCTTTTAGATTTATTTAACTTATTTAGTCACATGTTAATCAGTAAAATAAAAATTACATAATTTAAATTAAGTTTTTAATCTAATTTATCCTTTTTATGAGTTTATTAAAAAAATTCATTCAAATAAAGAAATATTATAATAACAAATAGATATAAACATTAGGTTATGAAGTGTTTTTAGTTTAAAATAATTTAATTTTTTATTTTTTATAAGTATTATTATTTTTATATTTTATTCTTTATAAGTATTGTTTTCAATTTATTTATCCATATGGTTTAGTTTAGATGAATTTAATTATTGAATATGGCGATGATAACATTGTATCATCGATAATATATTATAAAGAATACACACGTATGGTTTTTTATATTTTAATATTTATTTTTAAGTTTAAAATTTTTATTTTAATATTTTAAATTCATAAAATAAAGGAATCCTCAACATTAAAATATTTACTAAATCTTAAATAATTTTAAAATTCATCCTCATCTCATGTTTTTTAATTTTTTGAATCCAAATAAAAAAGCGTTTTCACATTTATAAAAGTTGATCAGATTGTATTTTAATTAAATAAGTTTATTTATATAATATATATACATAATTAATTAATACAGCATTGGATTAAAAACTAAAACAAAAAACGATGACAGATAAAAAAATGTGCAATCGTCGGCAAAAGTTTTTTTATACAACAGTTAAATTATTTTTGTAATGAAAAGAGCCTATATTTAGTTATCTTTAAGTCTTTTATTGCGAGTAAAAGAAGTTTTTTATGAGCGTATTAAATTAGTTTTTTACTTAAAAATGTGCAAATATTTAACTCAATACACATGAACTCTTAATAAGATTGATTTAATGCTAAAAATAAATGAGAAGGAGTACGTGAATTCAAATATCCTTTTTAACAATTGTGCATTAATAACAACTTGTTTATTTAATATATAGATATATTTCTATATAATATTATATTTGCAATATAACAGTTTATTTTAAAATCAATATCACTCTAATTTTAATTTTACAATTTTTGTGCTATGATTTAGCCATGATAATATTAACATAACACATCACATTAAAAAAATTAGATTGAATTGGCTTTATTTCATACACAATAGGTTTTAATATGGTAAAATTCGAATTTTAAAAAAATTAATCATAATTTGAAGGTTAAATCTATCCCAACCTATTCCTTTCTCACTCCTAAATTAAATTACAATACAAGAAAATATATTAATTTACATAAAATTTGTCACATGTTACACAGAATATATTTATATATTTATATTACTTAATTAATGTATGGTCTAGTTAATTTATACATATAGATTATGTAGTTAACATTAAAAAAAATTAAAATATTGAAGTTATGTTACACTACTGGATTATATTTAAAAAAATGATTATGTGTTTATCACGATATAGGGTTTATATTAACAAAATGACTTCATTATATGGTCTCAATTTCAAGTGCATGAGAATAGAAGGAAACAGATAAACAAAAGAAAATGGTGCATTATTCAATCCTAATGAAATGGGGAGGAATTAGTTAACCGGTTGGCGAATGAAGAAGCTGCCAATTACCAAATCCGATTTCTGACCGTTTAATCTCAGCCCTTCCTTCCTTATCACACTGTACTTTTCTTCCTTTAGCTCTATTTATCTTCCCTCGCCTCTCAACTCAATCACCACTTCACACTCATTTCTACCTTCTCTCTCTTTCTACTTTCAGACCAAATTCAATTACTGTGCGTTTCTAATTCCTTCATTTGCTGTTCTTCTCTCTTTTTTTCCTTTCCCTCTGTTCTCAGCTTCAATGGCACCAAGATACAGCCGTGCTAAGGGCAAGGGTGAGAAGAAGAAGAAAGAAGAAAAGGGTAACAAAATCCTTATCCCAATGCTTCTTAATTTTTATCCTATTCAGTGCCTTTCATTCTTGATAATGCTAAGTTTAATAGTGTAGAAATAATTAAGATCTATGATATGAAATTAAATGTAGAAAATAATTGCATTTATGGGATAAACACTCTTTTTTTTAGAGCTTGTTCACTGCTGATTGACTTAACAATTTCTCATTGTAATTATGCAGTTCTTCCTGTTGTAATAGATATCACGCTCAACCTCCCCCATGAAACTCATGTTGTTCTCAAGGTTTGTTTATTTTATTTGTGTACTGATTATAATTAAATATTAATTATAATTAACTAATACACAGTTTAATTTTGGCATTTGTGGTAGTTTATTTTGGTACACTGATAGTGATGGACATCTTTTGCAACATCAATCTCATTAGTGTTGAACTATATAATTGAGATTATTAATTTATTATTATTATGATTGAGATTATTAATTTATTATTATTATAATTGAGATTATTAATTTATTATTATTATAATTGAGATTATTAATTTATTATTATTATAATTGAGATTGAACTATATTCTTATGTTTTGGGAATCAGGGGATATCAACTGATAAAATAATTGACGTTCGTCGGCTTCTATCAGTGAATATAGAGACTTGTCATACCACCAATTTTTCCCTATTGCATGAGGTAAATTTTGCAGTGTATTAATATTTTATTATTTATTTGGAGCTTTTACTTTCTTTGTAAAAATAAATAATTGAAGATGTTTGAATCATATGCTAATGAGATATTTTATTAGTGAATTATTTAAGTTCCATGTAATAATGTGCAATCAAATTCATTTACTGAATTAAATAAACAAATACAAGCTTTACAGACTCAAGTCACTGAACATTAGACCGATTATAAATTCTATTTTGATTCCATTTTCACGCGATGAGTTGTAATTGTTATATTTTATTATTGTGTGTACGCATTCTAGAACAATTTTTAATGAAGATCACGGAACGTTAATATAGTTTTAATAAAAACAAAACTGGAAAATATTAGAGTAACATGTTTTTTGCTTTTATAATTTGAATATTTCTTAACAAAGGTTGTGTATATAATAAAAGGTGAGAGGGCCGCAGTTGAAGGATACGGTGGACGTGTTCGCACTGAAGCCATGCGTCCTCACTTTAATAGAAGGTATTTTTTATTTTCTTTTTTCCATTAATCTATCGATTATTTTCAATTAATTAAAAAATAAATAAATGAATGAACTGTACGACGTCGTGTTCTCTTTTGGATCGTGGCAGAGGATTATGACGAAGATGGAGCAGTGGCCCACGTCAGATGGCTACTGGACATCGTGGCCTGCACGACGTACTTCGGCCACGCGTCGGCGGGGACGAATGCAAAATCTCAGGCGCCGCCGTCCGCGACGGCAGCGGTTGACGGAGACAGTGAGATAAGCCACTCATGCCCTAGGCTGGGGAGCTTCTACGAGTTTTTCTCTCTTTCACATCTCATTCCTCCTTTGCAATGTACAATCCTCTTTCTCTTCCTTTGATTTTTTTTTCTTCGTTGCTGTGTCTTAAACTCTCGAGTTTCCGTAGATATCAAGAAAACAGTGAGACGGCGAGTTCCGGAGATATCAGAGGCGGATCATCACTTCTCCTTTGATGTAAATATATTTACGAATTTGTAATTGTTGTTACTTTTTCGAGCGAGAATTGAGAAATACTGAAATCACTTCGTTTATGCTTGCTAGGTGAAGTTATGTAACGGGAAAGTGGTGCACGTTGAAGCTTGCAGAAAGGGATTTTACAGTATTGGAAAGCAGAAGATATTTAGTCATAACCTTGTTGATTTGTTAAGACGGCTTAGTAGAGCTTTTGATACTGTTAGTGTTCATGCCTCTACTTAAATGTTTACCTTGGATAGGGTTCAGGCTAGTTCTAACTTCGGTTAGTTTTACGAATTTTGTTTCTCAATTTTCAGGCTTATGATGATCTATTGAAAGCATTTTCAGAACGTAACAAGGTACAGGACACCTTTTTTATTTGTTCATAATGTGTATAACTTGCTATAACTAGTGAATGAAAGTAACGTAGAACAGTTTAATAACTATTTTCTTGTGTTTATTTGTGCTCTGATGTTTCCCATTTCCTTTTGTCTTTACAGTTTGGGAATCCCCCTTATGGCTTCAGAGCCAACACATGGCTTGTTCCTCCTGCAACGGCGCAATCACCATCAGTTTTCTTTCCCCTTCCTGTGGAGGATGAAAATTGGGGAGGAAATAGTGGCGGTCTAGGAAGGGATGGGAAGTTTGATTTGATTCCTTGGGCCAATGAGTTTTCGTTTATTGCATCTATGCCTTGTAAAACAGCAGAAGAAAGGCAAATTCGTGATAGAAAAGCATTCCTTCTCCACACCTTATTCGTTGATGTTGCCATTTTGAGAGCTATTAGGGCTGTTAAACATGTAATGGGAGAGTCACATTTATGCAGCTCTGTTACAGAAAATAATATTCTTTACACCGACAGAGTAGGTGACTTGACTATCAGAGTCTTGAAAGATACTTCTGTTGCTAGCTGTAAGGTTGATTCGAAAATTGATGGAGTTGAAATTACTGGAATAAATAAAAAGGATCTAATAGAGCGAAATCTACTGAAAGGAATTACTGCGGATGAGAATACTGCTGCCCACGTATGATAATTTTTATGTAGTAAAAGAGTGGTTGAGTTTGTTCTTTAAAGCTGTTTCTTTGCCCTCATCTAATTGATTAACACTCCACATTCTGCATGCAGGACATTACCACGTTAGGTGTTGTTGTTGTAAGATATTGTGGTTATGTGGTTTCTGTGAAAGTTGACAGGGGAGAAAATGAAAATAACAACTCTTCATCTTATCAAAGTATTGAATTGTTTGATCAGTCAGACGGTGGTGCCAATGCACTCAACATTAATAGGTAATCCCTCCAAACTCAAATATATGGGAAAAAAAAAATCTAGTGGACCAGAATATAATTTAACGCTATTTAATGATATCACCTCCAAAATACTGTTTAATGAAATAAGTAAATAAAATGGTGTTAATTTTCTCAATTAGTGTAAATTAGTTTTTTACTAATTGCTTATATTTGAGTCTAGTGTAGTATTCCATAACCATTCAATATAGTAGTTTTACTATTTTATATTGTGCTAGTGTACTCATAAAATATGTGCCCTCCTCCCCCTGTTTATGTAGTATGGTTTGTAATTTTATTAGCTTGAGCTACAAAATGAGTGAGAATTGTGTTTATGAATAAGATCTAACCATGGTTTTGATGTTTTTTTTGTTAAATATAACATTGTAAAATTTGAACCTAATTCAGGGTTTTAAAAGTTTTCCTGTGTGTAGAATCTGTAAAGCACAGACACACCTCCAGAGAATGGTGTGTCTGACATTTTCACACACGAACCATGACACTAGTCCAAGTCACCTTGGACCATCCACTGTGTCACAATTTATTAATCTTTTTCCGGTCTGACACCTCTAAGACACAGGCTAAGAGATTGAGACCTTACTTTTGGCTAAACATTTCTTATACACTCCTATCATATAAAAATGATCATGTTTTTAGATGAGTCTTCTTATATTATTAATATTGGGAGACTCCACATTTTTTTGAGACTCCATATCATATAACTTAATTGATTGTTTTAAGAGATGTAATTTATCTTCTTATCTTGGGATTATCTTTTGTTAAGATTGCATTGTGAAACAATCCTTCTTGGTTACTGTCATGAAAATTGTAAAGCTTAACAACTTTGTTTTTAGAATGTGAATATGTAAAAATCTTAATTCTAATCAATTTGGATTTTTGTCTTGTTGTCTTAATATATGTATATATATAGATAGATAGATAGAGAGAGTGAGAGACATAGATAGATAGAAATGTCTTATATTTTGGACATTAGTTGTGTCCTAGTGTTTCTGTGTCCTGTGCTTCATAGTGTAGAATGTCTGATTGAGAAAGGTTCCATTGGAGGTTTCTTTTAATGAAATTCGAGAACTTGTTATGGTTGTTTATTCTGTCTTTTTATTTTTTTTCTTTTGTATTTGGAGGATTTTTTGTTTCTAGTTTTCTTCTTTGGAGCTACTCTTCAGTATTCTAGCTTGTCTGTTTTTATTCTATGGCTTCTGTTACAGTTACAGCTTTCTATAGTTGATCTGCTGATCTAATTCTTATTCATCAATCATCACTTTATCTTTGGGCCTGTAATTATTTATGATATTTTGCAGTTTGAGACTACTTCTCAACTCAGCACAGTCGGAGAAGAATAGACTCACTCAGATGCAAATGCCTGAGAGTGAAGAGCTTGAAGTTTCTCAAGCTTTTGTGGAGAGGCTTATTGAAGAAAGCCTTTCTAAGCTCGAAGAAGAGGAACCTAGTTTGGACAATTTCATAAGATGGGAACTGGGAGCATGCTGGATACAACATTTGCAAGACCACAACAATATTGAAAAGGATAAAAAACCATTGTTGGATAAGGCTAAGAATGAAATGAAAGTTGAGGGGCTAGGGAAACCCTTTAAAGCCCTAAAGAATAATAAAAATAAATCTGATCTAAGTAGTGTGAAACTGTCATCTGAAAATTCCAAATCTCATCAGGCATGTGTTTATGGAGAGCCTGAAAGTGCTTCAGTGCCCTCAGTAGAATCAAAACATGAAACAGCTACAGCAGAAAATGAGCTTGTGCTAAAGGGTTTGTTATCTGGAGCAGCTTTTACCCGGTTAAAAGATTCAGGAACTGGACTTCATTGCAAGGTATTTTCTTCAAGGTTAAGGAAGTATCTCTAAAATTTTGGGTATTTGAACCAAACTGTTACACCAAACATCTGACCTAAATTACTTTGTGTTATTATCATCAGTCAATGCAAGACCTGACTGACTTGTCTCAGAAATATTACATGGATGTTGCTCTCCCAAAGCTGGTAATGATAGGATTAGTATGTAATAATATTATTTCCATTTGATTCTAGTAATAACATTAATAATAATAATAATAATAATTATTATTATTATCATTATTATTATTACATAAAATACAGGTAGCAGATTTTGGCTCGTTGGAACTCTCTCCTGTTGATGGACGCACGTTAACTGATTTTATGCATACTAGGGGTCTACGAATGCGATCTCTTGGACATGTTGTTAGTGCTCTAAACTTGTTTTATTACTTTGTGTTGTAATAAATAATGATATTGTTAGGAATCCCCTTACTGTCCTTAACCAATTAATATGAAAATCTTGACCACACAGCTGCCCACGCAGCAGTAACACCAAGATACTGAAGAATACCTCTATTATTTCACTATCCTTTTTGAAAGTACAATAGTAACTGGGTAAACAAAATTACCCAAACAAGGAACACTCTCCTTTTCACACAGTCAATACCCAGTATTGACTCTTTTTTTGTCTGTCTAAAAGTACCTCCTACATACAGTAAAGGACCTATTTATTTTGCTCTTACACTAACAGAAATAACAACCTACCAAGGACACCCACTAATTACAATTCTTACCCTTTTCTATTTTTTCTTCTACCATGCACTTGTAAAGGTTTTTCCATTCCCTTTTGTCTCTATTATGTCTAACAGTTATCAACCAAAAGAACCTCTTCATGCTGCCTCTTTTATGGTTGAATACATTGTGCATTTTCTAAAGTACTTATAGTTCATAAGTATTTGGCGATCAGATTTCTTCATAAATGTTTTGGACCCAAGTATGTGGATTGTCACTGATAACAGACTCTTGTTTTTAATCTGCATATTCAATTTATGGGCCTAGTCCATTAAACGTACTTATTTCATGGGTTTAATCTGAGTATTCCAGAACTAGTCCGTGGACTTGAATCTGCAATGTTTTAGACAGAAAAGTTACTATTTCAATTTCATTTGACAGATTGTAGTTTGATAGATTTTAATTTGGTAGATATTAGTACGCTAGATGTTACTTTAACAATTGAGAAAAACTAAATAAAATTCTTTTAAATTAATAGAATTTTCATTCTTTTGGGATCACTTAATAGATCAACCAGTCCATTTATCCATGGGCTTTTACAGACCGGATACAGACCTAGAAGAGAGACTGGATTGGACTTATCCGGACCATCTCTTACCCACTGCTACTTGCTCATAATATTGCCATCCAAATTTCTTCTCTTGGTCCCGTACTGTTTTATTTTCCACCCTTCTCTTGTAGTTGTACTGTTTGCCACTTTTCTTTTAGAGGTTTTTATATTCAAGGGCTGAAAGACAAAAGATTTTGTGTCTTCAAGTTTAGTATTTATGTTGACCTTTTAATGTTTCATGATGTTTGCCTCCTATTTTTCTTTATAGGTCAAACTTTCCGAAAAATTCTCACATGTACAATCACTTTGTATTATTGAGATGATAGTTCGAGCTTTCAAGCACATCCTGCAGGCAGTGATTGCTGTTATTGACAAGGAGAAAATGGCTACATCCATTGCTGCTGCATTGAATTTGCTGCTTGGTGTTCCTGAAAATAGAGAATCAGATAAGTCATGCAAAATCCACCCCCTTGTATGGAAATGGCTAGAGGTATTTTTGAGGAAGAGATTCGATTGGGATCTTAGCAGCTTGAATTACAGTGATGTGAGGAAGTTTGCAATTTTGCGTGGCTTATGTCATAAGGTACTGGAAGTAAGCTATAGAATCTTCAGTATCTGATGCATTTTAGTTTGCATAGCAATGGAGTCATACATTTACATTCTTTTCATATCTCCATTTATTAGGAGTTATTTGGGCTAATTTTATGACTCATCATGATAATTACATGCTGAGAACCCAAGCACTTGGGAACAATCGCTTAAAAGCTAGCTGTGGGGAAAACCAAACCACTTAAAGGGCTTCACTGAGCATCCCACTTGATGTGCCTATCTTTCTGTTAGTGCTTATAAAGATGTTCATAAATCATAATGGTTTCCCCATATGCATGTGTGCATATAGGTAGTTAGGTGTAATATATATATGTATATTCTGATTTAAATTATTCAATGGATTGTAGTTCTTATGGTTATTATTGAAAATGACATTTAAGTTGTTTGTTCATTGACAATTGGTTTTTGCTCTTACCTTCAATTTTAGGTTGGCATTGAGATTGTTCCAAGGGATCTTGATATGGATTCTCCAATTCCCTTCCACAAATCTGATATTGTCAGCTTGGTCCCAGTTCACAAGGTAATAGCATAACAAGACAAGACAATACCATTGTATTGTAGGGTCTCTTGTCTAATGTCTTGGAGATTTACTGATAGATCCAAACATAGTAAACTATGCATCTTTTGCAGCAAGCAGCATACTCATCCGCAGATGGAAGGCAGCTCTTAGAGTCATCAAAAACAGCTTTAGACAAGGGAAAGCTAGAAGATGCAGTCACCTATGGAACAAAGGTATATCTATCTTCAGTGCCCTTTGTCAGCAACAAAAAATGCCTTTTCGTATTTTTACATGATGACTGCAATAATTTGTTGGTGACAGGCTCTTTCCAGGCTTGTAGCAGTTTGTGGCCCCTATAATCGGATGACAGCAGGAGCATACAGCTTACTTGCTGTAGTCTTATATCACACGGGAGACTTCAATCAGGTCTGGTTTGTTGATATTTTGTTTTGCTTTTGAGACATGTTTCATTAGAAACATAGAAGCATAGATAACCTAGATATACAGTCAGTGTTTTACTTGTATTGACTATAGTTCAATTTTAAATATGTAATCTAAAGTTTTTTTGGTCTTTGAACACAATTCCAATTCATTGTGCCTGTTTACTCCAACTACAGGCTACAATTTATCAACAAAAAGCTCTGGATATTAATGAGAGAGAGCTGGGTCTGGATCATCCAGATACTATGAAGAGTTATGGGGATCTTGCTGTTTTCTACTACAGACTGCAACACACAGAGCTGGCTCTGAAGTATGTTTTGTTCTTGTGCAATACCGTGATGATGTATAATTGTACTTGAACAATTATAATTTGCCTTGTTTTTTTACCTGATATGACTAAACATTACTTTTATTAATTGAAATAATAATTTATTAGGTGACAGAAAAGGGATTACATAGAATGGAGAGGATATGCTATCCTTCTTGTGTTCTACCTGATAGGTTCTGGAAAAATTATAAGGGAAAAATAGACAGGAATGTATATTATTAATAAACAGAACAAAGGATTCTAGCCCTGGTTATAGAGGTGATTACAGCAGGAAAATAGGGAATTGACGAACAAGAAAAGTCTAAGCGATCAAGAGGCCTTGTCTCACCCTAGGTCCAAGTTCTAAAATTCTAGCCCCCACCCCCGTCCATGATTTCATCCACTTAAATTCTTTCTCACACAACCTACCCACATGCCTTCTCTCCACTCCTACTGCCAGATTGGCAGTCGGTTAGGAAAATTCTCTGTCCCGACTTGATCAGGTGCATTGCACCTCCCTCTCCCTACATAAAACAGACACCTTAGTCACCTCGGGCTTTGGCTTCTGGTTCTTGTCACTACTAACTGGGTCGTCTAGACATGGTATTCTTAACAGAATTGTATTAGTGATAACCAGTACAAAATATTGGCTATGTATTTAGAACTTTTTGAAAGTTAGTTAAATATTTGTGATGATTTATTCATTGGTTACTAATTGGCTCTGCAACTGTTATCAACCAGGTATGTAAAGCGTGCTTTATATCTTCTGCATCTAACATGTGGCCCATCTCATCCAAACACTGCCGCAACATACATTAACGTGGCTATGATGGAGGAAGGTCTTGGAAATGTACATGTTGCTCTTAGATATCTTCACAAAGCTCTAAAGTGCAACCAAAGATTACTTGGTCCAGATCATATCCAGGTTTTATTTTCATTTTATTTATTGCCTTTCCTTTATCTAAAATGTAATACTTGAATTCTCAAAAGAATTTTGAATAAAACCTGAATGCTAACAGGTGGACTCTATTAATGAGAATAGCACTTGGGAATTAAAAAAAAAAAAAATTCTGTACAAAGATTTAGTTCCACTACTTATTTATATTCATGAGAAATACCAAAGTAATAGCAGTTCTCATCTCTTTGTTTTAATATGTAAATTCATGAAATCTTATTCTGTGCAGACGGCTGCAAGTTATCATGCAATAGCAATAGCTCTCTCATTGATGGAAGGATATCCTTTGAGTGTGCAGCATGAGCAAACAACATTGCAAATTCTACGGGCAAAACTTGGCCCAGATGACTTGCGAACTCAGGTATAAATAACAAAGTATCCAGTAACTTAGATGATGAGGAAATAACAATAATACACAACTTTGCAGTTGGTAGAGTGATGTCTTAAATGATGTGGGAAGTATTATATATATTAGAAAACCACCCTATCCCCAGGCCCTAGCCATAATAGTTTCCGCTTCTTTGGGGTTGCCTTAGTTGTATCCTCAAGAGTCGTATTAATATGAGATCAACTAGACATATAACTTAAATAGAAGTTATAAAGTTTGGATAGTTCTCATTTTACAATTCAGTTTTGTTGACCTGACTTAGGTCTTAATTCCAAATTCTAAGAGTTTGAATAGTTTATATCACCATTATAATAATATTTGTCATTCTCAATAAACTACTAGTTAATTTAGTACGTTCCCCTTTACTGCTCTTGCAAAGAATTAGGTACAGTTTTACATAATCTAAAGTTGCGATAAAATGTCACAGGATGCTGCTGCTTGGCTTGAGTATTTTGAGTCCAAGGCTTTTGAACAGCAAGAAGCTGCGGGAAATGGTACTCAAAAGCCAGATACATCAATCGCTAGCAAAGGCCACCTAAGGTATAGTAAAACTGCCCTTGGCTGTATTAATTGGGTACTTTAATAGTTGTTGCTCATGCATAGGTGTGTTTTAATCTGGTACTTTAATAGCTGTTACCTGTGCAGAGGTGTCTTTTAAAAGACCTCACAGGTGCAGATGAAAATAGGCAAGGGGCTTAGGACATCTCCAATAGGAGTAACTCACATGAGTTACTTTCAATTGTAAAATATAGGTCTTATGCCACATTATTATCAAACAATTTATATCTAATTTTACTCCGCAAAAGAAATTCCAACAAACATTAAACAATTCATTATTTTATATCATCTTTGTCTCATCTTTCAATTTTTTTTTCTGGTATATTTTTAAATTTTTTATTCCTTCTCGCCTTCTGATTTTTTTACTCCAACGTACTCCACACTTCCTCCCTCCTTCCTCCTTCTTTTGCTTTTTATTTTTTTCTCCTCCGTCCCATTCTTTCCTCCCCAGCCCTTCTCTTCCACCTTCCCGTTCTCTCCCTCTCCCTACAATGCCTTCTCCCCCTTCCTTCTCTAATGCCTTCTCCCCCTTCTCCCTCTCCCTCTCCCCTTTTCCCCTTCCCCCTTTATCCAACGTTTCATATGGTTCAATAATAATTTTTATTTATAAGCAACTGTAACTTGAAGCAACTCTAAGCACCTAAAAGGCATTGTCTAAGTATCTCCTACTGGAGATACTTTTAAAAGGGCCAGTGACCTAGCCCTAATTAGGCAGAGACCAAGCCTAATTACTAAAGTTATGCCAACACTTTTTAAAAAGTCTATTTGATTGAAAGGTCCGACTTTTGGCCATTTAAAAAGCTGTTTCTGCCTAATAGAATAGTCTTACTAAGTACATATAAATAATTTAATAATAATATTATTCTTATTATAGTGTGTAATTTTTATTGTACTCTTTCTAAATTATATCCTTCTTATTCTATTAGGCTATGGTCAGTTGATCTACCAAACTTGGTCCATTAACCTCTTTAGAGGTAGGTTTCTTGGCCTATAAAATAGATTTCCTTCATACACTTTTAGTAGACTTTTAAGTCATATTAGACTTCTATAAAGATCAAGCGAAATCACAAAGAAAAGTCTATGTTGTCAAGTAATAGGCTAAGCTTGGATCTTAGATCTGGGAGATAGGTCAGGCCTATTATGGGGAATCCATTTTCACCCTACTTATAGGAGAATTTCGGCAAAGTTTTTGTTAGGAGGTTATAATATGTAATATCATTGGAAATTATTTGATAATTTTAGCCAATGACTATTGATACAACATTTTGTCGTCTCTGGGATGAAATGCCAATCCTAAAATAATTAGAAACTGATGAATAAAGGACATGATTTGGCCTCGAACATTGCAACAGAGCAAAATTGTGAAGGGTTCAGGTGTTTGTTGATGTCTGGGGTATCAGATTCCAGTATATGTCTAGCCCAAACATGATTCCTTTTTTTAAATGACTAGTATCTGCAATTCGTAGTGTCAAAACTTCCCGTTAACTTGTTCAAAATTTGAATGACTATACATGTGTATATCTATCATACATTCACACATAAGTTTTTACCCGATTCCTTATATTTCCATGGAATTTGTCAGTGTGTCAGATTTGCTTGACTACATTAGTCCAAGTCACGATCCCAAAGGGAGAGATATTGCAGTAAGGAGAAGAAGTCAGATAACTAAGGTATGGTGCAGATTTACTGATCCTGATATTTTTAACAATTTTAGTTTGAGATCTTGGTTATAAGTATACAAAATAGTTTTTTTTTTTTTTTTTTTTGAATTACTACTTATTTACATTTTTTGATATTGCTAAAATGTCTGCCTAGTGTACTTTCTTAACACCGTTGTACAATGTATTAACTAAAAAACATGGAATAAAATTCAGGACTAATTCAGTCTATAGTTAGAAGGAAAAATGCAATGCAGGAATCAGATACCTAATGGAGCCTCTTATTCATTTTTTCCATTGAACATTGAACTGTTACTGCATGAGCCATGAAGGTTCACTATTTTTAAATTGTTGCAGTAACTTTCTACTCATGCTTTTTCTTACATGTACGTTTATCTTAAATAATATTAATTTCATTAAAAATTATTTAGCAGATGAGGATGGAATCTTGCCAGAACATTGGCTCCACAAGTTCTGACGAATCATGGAAAGAAACTCCAAGAGAGACTTCTGGTGAAGTAATAGTAATACCTGGGCCAAGTGTTGATGTTGATACTGAGCTGGAGACCAACTCAGCACCGGATTCCGAACAGCGCATTTTAGAAAAGACTTCTCATGGAAAACAAGTTTCTGTTGAGCTCTTGTCTGAAGCACATGCTGATGGTGAGGATGGATGGCAACCAGTTCAACGGCCAAGATCATCTGGTTCATATGGTCAGCGACTGAAGCAGAGACGAGCAACAATTGGCAAAGCTTATTATCAGAAAAAGAATGTGGAATCTAGCGTAGACTATCCTTATGCGAAGAGTAGTGATCAGAACAGTAGATATTATATTTTCAAGAAAAGAACAATATCCCATGGGGTTTACGCAGATGATAATACTGTAAACATGTCCCAAGTTACTAAATTTGGAAGGAAAGTGGTGAAAGCTGTTACATACAGGGTGAAGTCCATGTCTGCATCTGAGAAGATTACTGTGAGGGATCCGTCAGAAATTGGTGACAGACTAATCAATTCTTATTCACAACATGGTTCAGTTTCAGCACCGAATGATAATGGTACCGTAAAGACTTCTATAGTTAGTATTGGGAAATCTCCTTCATACAAAGAAGTGGCAGTGGCTCCTCCTGGGACAATATCCAAGTTGCAAGTCTATAATACTCAAAGTGACATTCTTGGTTTTGGCGTGGGCAAACATGAAGAGGAAGATTTTAAAGTACGTGCAAATTCCAACCCAACCCTGGAAGAGGTAAAAAATACGTTAAAAGAGAAGGACAAAAATTCTTTGTCAAATTCTTTACATGGTTCAAATCATACTAATGACTCTGAGAGGAAACAAACACAGTTTACTGATTCTGTACAAGACAATTTGGAGAGTGATAAAAGGGTTGAATCTGTGGATGTTGAGGTTCATGAAGCAGTTGATAATATCATCATGATTGATGCAGTGGATGATCCTGTGGATTCTCACAATTTAGAGGTTAACACTAGCAACACTGGTTGTTTTGAATTCTCTAATCATAGTACTACCATCTCACAAGAAGGTGAAGAGTTAAGAGTCAGTGTTTCTCCATCAAGTCAGGTTGATTCCCCGGGCATCTCATGTAAGAAGTTATCTGCATCTGCTGCTCCATTCAATCCAGCTCCAGGCATTGCACGTACTGCCCCCGTTACCGTGAATACAGCACTTCCTTCTGCTTCTGGTGCTGTTCCACAAATTGGCCCCCCCTGGCCAGTAAATATGAATGTTCTCCATGGACCTGCTACCATGTTACCTGCAGCTACCCAAATGTGTTCCTCTCCTCACCATGCATACCCATCACCTCCACCAAAACCAAACATGATACAACCATTGCCATTTATGTATCCTCCTTATACTCAGCCTCGATCAATACCAACCAACAATTTTCCAGTTACTAGCAGCGCATTTCATGTCAATCAGTTCACATGGCAATGCAATATGAACCCAACTGTATCTAATTTTGGTCCCAATGTGGTATGGCCTGGTTGTCATGCCGTGGAATTTCCTGTTCCAGCACCTAGCATCAAACCAATCTCTGATCCCATTTTGGAGCCACAAAGACAGTGTCATGTTTCAAAAAATTCAAGTTCAGCTTTTGTTTTACCAGATGGCATTACTAATGTCAGTGGATACAAGAAAGAGTTGCAACCTTTAGAATCAGAGACTAATGAGGATGAAGTGGGTGGAGTTCACACAGAAAGTGTAAAGGAAAATGGAAATCCTAATTTTAACGGGTTTGAAAATGCTGGGGACAAACCCAATAATAACATTGGCTTGAATAACATTAGCAGAAGTGAAAAGAACATTGATGGTGAGAAAACCTTGAGCATTTTGATTAGGGGAAGAAGAAACCGGAAGCAGACACTAAGAATGCCAATAAGTTTGCTAACTAGACCCAATAGCTCACAGTCTTTTAAGGTTGTTTATAACCGTGTAGTCAGAGGAAGTGATGTACCCAAGTCCATTAACTTGTCTTCTAGAAGAGATTGTACAGCTACTGCTTAACCCTAAGTTTCTTTGTTGTTATGAAATGTTGCAGAATTACTGCCAATAGAAAGATACCTTACAATTTCACAGGCAAAAGGAGGTGCAGTTTTCGATCATTTTCGGAACTCAATCACAATTACCTTGCCATTTAGGAAGTTTCTGGTGGTTATTCTACTTATCCTGCAGAAGTTTAACTTTTGGAACACTGAATACAATGTTGTATAATTTATTCATTCTGGCTCATTGCTGCAAACAAAACATGCTCTAAACAATGCATCCTTTATTGTTTGAAGAAAATATAGTTGCACCAGTGAAGCCTCTTACATCATGGAAATCATATTTGACCTTGACTGAAACATGGGAGTTCTAAAAACTTGCAAATTTTTCTTCTCAAAGATGGAGGACAGAAGGTTTTCTTCAATTTGAGGTACTTCCACTTACGGAGATATTTTATTGGTTCCGTTGGCCGAGCTAGTTACAGTTTTGAATAAGCTAGATGACTAGGGTGCATTATTTGATGATTAGTTGGGACGTGGAAATGTTCTTATGAATCAAAATCTTATTGACGTTGCTGCAAGCAACAGCTAATAGTTATCTTGTTCAGCATTCAGGGTCATTGCTATCAGTTTTGAGGTTTCAGAGGCACTTTGACGGTGAAAACATTTATTCATTATTTAGATAGGCATTTTTTATGATAGCATTTTGATTAAGGATCGTGGCTAATTTTCTTATTGTTACTTCATTTACAGTAGCTTTGTTAATTAATTTGGTTCATTTGTATATACTTCCTCTCAATAATCTTCCGAGTATTAATGGTTCTCTTTTGCTGTTGGACTTGGATTTTTTTTTTGTTATATTTGGAATCTTGTGGGTTCTGTTAATGAAGAAAATTGTTTGATACAATTTGTGCCCGCGCATGAGCAGATTTCATTTAGCTACATACACTTGTCGTGTACAATTAAAATATTTTAGTACATTATTTGGAATTCAGTTCAAGTATTACAAGAAAATAAGGTATACTAAAATATATTTAGTGGAATAAGCAAGCTGCTGCAGCAACTTTTATTTTGATTTACATTTTTTTTTCTTACTTGAACGAGGAAGAAAACATTCATTTTATGAATCTTTCTTACCAGTGTAACACGGTTTAAAGAATCAATAGAATGCAAACTCGTGTTATTGGAAAATCGATGGCTTGAAGAAGGGTTCCTATTTCTAACAAAAAGCAATATCTGCTCTACGGGACCATGTACTCATTTGATCAAAAGATGATTACTCACCAAAATCCGATCCTTAAATTTCAACACATTTTCATATATGAATAACAGAACATTAATGTAAACGTAAGCATTACATTCCGGATCATGCAGTCCCATTGAAGAAAGCAAAGAAGTTCAATCTCAAGTAACAAGTTCAGTCGAGGAAGCCAAACGTTAGGGTTGTCCATCTTGGCAAACTTCTAGGTAGCTAATATATCTATCTACACCAAGAATGCTCCACAACTCAGTTCCCATACGAATGAGGTTTAGTCTGAAGTGACTGGATGGGACAATGGACACAACTTGCACGATTGCAAACAAAACTAGGAGCAAACACAGTCACCCTGCTTCAACAAAGTAACATACATAAAAGATTAGCTACAAATCATGAGTTGGCTCTCCAGCATAAAATCAATAAACAAATGGAGTAGTATGAAACAAAGTAAAAGCGTTCATACCTTTTGCTAGATTGGTCGGAAAGGTAGCTTCTCCAACTGAGTCCATTTGGAAAGTGTGAGGAAGAGAACGCTTTTGTGACCTTTTCAAATACGCCAGTACTTCGAGAACGATAACTGCCACAAGTATAATGCTAATAAGGAATCCATAGCCTATCTTCCAATCATTCCCTGCCCCTGCAGCTCGCATCCCCAACACTATATTCAAAGCTGCAAAGAAAAGTGCCATTCTTCCAAGCCAACTGTGATACAAATTCCAAATGTTTCGGAACTTGGAATCCTTGTCTGGCCTCAAGAAAAATGCCAATATCTGAACTCACAGCTTTAAATGTCAGTTCAAATTGTACTTTAGAAATAAATCATATATCTCAAGCGTCAAGCTTAATTTTATGCAAGTTAAAAATAAAAAATGTAGTACTATCGATCTCTGTCTCATGCACAAGACTTTTTTTGACTACTTTAAAGACCTTTTTAACTAAGTAATAGCAATTAAAAAAAAATGGTTAATTTAGTTAAAGGTCTTATTGTGATAGGTAGAGGACTGAACATTGAGTATGATACATGACATGGGTCAGTGGCAGACCTGAAGAATACTTAGGACAAGGACAAAGATGCCTATGCCTCTGTGAGCTGGTATGTGGACATGCACATTTCTGTAGAGTTGTAAGCCAAGAAGGACTGTGGCAAGCCCAAATGCAAATCCCACAAATTGAATGGCTGAATGGAGATAGAACCACAGGGGATCCTTATGCCTGAAGTACCTAGCAATAATTGCCCCCACAGGCAGGATTAGGCCCCACCCTACTATACCCACTATTCCATGGTTCTTTCTCATCTGAATCAACCCATTGGATACCGGGCCCGCAGAACCTGCCACAACAAGCATAACAGTCAAATTTCTTTTCTGGAAATTGTCTATGATACGCAAGTTACCTCAAGTCACATGAAAAAGACATTCGAATAAAGCCTAATTCAAGTTTATGCCCATCAAATAAAACGTTCTCCACTTTGGATCCTAAAAGTAGAATTTTGGGGTGAAAAGAAATGGACTCGTTCAAATTGACTTCAATTATTTTGGAGGAAAAATGTGGCTTTGTTAAAACCATCAATTAAAGCGATTTTCCTTCAAAAACATGGATTAGGCTTTATTCAAATGTCTGTGCAACAACATAGCATGATTAATTATGAAGTAAAGTGGCACATCTGGTTTTGCACACCTGAAGAAAAATCAAATATAACTGCTATTTTGTCAACATGTTTTGGTAGATGGTGGTTCAGTGGACGTTTAGTACTGAAAGCTAATAAAATCGGTTGCTTCCCGAATGGAATTGTCGTTTGTAGCTGAAACGCTATATAGATTTCAGCTCCATTTGTTGCCACTGCAGCTGGTACATTATTTAGAGGCAGTTCCCCTTTGTCTACAATTACTTCTGATTGCCTCCGACCCCGTAGATAAAATTGTTTGACTTTTGTATGACCATGTTTGTTAATCCATCCTACCATTGCACTGGAACCAGCCATCATGCCATCCCTAGAAAATCCAATTCCTACCCACCCAACAGTGTAGGGAGCAGATAATATGATAGTTGTTGTATCACCCGTCTTGGTGTACTGCAACGCAAATTAAAGGCAAAGGAACAATCATGACATCTAATTATAAGAGATCGATGATAATTTGCAGCTAGATAGGTTTTACTTCATAGAATTCGACTGTTGTCTCACTTCCTGTTCTGAGATATACAAAATATAACATGAAAGTTCCAAAATTAACTAAAAAAAATTATATCAAACTGAAAAATCTGTCAAATGGTAAATTTCTTACTTGATTTTATAATAATTATCTTAAAAGTTATAGCAAAGATAATTTCTTTATTGATTAATGGCATGGCTACTAAACTCCTAAAAAATCAGGCCACCCATTACCAAAGAACAGAAATAGTAAACAAGTTTTGACTTCCAAAAACTGTACAAGTCTCAACTTTCAGCTTTCTACAACTGTACGGCTTCTCAAGAGAAAAAGAGCGAGTAAATGAGTAGAACCTACAACCAAGCATTGGAATTATAGTTCAGCTTGAACTTACCCTCAATTCGTATGAATTCCAAACAGGTTTGCATATGGTAGAGGATATATTCTGATACGGTGAAGGGAGGAAAATCTGATAATTTGTGCTCTTGCAGTCACCTTCTGATACAATACTGTTACTTCCAGTGTCATCAGCTAATGTTACGATCATGAAGTTCAAAACAAAATTCAGAATACACACTCGGACAATAGAAGGCCATCTCAGAGTCCAAGATCTTAGCTTTGCCATTCATAGACTGGATCCAAGGCTTCAACAATGGTGGTTACCAAGGTCAAGAATAAGAGAGGAAATATGAATATGAGGTTCTAACAAGACAGTTGAGAGGTGTTAGTCTCTTGCGTTTGAAGGTTCTAATTTGGTTGTTGGCTTGGTGGGTGGGGATAGTAGTTGGTACCGAGAGGTAATCATCACCCCCTTCTATTCTTGGTAACACTAGATTCAACTGCATTTCTTTCATTGGATTGGAGCTTTTTACTCGTATTTCTATGAGCAATGGCAAATATACTCAACTATCTGTATAACTTTTGTCTAGTTATCTTATCTGGGATAGATGGAGGCAAGACTTTGCTTCAGAAACAAGATAAAACAGAAAAAAAGTGAACATTATTTAGCAAAATAGGAAGTAAAAGGAACTAAAAGGCTGAAGAAAGCTACCAAAAATAGCTCCAAACGATCTGTTCATGACTTTTAGAATGGGGATTGGATCATTTGTCTTTACAAGGAAACGAGAGATGTAAAGATTTATTTACAATCAGACATGGTTTGTGATATTATCTCGCAACATTCTTCAATTATTCTTTCTCGTTTTGGCTTTGGTCTAATGGTTGCTTTTAGATAAGACTTAAGGGATAGGGGTTTAAGACACACTTGAATTTTGATAAATCACTCAGAACAACATCACCTTAACAAGATTTTGTAATTATCAAAATAAAAATCCAAACCTTATTGAAAAAACAACACCTATGTAAGTTGTCTTTTTAAAAAAAGATTTGTGTGTAAGGAATAAGATATTTATTAACTTGAGGTGAGGAGAGAAGGAGAATAGAGATAAACCCGCCCCGCCAAATGTTGAGTTCTGAGAATTGAGATTTAGTTACTTCCCAACCCATGCTATGGCTCACATTCTAACACTAACACCCATCTCTTACACTCTCGCTAAAACCCTAATCCCCATTTCCCCATTCCTCAAACCTCTCCCCTTCTCCTCTGCAAGCCTTTCTAGCCCAAAGCCCTCTCGCCGGACCCTATCCCGCTCCGTCCTCCGCTCTACTGCCGGCGAATTCTCTGGCAGTGTCAACGACGAAGAAGAATTGGAGGAATTGGAGGAGCTCGATGTCTTTTCCCTCGAGCAAGAAGCGAAGGACGCTGCCGAAGCGTATTCAAGCTCTCTATCTCAAGTTCTGACCATTGAGGACGAGGAGAAAAATGAGCGCAAGGAGACAGCTCAATCCCGCAGGAGTAGTGCACGTAGAACAAAATCTATCCCGGACAATCTTCTCCCAAGGGTTGCAATTGTTGGAAGGCCAAATGTTGGCAAGTCAGCATTATTTAATCGTCTTGTTGGGGGAAACAGGGCTATTGTGGTGGATGAACCTGGGGTTACCAGGGATCGTTTATATGGTCGATCATATTGGGGAGAGCATGAATTCATGGTAGTGGACACAGGTGGGGTTATCACTGTTTCAAAGTCAAAAGCTACTGTTATGGAAGAGCTGGCTATTACTACTACCGTTGGTATGGATGGCATTCCACTTGCTGTTAGAGAAGCAGCTGTTGCCAGGATGCCCTCAATGATCGAGAGACAAGCAACTGCAGCTGTGGAAGAATCATCTGTTATTATTTTCCTGGTCGATGGTCAGGCAGGTCTAACGGCAGCCGACGAGGAGATCGCTGATTGGCTACGTAAAAACTACTCAGATAAATATGTCATTCTTGCTGTAAACAAGTGTGAATCTCCCCGCAAAAGAATTATGCAGGCATCTGAATTTTGGTCCCTCGGATTTGAACCACTTCCAATATCAGCTATCTCAGGAACTGGAACTGGAGAGCTTCTTGACCTTGTTTGTTCTGGCTTACAGAAAGTTGAGGAATCAAATATTCTTGATGAAGAAGAAGATTATGTTCCGGCAATTTCAATTGTTGGTCGACCAAATGTTGGCAAAAGTAGCATTTTGAATGCACTGGTTGGTGAGGACAGAACAATAGTTAGTCCCATCAGTGGCACTACTCGTGATGCTATTGATACTGAATTTACCGGACCAGATGGACAGAAGTTCCAACTTATTGACACTGCTGGAATCAGGAAAAGGACAGCCATAGCTTCAGCTGGTAGTACAACAGAGGCTTTGTCAGTGAATCGAGCATTTCGGGCTATTCGTCGTTCTGATGTTGTTGCTCTTGTCATTGAGGCCATGGCTTGTATCACCGAACAGGTTCCAGTTTAATGCTTCTGTTTGTTACATGAAAATGATATTAGTTTTCTTCTGGTTATAATGTAGAATTACTGCAGGCCTGGAGGCGCATGGGATACTAGTTGTTTAATGTGTACTTTTCCCCTCCTTAAAACTCTTTAATTGTCTTTTGAAGGACTACAAGATAGCTGAAAGGATAGAAAAAGAAGGAAAAGGTTGTGTGATAGTTGTAAACAAGTGGGATACAATACCAAATAAAAAGCAGCAGACTGCATCACACTATGAGCAAGATGTCAGGGAGAAGCTTCGCTCTCTTGACTGGGCTCCAATTGTTTATTCTACTGCTATAGCTGGTCATAGTGTTGACAAGTATGTTTTATTTGGAAAATTATTGATTTATGCTGTATAGCATGCTAATTCCATGATTTTAATTCCTCCAACTTTCCTTTTAAAACAAGTTCTTAATTATAGGCATTTGCATTTATAAATAAATTTCAACTTGTATCTCTCATGGTGAATGCGGACAAGCTTTATATATTTTGTTGAACTTACCTGTTGCAATACAGGGGATCATGGTAGACCTCAACAAGTAGTCACATTATTGGCTGCAATGACTATCCAATTTATGTTGGGATCATTACTTTATTATCTTTTATTTAAATTAGATATTAAGAGATTTCTATTATTATTTAGAATAAGAAAAAAAGATATTAGGTTATTTTGATTTAGGTAATTATGATTGATATATTGTTAATATTTGATATTTTGTCATATTTTTACTTTATATATAAAGAGTATACGAGTAAATGAATAAACATATAAAAATACCTACATGAGATATATTTCATATATAAAATGTACACATACAAAAACAGTAAAAGTTTCCATCTGTAGTATTAGAGCTTTGGTTCTTATGAATAGAATGGAAGGACAAGAAAATTTTCCACAAGTCGCTATTCCAATTTTTGATGGCAGAAGTTATGGCTTATGAGTTGTGAGAATATAATTCTATCATGAAAGATTAGACTTATGGGAAGTTGTAAAAGAGGATTATATCATTGATCCTGCCTGAAAATCTCACCTTAGCCCAAATCAAAATCGATAAGGAAAGAAAAATGAGAAAGGTAAAAACGAAGTCATATCTATATGCTGTTATTTCACAAATGATTCTTATTAGAATTATAACCCTAAAGTCACTCAAAGAAATTTGAGATTATTTAAAAGAAAAATATAAAATACTTACAAAGAGGAGCGAGAAGAGCATTGAAGGAGAAAACCCCAACAACCAACCAGGCCAACATCATTGCTGAGAAACGAGACTCGAGAAACAATAATTATTCAAGAAAGAATTGTTAGATATGTAGAAAATATTACAACAAATGCGCCTCAAGAAGAAGAAGAAGACCAAAGAGATATTGAAGGTCAAAGACGAGACTCTTAAACAAGGATGAAGAGCTTGAAAAACATGGTTATGAAATAGAGAAATTTAAGATTGAGCTGAAAAATTTTAGGAGTTTAAACCTATCATGAATTTGTCTCGTGTTGAAAGATAATGAAACAAAGAATCACAAGGAGAATGAATGCTCCGAAAAGAAAATGTCTTTTTCATATTATACGATAAAAGATCAATGGAATGAGATTAAGAAAGTAAATTCCAAAATGATAGAGACTAAATAGGAGACTGTCAATGCAGAAAAGAAAAAGCCTTATGAGAAAAAAATATCATCCTAAAGAAAAAAGTTTGTTTGTAAGTGATTGTAAAGAAAAAAATGACAATAAGATAATGGAATTAGATGAAGAGATGATCATATACAAGAATGAGAATTACAAGAATTATAAACAAAATAAGAAAAAAAAAGAAAAATATCAAATTCAAATAAACAACTATTAAAGTAAGAAAAAATATTGAGAATATTGTTTTATTATCTTTTATTTAAATTAGATAATAAGAAATTTTTATTATTATTTATAATAAGAAAAATAGATATTAAATTATTATTTTAATTTAGATAGTTATGATTAAAATATTATTAATATTTAATATTTTTTTATATTTTTACTTAATATATATATATATATATATATATATATATATATATATAGTATAGAGTATACAAGTACATGCATACAAATATAGAGATAGCTACATGAGATATATTTATATATATAGAATGTCCTAAAAGTTCTCATCAATTTTGTATGAACTGGTTTATCTTGAACTTGAGCAAGGTACATAGAAATGCAATTGAGAAGCTTTCTCTTTTCAGAATCACTTTTATTTGGATATGGATTAGCTTTGTTTTTTCTGGATGTAGCATACGATTTGTCACAGATAGTTTTAGTGGCGAATAACTTTTTTTGGATGTAGACATTAACACGGTATCATATGTTAAACTTAAAAGTTATTCAGGTTTGATATATTTCGTCGGAGTCGATCTCCGAAGTGAATATCTGATAGCTTATTATTGTTTTGCCAAATAGGATTATTGTTGCAGCAAGTGAAGTTGAAAAGGAGAGATCAAGAAGACTTGGCACTTCTATATTGAATCAAGTAGTTCTGGAAGCAGTAGCTTTTAAGCCTCCTCCTAGGACACGTGGTGGAAAAAGAGGACGTGTTTACTATTGCACTCAGGCTGCTATAAGGCCACCTACATTTGTGTTCTTCGTCAATGATGCAAAACTTTTTCCTGAGACTTATAGGCGCTATATGGAGAAGCAGCTGCGTTCAGACGCAGGTTTTTCTGGAACACCCATACGACTTCTATGGCGCAGCAGAAAGAAAATGGGAAAAGATGAAGGTAAGTAGTCATTGTAATTTGTATCAAAATCAATATTTTAATTATGTCCCCATCATTTTGCTTTCGTATTTTTATTTTTATTTTTTACTTCTCCTACTGGATAAAATGTATAATGATGCTATAAACATGTATATATGCTTTGTTCACAGGCAAAGCTGTAACAAGGACCCAAGAGAATCTTACATCAAATGATCGAAAATTGGTATCAACTACACCATAGAATCAGATTACTTAATACTCAAATGCTTGTGCTTCCTGAAAATCCATCAAGGTTAGTAAAATCTCCACAAGGACCCGATGGGTGCCGAGAGTTTGGATAAGGATCTGTCGTATTTATACAGTGATCATAATCATTCTGTAATTCTTTAGTGAGCACTTTGTATTTATGGGGTCGTAGCACATTCTTTGTCAACAACTGCATTGTACATTATTTTTGAAGTAGTTGTTGAAGCAAAATTAAGTTCTTGGATTTCTAATTCCGTGACTCTGTTCAAGTATTTAAGCAGAACATTTTCCACTGATCAAGTGCGCAGTTACTCTCTGGAATGATACTTTTATTTTTTTGTTAAGCAATTGCTAGTAATTTTTGTCGTCGTTAGATGTATATAGACCTAACATTAGCTGTGAAATTTTGTTTCAAACTTTTAGTTGTAGTTTCAGAAAGAACAAACATTTCTATTAAACCTATCCGTAACTGCCTCCTAAACATCTAACACACCTTAACAAATATTATTTGGTACCATTATTTTAATTAGTTACATTGCGAACGCAATATTTGTCCCTGTAGTGCATAGTGTTAATTTCTTCTGAATGGTATTTAACCGTCCATATACATGGTATTTTCACAAAGGTATTTGAACATCGGTCATCCAAGTCTTTTTGTCTTCCGGCTCGACCGGAGAGTTGTGTACTTTCTGAACGATTATTAACTGATCACTATCACGCCTATATAAGATCGGTCAAACATCTCCAACAGTCACTAATAAGTAGGATCCCATAACCAAGACTTAAGTAACCTTAATTTTAACAGCAGCAGTGGAATAATGGGGAATATCTCGCGAACAGCGGGACTTTAATCCCTCTTACCTCGGGAACCATAAAAGGGGTTGAGACCTAGGTTAAGGGAGCAATAACTTCTCCCTCTATCCTATTCACCTAAGTGTTCTATGCTGATACCTAATTAGCACAAACAGAGACAAATGATGAACAAAAATAAATACATGAAGGTGATTTTCATTATTATTTGCTGATGATTTAGTGAAAGCTAGGGGACAAAAGAAAATATATAAAATGGAAAATGAGTCATGGAGCCACACTATACAGTAGTATCTTGGGGAAACACTTGGGAGATAAATGGATCATCCTATAATGCATGCAAAAAGATGTAAAAGTTATTTATTTTAATGTGTAGAAAGTCATGGATCGTTTCTTGGTCCTCCTAAGGAAAGATGTAACACGTTACTGTTTATTGACAGCGGCTACGGAATGCAAAGTGGGTTAGTACAAAACGTTATCTTCAAGAAAAACAATTGTGAGATCGAAGAGAAGCTAACTCTCACTCATAATCCGATACCACATTTAGCTTTGATGTTTACGTTGAAAAATAGCGATCTGTCTCAAATAATAAGATTCTTCAGAGCGTAGGAGACATGCTAAATGGATTTCCTTGTTGTTTCATGTATACTGAATGAGATTTGATTCATTAATTATGACAATATTATGTTGACTGTTGCCATGGACTTCATGTGGACTAGCCCTGCACTTCTTAGGCTCAGTTTAGTATGAACCTTTTGAAAAAAATTTCTAAAGTCAAATCTTTATATATGGTTAAATAAAGGGGCAAAAGATTGCTCTAGAAGGAAAACAATCGATAACTTCATATGCTATTCATGCTGAAAACTAATCAACACCAAGCATGCACTTGATTATTCCCATCCGCAGCATGTTAAGCTCTTTGACAACAAAGACAACCTTTTTCTAGCAGTATTTGGAAGCTGCATTAATTCCACAACATGTCAATCTGGGGAACCCGAAGATATGCTCCTCACCACTTTCGTCATCAAACTTGGCTACCCACTTAATCTTACTGATTTTTCTGCTACTATTGTCTCTGACCCCAGCCCTCTTATCATTTTCATCATTCGTGCAAAAAATACCTTTTTACCTATAGGGTGCTTTAGAGATCTCACCGCTACTTTCTCATCCTTTCTTTTTACATAGCCTCCCAACCCTTCTGTATTCCCAACCAAATTGCTTGCCACCACTACAGATCTCATAGGGTTGAGATGTAGCAAGTTGAGCAACCTTGCAGAGTTTTCAACTTTGCAATCAACGAAAGAGAAACCAATATTTTCATAATATGGCAATATCTTTGATGGATCTTCAGTTCTAAATTCTACTTGTTCCTTTAGACCCGAGTTCCTAATAACTTCTTCAGACTCGTTAAGGACCAGTTCCGGGAGAATACACACCAACCTTCCACCAGTTTGTCTTGCAGCTGCTGCCAGGGCTATTGTTGATGGAGATGCTCGATGTGTCACTTCTACTATAAGTTTTGCTTTCATACCAGCTGCTAATGCTGATACAAATTCATTGTTTCCCTGCTGTTGCACTATCCAAGAGCCATTTGTCTTTTATGATTATTACACTGTTACAACATAAAAAGGAGTTAAAATGAGTTAGATATTTTTTTTATGTCAAACATCCAATTCTTGATATGGCATTGAAGCACTTCTTTGATGTGTGTTTATTTGATTTATTCCGGCGATGCTTCCTGCTCAATGTATTCTTATAAAATTCAAATGCAAACCATGTAAAACCTCTAGTCTTAAATATAGCAACATATAATTATATTTGAATCTTAAATTGAATATCACAAAGAAGAAGCAAATAGCAGGTTTGAAAGGAAAAAAAAAAACACGCATGTGAATTGGAAACTACGGAATCTCCATCAGGTTGATCCTTGATTTATGCCTTAACTCGTTGAAGAAGAACGAAATGACATGCTTTTACAAAAGAAAAATGTGGGTAATACCCACCAAAATCAAGCAAGCATTGAATACTCAGAGAGATATAAATAAGACTACAAAAAGGAAAACGATGGAAAGGTGAATACCAGCTGAAGGGCATCAAGGTAAGCCATGGTAGCACATCTTGCAGACCACTCCATCAAGAAAGCTAATCAAGATGATCAATACACAGAAAATGTAGAGAGATTATTTTATTGCAGGCTTTGAATTAATTAGCGAGGGATGCAAGGGAAGTAAATGCATAAGTCAGAAATAGATGTTGGCTTTGAGTTCTAACTCCTGATATTGCCTTGTAGCAACGAGTTCTGTAACTTGTTTATTGTGATTTCTTTCTACGTTTGATGTCTGTCTCATACATAATAAGAATGAAATTGAGTGCTTGTCAAGAAGGGGTGTCGCATGTATCGTAGTTAACATCGGGCAGGGCCCAACATTGGGGATTCTGTTCCATTGTCATGCTAAATTTGTGATCTTTCCAAAAAAGCATCAGACTGTTTATGACAGCAGGACTCAGTTTGACTTGTGAAATCTGAGCTTCTCCCCTTGCCAATATATATCCAAGTATGTCCTTGACTTGTGATGCATTATTAAGTTATAAATCATACTACAGATATAACTTAAAAAAGTAATTTTTATCGAGTGGGCTCTTCTGAAGGGCGCAAATCTTAAGGGATATATTAATGAATAGTATAGCGAAGGACATTTCATTTAAATTGTCAAGTCACATATTTATTTACAAAATAAAATATATAATTAAGATTGGAAATAAAAGCATAAAAACATTGCATCCAACCCTACAAAGATAAATTGTACAACAATTCAAACTTTCACATGCAAAGATCAACACTTGATGTTTCATGACAATCAATTTGTTAAAACATTTTAGTACGTCACATTAAGATGATTCGTTTACATAAAACAAAAGTGTAATTTGATCTCAAAACTTGCTACTTATAGGAGTTCGTTCAACAAAGAGACAAATAAGTACATCTACATATAAAGGTCATAGGGGATGTAGCTCATATGGTAGAGCGCTCGCTTTGCATGCGAGAGGCACGGGGTTCGATTCCCCGCATCTCCATATTTTAATTTCTCTGTGAAAATGTTAATCTTTATACTAACTAAGGTAATACGCAGAGGATAATATGGGCCAGGACGCCATCTCCTTTGAATGAAAGGAATATGCCTAATTTGTCCATTAAGTTATGCGGGAGCAGGGGATGCAAACAGAGACAAAGAAAAAAGTGTACCCTTACCCTACACACTTATCCCCCCTAAAAGGAAGTTTCAAGTTTCTTCCGATGCTCTTCTTGCGAAGGTGATGATGAAGAAGAAGAATCAACATGTTTTTTTTTCCCTATCTAACTCTCTGCAATGCTGACTAAACCACCAAACCACACAAACCCCAACTCATGGACTCTCTCCTCTCTCTAACACCCACACTCCCGCCATTCCATTGCAACCCTCTCTTCCCCTCCCTCTCTCTCTTCGCGCCTCCGTCACAGAGAAAACTTGTTCAAACCGTCAAAAAGGTAAGCGCTTTTCAGCCCCGTAACGGCAATCACAGTTGCTTGCAGAACGAGGGGTTGGGCGTCGCTCTGCTGAGCAGCATCACCGCCAACGCCAAGCTTCGGATTAGTCCCTTCGTCGCCACGTTGGCGGCGAACCCCACCTTTGTTTCGGGGCTGCTAGCGTGGTTCATAGCGCAGTCCGTTAAGGTGTTCCTAAATTTCTTCTTCGACCGGAAATGGGATTTCAGGCTCCTGTTTGCGTCCGGGGGAATGCCCTCTTCGCACTCCGCCCTCTGCACCGCCCTCACCACCTCCGTCGCCATCTGCCACGGCGTCGCCGATTCCCTCTTTCCGGTGTGTTTGGGATTCAGTCTTATTGTCATGTATGATGCGATTGGCGTTAGAAGACATGCTGGCATGCAAGCTCAGGTAACTGCCTCCCACAGTTGCTGTTTGATAGTTATTCAGTTTGCCCTTTTGGGTTTGATGATTCCTGTTCTCAAGGACTGCTTAAGAACTTACTTGTTCAATAAGGTTAAAACGATAATATTTTTACAACTTAGTTTATTCATAACTTAATTTTACTTGGTAAGTTTTTTTTCTATCTTATAAGTATCTATAGAAATGTTTATCCAAACTTGGCTATTTTAGTAGGTAGATAGTTTTAAGCCCCTGTAGATATTTATTAGAACTATGTGAGTGGGGTTGTCACGCAATGTAGTTGGGTAAAGAATAATGGATTGGATTGTCCTGAATTGGGGTTGAAGTGTTTGGTTTTCTATTAGTACAAACAAAAGTCAAAGACGTATCCCCTAGCAACTGAATGAGGTTTAGACCTTAACATGAATACTGATTTCCCATGTGGCGATTGTTTATCAGTAATGTTTGGTTAGAATTTAGTAATTTATGGAAATTCTTTTCATTGTTCAAATAAGAGAGGAAAACAGTGAGAGTGGGAATGAAACTGGTAGTGGTAGCATCATACGATAACTTCCTATTTCCTGCAGGAATACGGTGTACCCACCTGGGAACGAAAACAAAGTTATGGAACATGAAAGTGACATGTTCCTAAGTTGACATTCCCAGGAATAGCTTTACAAAGCTAGAACAAATTCAGTTCTTGAAACATTATTGAAATACTGCAAATAAGCCCAAAGGGGGGAAAGATCAAAGTGAGAATACAAAATAACTCTAGGAAAGTACTGAAATTTAATTTGCGTGTTTGGAGGCCCATTTGCAAGCAGTAGACTAACATTAATTCTGAGGCGGATAATACTAAATTGCTGTTTTGTCAAATTAATGTGAACTTGAGATAAAATGTGACCCATTAACGCATATCCAAACGTACACTTAGCATCCCAATTCATACTATGAAAACTGATGCTATTTACGATGATATCTAGTGTCCCAATACATGGGATATGGAATGATTAAAGTGCTGGCAGTAATTGGATCTTGCTTGTAAACAAATGTTAAGCTTTCTTTTATTCATGTGGGGCCAAAATCACATTCGATTTTCCCGAGCTTGATTTTTATGCCTAGTGCAAGACAAATCCACCGCGTAATTTTGGTCCTCAGAAGTGTTCAGGAAGGACCAAATAAACAAATACCTATACAAACACAAACTTAATGGATGCAAATGTGTATCTTACGTGCACATCAGAGACTATCCTTCTTTATACCTATATTTTCTGTGGATATTGAACCTTTAATTTTAAGGGCTAAAAGATTTACTCAGCAAACTCTGCTGCTGTCATGGACTCTTGGTGACTGTTAACGTGAGGTTTTAGAGGACTTTGTAAGCCCAAAGTTATGCTTAGATCGCTACTATCTAAAGTGCAAGAATCGCAAGAAGTGACAATATGGTGACCTGATAAGACAGAGTTATGAAAATAGTGCATTAATCATCAGAGATAAAAGAAAATAACCACCCCGTATTTCTCAATCCAAATTCTCGATAGGGTGTCATATTTGTTCTGAAATGTTACGGCTTGCTCTCAAAATCAATTGTAGATCACGAGTGATTCTTCACGATCCTGTGCAAGTTTTTTCCCCAATCTTACGCCAAAACAATTTTGCATGCGATTTAGATCGATGTGAACTCGTACATTCATATGATTTTACGAGTTGGACTGCAAGTTTGACAACCATGCTCCCAATACATCAATTTGGTGTGAATATTTTGACCTTTTGTTATTCTTTAAATTATCATATATTTTTCTTTCTTATTTGCATTCCATATCTGTTCTATGACAATCAACTATTGTATTTTTAAGCATTCCTTGCTGAGGTTAACTGAAAACGCCGAAGATCTAGATGCCATCACTTGTATACTTTAGACTCAGCATATTCCAATGTGGTTTTATTGCTATTCTTCGTCAGGTTATTAGGATATCTAACTTGGTTAGAGAACTATGTTATCATTGTATAGATACATTATCTATCTAGTAATTTAATCGTGTCTAGCTTTTGCTTTGAAAGAAAATCTTTGACCAGAAAATTGTGTGGATCACAGGTGCTTAATTTGATTGTAGCTGACCTGTTTCAAGGGCATCCAATGAGTGAAAGGAAGCTGAAGGAACTTCTTGGTCACACTCCATCTCAAGTCTTTGCTGGTGCTCTGCTTGGCTTTTTGGTAGCTTGTCTCTGTTGTCAGGCTTGTGTAGGGGGAGCTTAGGTGATTCCATTGCCAGTTTTTGTCAAACTGTATTCATATCATTGTTTGCCCTGATGTTGCCTTCTGGTATATGACATGGCCTGCTTAATTAGCACACTGTATCAAAGGACAAATAATCAACTTTAGTAGATGTAAATGATAATTTTTTTTCTTTTTTTATATTCACTATCTTACACTAGAAGGCTAACCATTAAATTTCCAAATGGAATAAAATCCCTTGAGACATTGACCCGCCTGAATGACTCCTCTTGAATGTTTACCTTCCTACTTTATACATAAAAGTCTTGGGAGCAAGAGCCCACTTCAAGCTTTGTGGAGCCATGGCAAAAAGTTAAGAACTTATTTAGTTTAACAGAGGACTTTAGATCAGTTAGAAAAATCTCTTGAGGGTTGACATATTTAAGTAAATAATAATAATAATAATAATAATAATAATAATAATAATAAGAGCCTATACTATATTAAACTTTTACACTAACATTTCAAGATAATATATTATGGTGGTGTTAGTAAAAAATTGATACAAGGATCGAAAAACGGAAAAGAGAAAATCGAAGATCATATGATTGGTTAAAAAGTTGATAAATCGGAAAGATGGTTGGAAGACATTCGATGATCACGAGACAGTATGAACACATAAATCGAGAATGGAGATCGAGAATCAGAAGATAGAGGAAATTCGATGAAAGTAAGAAATCGATAATAAAGTATGGAGTGTAAAGTTAGGGTTAAGGGAAATTATACTTGATAACTGGAATCGAGATCGAGGGAAACGGTTATCATGCACATGGAACATGGGGAGTGACTTTCCAAATCGTGGCTAAAGTTAGAAATCAAGGAACGGTTAAAGCACACATGGAACGTAGAAGCGATTTTCTAAACCATAGGTTAAGGTAAAAATCGAGGAACGTGAACATGGAACGTGGTGACAATTTTCTTTAACTGCTCTTGGGAGGTTACATTGAATGATGCCTATAAATAGAACAAAACTGGAAGAATAAGGGGAAATTGGCAGAGACAACAGAAACACAAGTGAAAAGTCTACCGGAGAACGACGAATCATGAAGTTTCTGGCGATCTGGATTTCCATTCTCATTGACTGTTTTTACCGCTTTCTTTACTTTCCCTAGTAACATATTTTCAGGCAATTTATGTTCATCAATTTAAGTTTCCATACTTTCAATTACTTGTCAGTTATCTTTAATGCAATTTAAGATTCTGTATTTTCAAATGCTTGTCATTTACCGTTTCTGCAATTTCGATGTCCTGTCATTTACTTTCATGCAATTTTAATTCTGTCATTTACAATTAATGCAATTTCGAGTTTTTCGCATTTACAATTCCCTGTATTCTAATATTTCGCATTGTTTTATTTCTTTTCGATACCTTTTACTGCTTTCCTTACTTCGCGTTTCTTAATAAAATACCAAAAAAAGTACTTTCGATTTTTAATTTGTATGGTCAGTTGCATCGATAACATTCCCTGATCTTGTGACATTTTCGATTCTCATACACGTTTTGATTGAAAATTGTCGCTAGCCTAAGTGAAAAGAATCTACGTGGTTGAAATTTGATTAGAACCTAAGAAATCGAAATCAATCAAATTTTCACCAGAAACAAATTGGCGCGCCAGGTAGGGGGGACGTTGTGTCGAGAAACACAAAAATTGGCTAGTTTGAAAGTGTATGAGATTAAGGAGTGAGCGAATAATAAGAATGAGTCAGAATCCACCGAATAGTCAGAATAACAGTAAAATTCTAAATAGTTCACATCCACCAAACACTGGGGGGCAAGTTCACAATGGGAATATGCCTCTGTGAGTGCGTCGATGCCTGTGAGTACTGAACAAAGCCCAGACACATTAGCAAACACTCAGTTAGGGTCTAGTACTGTAATGTCAAACAATATGCAAACTACGGAAAACCTAGTAACAACATATGCAGGTCCGCATATGAGTGTAAGGCCGCCTGATTTTTCGTTTAATAATATGAATGGGGCTGGTACTTCTTCAATACAACGAAGTACGAGATTTAACCTGGGAATGCCCCAAAACTTAGGAACGTTTCAAACCTTAGGTATGCCTCAAAATTTTGGAGTATCCCCAAATTTAGGGGTGTCTCAAAATTTAGTAACACCCCAGAATTCAGGGAATACGCAAAATTTAGGAACACAACATACGTCTCCAATATCAAACCTAGATCATAGAACAAATTTGGATCACGGGAGATATGCATTCGATAGAGATTATCATCGATCCAATTTTGAGAATATCGAAAATGCTAGTACTAGAATTTCCAGTAATTCATTAGGAGTGCTTCGACAACAAATGGATGAAAGCAATTTCGAGATGGTTAACATATTATCACAACAGTTGACTACAGTATTGAACCCATTAGTTCAAAACACTACCACTAGTTTTGAGATATTAGCAGATCAAATGACACGTATCGGGGATGCATTGACAATACCTCGACAAACGAGGATAAAAAATAATGTCAATCAGAATAATAACCAAAATGTTAATATCAATCCCCTTTATTTATTAAGGAGAAATCGAAACAATGATCAACATCAGCATGTGGGAAATGAATATCAGCATGTGAGGAATAATACTTGCGGAAATTTAAATGAGGGATTTCAAAATATGTACAATCAGAATAACATGCAGCACAATCACATGCTGGGACAAAGGATGAATCCCCAAGGAATGAAATTAAGACCACCCAATCAACCGTATTTTGTTTCTCCTTTTCCAAATACGATTCTCGAGACAGAATTACCTTAAGGATACAAAATACCCAAATTCACCAAATTTGCTGGAGAAATTGGTGAATCCACTATCGAGCATGTGGCGCAATATCAAATCGAATGTGGAGACCTAACGATGAGTGAGGAATTAAAAATGAAATACTTCCCTAGTTCGTTAACAAAGAATGCTTTCACTTGGTTTACTTCGTTGTCACCTAATTTGATATATAATTGGTTGCAGCTGGAAAGAAATTTTCATGAGCAATTCTTTAGGAGAGAGACTCAAGTAAGTCTTATCGACTTAATGAATATAAAGAGATATAATCATGAAAATGTAGATGATTATTTGAATAGATTTAGACAAATGAAGTCGAGATGTTTTACTCAAATTCACGAATTTGAATTAGTCAGAATGACCTCTGCAGGCTTAGAATTCTCGATTAGGAAGAAGTTAGTTAATTTACCATTCAATGACATGACTCAGCTAACCGATAAAGTGAGAAGAGTGGAACAAATCGAATATGAGAAACAGAGGTACAAGAAATTTGAGAAACCTATGAAGAAAGATAGGGTAGCGTATATAAATGACATATATGAGGAAAATCTCAAGACAGAAGTAGATATTAAAGAATCTGTCGATGAAAAAGTAAATATAGCAGAACTCAAAGTAGGAGCTCCATATATTTGTAAATTGCTACAGAAAAATGAAGTAAAAGACAAAATGGCAAATCGCACATATACTTTTGATGTAACAAAGGCAGATAAAATCTTCGATATTTTATTGAAAGATAAACAGATTAAGTTGAGTGATGATCATCAATTACCTTCTGTAGAACAAAGAAATGGTCGAAAATATTACAAATTTCATAATATTTATGGACAGTGGACTAATAATTGTATACATTTCAGGAACACGATCCAAGATGCGATCGACCAAGGAAGATTGAAGTTTGAGGAGATGTCAATGAAAGTGGATACGAGTCCATTTGAAGTTCAACTAGGGTATGTCGAATCCCAGACGGGCATGACTGAAGATGTCCGATTGATAAATTCGACCTTTATAGGTATGGTCGATGTTACTGAAGACATTGATCCCAGACATGTCAGAATGGACATGTCAGAAGAAGACATAGAGTTTGACCTAAGCGAGTTCGAGAGAGAGATCTATCCTCGATCAGAAGATTCCCTCGTCGAATTTTTAACCAGAAAGAAAGAGAAGGATGAATGTATGATATTATGTCCATGATGCAGTGCGGTGTTCGACAGATCAGCTGCTAAAGCCTTCAGGGCAGGACAGATCAAGAAAATAGAGGATCAACATAAAAGTTGCAATGTTAAAGAAGATCAAACAGTCCAAGCAACGGTAGGAGAGAATCAGCAGAAATATGTTGGTTTTGGTGCTAGTAGAAATCAGAAACAATGGGTTAAGAAAGAAATGTATCCTCCTCGGGGAGGAAGAGACAGACTTCAAAATAATGATGTTTTCGATAGACTTTCATACGATGAATGATCAAATACTGGATTCCCTACATTCCAAAGGAGATTTCGTGGAAGACCTTGGAGGAGAGGAGGAAGGATCCCTTATTGGGGAATGATCAATAATTATAGGAACTTTGAAGAAAGTAATATACCAATTGGGGGTCAGTACGTAAGAGACTTTGTTGATGACAAAAATGAAAATAGTTGGGATGAGCATCAGATTGGAGTAATATCGATACTACCCGCAGAGTATGTTAGCGAATATGAAGAGTTTCAAGAGCAAAGTAATGTCAATCGAGAGGACGATTTCTATTCCGAAGAAATGAGACCGAAAGTGACATGGGTGACACAAGCGTCATGCGAATTACCCCATAGAGATGCTACTTTTATCGATCCTCCATCCGAGGAAATGAGGTTTCATCTGAAACCCTTATTGCTGAACATCGAAATTCAAGGATAGAAGGTGAATAAGGTCCTTGTTGATGGTGGTGCAGCAGTAAACATATTGTCAATCACTATGCTGAAGAAGTTTGGTATCGAATTGAAAGACTTAGTCAGGCATAATATCATGATTTCTGATTTCAGTGGGAAATCATCGAGCTCAGAAGGCATGATTGACTTAGATGTGAAAGTGGGTACTTATTCGAGACCCACTGTGTTTGTAGTTGTCCAATCACATGCCAACTTTAATGCGTTGCTTGGCAGGGAGTGGATTCATGGAGTTGGAGTCGTACCTTCTACGGCTCATCAGAAGTTGTTTATGTGGAATCGAG